CTTCCCTCCCCCTCTCTCATCACTCCGACCTGCGGCGAGTCCAAGCCAGGAGCTAGGAACCGGAAGTGCGCTCCCGGTCTCCCGCGTCGGGGCAGGGACTCAACTACTTGAGTCATCACCAGCTGCCCCCGAGGGCACGTGAGCCGGAAGCCGGACGGGGGCACAGCCGAGACGTGCGCCCAGGCTCTGGTCCGGCGTGGACACCCCAAGCCACGCCTCAGCCGCGGAGCCCAACACCCACTCCGAGGCGCGCACGAGGGCATGAGCTCCGGGATGCAGGATCTTTGGGGGGCACCGGGTGGAGGGGAGAGCGCAGATGATCCCGGAAGCCTGAGGCGGGGTTCGGGAGAGGAGGAAGCCAGGAAGGGCGCCCCAGGCCTGGGAGCCCGTGGGGCGCGGGAGGCCTGCGCGGTGTCGAGTCTGGGGGCCCAGAGGGGCTGCGGAGGAAGAGGGGGTTCCAGGACGACTCAGGAGGCAGAGCGGACAGGGCCAGGGCAGGATGAGGGGAGCAGCAGCCTAGGGGGGGCGGGGCCCCAGGGCGCCCCCTGCAGCCACAGCCGCCTGCCTCTCTTCCCGACAGGCCAGGCTGCCCCCTTCCCCCGAAGCCGCTACCTGGAATGTGCTTCCTGCGCCTCCTCGGACATGAGCTGTGAGAGGAGGCGGGAGCAGAGCCTGCAGTGCCGGCACCCGGGAGACCAGTGTCTGGAGGTGGTGAGCCACCGGAGCCAGGAAGGTGAGCCCCAGGTCGCGGGCGGGAAGTCCAGGCATCGGAAGCCCAGGGCCACGAGGACAGCCCCCGAGTCGGCGGGGACCCAGATGCCTTCCATTTCTTATGTGTCACCTCCATTCTCAAGACTGCCTTGTAGTCCAAGGTGGCTGCCAGAGCTCCAGACCTCGTGGTCAAATCCCAGAAAGAAGGAAGGGTGTGGGGGTTCTCCCTCTGCCAGGCCCAGTCAGCAGGTCCACTCCTATCACATGACCAGAACCTCATCCCACAGCGGGGAAACGTAGTCTTTTGGCTTCCCGGAATAAACCAAGGATCCTGTGGTGCAGAGACGGGCAGAGACGGGCCCCGCAAGCACAGTGACCTCTGACCTCTGCCCCCCAGGGAGCCTGCGGGATGAACGCCACTCCCGCGGCTGTGGCCACCTGCCTGGCTGCCCGGGGCCCACGGGCTTCCACAACAACCACACCTTCCACTTCCTGCTATGCTGCAACACCTCCAACTGCAACAAGGGCCCAGGTAGGGGGGCCCAGGGGAGCCTGGGGCGGGCAGGGAGGCGCCCGGCGGAGCGAGCCCACGTCTGCCCCCCTCCCGTCTCTCCAGCTGCCAAGCTGCCCCGCCCATGGCTTTGAAATCCACGCCCACCCACGACACCCATGTGCGTTTTTCATGAACGTGCTGAAAGCCCCTTGCAGGCATGGCTTCCTTTTTAACCAAAACCTAGACAGGTTTCGTTCTTTAAGAGGCGGACAGCTCTTCGCCTCTGGCTTCCTCCCCGAATGCTGGCAGCGGCGGGCCGGGCGGGGTGGGGGTGGGGGCCAGAGAAGGGGCTCCCACTCTGCTCGCCCCGGGGACGCCCCCCAAGGCCAGCCTCGGCCCCCGACGGCCCCGCGTGCTGACCGCTGACCCCCGCGGCCCGCGCCCGTCTTCTCCCCAGTGCGGGAGCTGCACAACCTGCCGCCCAACGGCCTCCAGTGCTACAGCTGCGAGGGCAACAGCACCCACGGGTGCTCCTCGGACGAGACGACCCTCACCGACTGCCGGGGGCCCATGAACCAGTGCCTGGAGGCCACTGGCACCGACGGTGAGGCTCTGGGGGGCGCTGGCCGGGGACGCTTCACTGGGGGCAGCGTGGGAGGCGGGCCTTCCTGTGGGAAAGGCGGGACTTCCGTTGGGAGGGCGCCAATAGTAGCAAGGCGTCCGGCGGTGGACATTCTGCCGTGGGCTTCCGAGGGGCGGGACTTCCTGTGGGCACACGCTTTCACGCAGGGACATCTTGGAAGGTCCCTGTGGTCCAGAAGTTCTTAACTTTTTCGGTCTTTTTTTGTTTTACCCTTGAGATAGACTCATTCATTCGTTCATTCATTCATTCATTCATTCATTTAGCAGAGTTGAAGGGAGAGGGGGAGAGACGGCGAGACAGAGAGCTTCCATCCACTGCTTTGTTCCCCAAATGGCTGCCTACAGCCTGGGCAGATCCAGACCGAAGCCAGCAGCCAGGCGCTCCGTCCAGGCCTCCCACGTGGGTGCAGGGGCCCAAGCGCTGGCCCAACCTCTGCGGCTTCCCCCTTTAGCAGGGGGTCGGATCGGAAGTAGAGCAGCCGGGACTTGAACCAGCGCCCATAGGGGGTGCCTGCCGAGCCACAGCGCCGGCCCACTCTTAGGTCTTAACATTCTCTCAGGCGCCTAAAAAAAAAAAAATAGAAAAAAAAATCATTGTTTGTGTAAGTGGCGTCCATACCTACATACTGCGCTGGAATTAGAACTGAGAAAAACTCTAAAGGCTTATTTATTCCTTCTGCAGTAACAGTTATAGCTCTCACTGCGTAGTAAGAAAAGTCACATATTTCTTCCATGAAAAACGCCTGTATTTCCCCCAAACAACAAAAAAAAAAGCGTGGTGGGAAGACTGGCATTGTCTGCGCCGCACATGGCGTGAGTGTCTGGCTAGGAGAAGACAGCTGGGGCCCTGCATATGCTCTGCCTTCAGTCTGAGCCGGTCGCCTGTGTCCTGGAGTTTCTGGAACACTCCGCGCGGGAGGGGGAGGACGAGGCCAGGCATCGCGTCCGTGCTGGCTTCGCGCTGCCCCAGGGGTCTCCAGGCCCCCCGGGGGCGCCGGCACCTGCTGCAGCGCACAGCCCGGCGGCTCACGCGGGCTTCTGTCTCCTCAGGGCTGGGGAACCGGAGCTACACGGTCCGCGGCTGCGCCACCGCCTCCTGGTGCCAAAGCCTGCACGTGGCCGAGGCGTTCAGCCTGACCCACCTCAGTGTCACCTGCTGTGCAGGCCACGGCTGCAACGGCCCCGCCTCGGACGCCGAGCACCGCCGGGCGGGCGCCCCCCGGCCCGGCCCGGCCCCGCTCGGCCTCCTCCTCACCGCGCTGGCCACCTCCAGACTGTGGGGAGTCACTCTCCTCTGGACCTGAGCCCCCGCCTCCACCCCGGGCTGGATCCGGGGGGACCCCTCTCGTCCGTCCCTGGACCCGCGTCTCCCCAGCTGCGGAGCCACGGGCGGGGACCCCTGGCTGATGAGTATTGTTGTCGCTAGTGCTGTTTTTATTCATTAATATTCACGATATTTATTTTATACTTAAATAAAGACTTTTGTACCGTACCCACGCTTCTCTGTCGTACCTACCTCTGGGAGGAGGACGGGGCGAGGGTCCTGGACTCCTTGGGTGACCCAGGCACTCGGGTGCCCCTCTGTGGACGTGCACCTGCGGCCGGCCTCTCACTGCTGTGTCGCCTCTCCCTGCGTGCTCTGGGAAGGGAGGCAGACTGAAGAGAAGCCCCCACTTGGTGCACCCCGGAGCAGACTTGAGATCAGGATTGCGTTGCCCCGGGCGCTCTGGGGCAGGGGACAAAGGTGAGCTGTGGTCCCCCGGATGCCATGGAGCTGATGAGGAGAGACCAGCCTTCCCACTGCAGCAGCACTCCTGGGGCAGGGTACTGGAGAGTGTGGGTCCTCACTGTGCGCCGAGGCTGCCCATCCCCCAGGGGCTGCATGGCTCATGAAGACGACAGGGCACCTTCCCCTGGAGTGCGGGGACAGGAGAGGGACAGTCGGGGGTTCAAGGCTTCCTGCAGGCACAAATGCCACCACCTGTCCTTGTGGCGACTCCTTGGGACGGGGTCCGGCTCTTCGCCCCCTGAATCCAGGGACGATGATGATTGGAAGCTGGCGGCCATCACCGTTTGCGGGCGCTGGAACCAGGCTTTGGGAGACGGCCGTCTTTCCCTTCGCTTTGGAACACACGCTCTGGGGAAGTCCTACCGCCCCAGGGCGGCCATGCTGTGAGGAAGCCCAAGCACTGAGGGTAGGGTCCACAGACAGGGAGCCCAGGCGTCCCGGCCAGCTCAGCCCAGGCACCCCGGGGGCCTGCACCCAACACAACTGGGTTCGTGTCCCGGGACTGCTGTAAGAACTTCCTGCAAACCGATGCACCAGGTGGCTTCAAGCCACAGGAACCTAATCCTCTCACAGTTCTAGATGCTAGGAGCCAGAAATGAAGAGGCTGAAAAAGCCGAGCTCCCTCGAGTCTCTGCAAGGAGGAATCCTTCCTCGCCTCCGTCCCTGGCTCACCCTGGGACCTTCTCAGTGAGTGTGGGTGCCTTGAAACCAATCAATCTATCTCGATCTCTCCTTACAAGAATAACAGTCAGTGGATTTAGGCTGCACCCTAATCCAGTTTGGGACAATTTATTCATTAACTGCAGGAGCCTGGAACTCCATCGAGGCGCATCAGCAGGGAGTGGAACAGCCGGGACTTGAACCAGCGCTCATACAGTATGCTGGCCTTTCATGAACTCATTTAATCACACATGCAAAGACTATTCCAAATAAGATCGCATTCATAGATCCTGGGTGGGTGAGGGGAGCAAGGGGATCAGGACTTTAACTCACATGATGGCGGACGCAATTCGACCCACAATATCCACCAAAAGCCGGAGCCCAGGCTTCCCCTGTGTGGCCCCCAGTGAACCCGCCCCTGCATCTGCAGCTGGTTGAACCAAGCCCTGTGGTCCCAGAGCCAGTGCGGCTCAAATGCCTGACGCCAGGATCACGGAATGGTTGTGGTTCTCCACCATCACGTTTGCAGGCTGTCTCCTCGTGCAGGACTGGTTAGCTGGAACTAACGGCCGGGCCTGCCGGGCTGCTTGGTGTTAGCTTATTCCCCACTATGAGTGTCATGGAGAGCAGGACCTTCTGTTTGCTCACCTCTGTAGGCCTGGCCATGGCAGGGGATGAAGAAAGAAAGGGGGGGGGGGCTGCCTCTCCCATGATGCCCTGCAACAGAAACTGGCCAGGACGACACTCAAGGCCTTCACGGAAAACGCATGTCATGAAAAAGTTACACAAGGATTGTATTACATGCACCAAAATAAAGTTATCTTCTAATCTCATTTTTCCCATGAAGTGTTTGAAGTACCCTTGTAACTCCCGTGCTGTCCTACAGCAGGGGTGGGGCCAGAACAACACCATCCGAGATACTCCACAGTCAGAACTGAGGTTAACGTCACCTTTCCCATAATTCCCTACAGCATACTGCAGCTGGGGACACATCTCCCACGATCCCCTACGGCAGGAAGTGAAGCTAGAACTGAATTTCCCATGAGGCCCTGTGGCAGAGCCTGGGGCTAGGGTTGCATCTCCCATGATGCCTTCCAGTGGGGATCAGGAGACACAGAACCGTGTCCCATGAGCCACCTGGCAGATACTGAGGCTAAGGGCAAATTTCTCATCACGTCCTGAGCCATAGCTGGTGATCAGGACCGAATAGCTCCCAGGTTTTTTGCTCAGGGATCTTTAGTTGCAAGAATAGTTAAGTTCCTGCTGACTTAAGCAAAAGCAGTGTTATTGGAAGTTCAGAATCCAAGCAAGAGCTAGGTCTCCGGGCCCCACCAGGGACAGGAAATAAAATTGAAAGGCTGAGCTGTGTGAAAAATCAATTGTCTCCCTCTTGCAGAATCTCAATCACTGTCTCTCCATCTCGCGCTTTCTGACTGTGAATGTGTGGGTTTGTTCCCTCCCGGTCTTTTGCTTGGTTTTCCTGTGTCTCAGACGTCTACTTCACGTGTAGCAACCGAATGCGCCCTTGGAGATGGTAAATACCATCTCCGTCTCTTTGCTGCTATCACAAAACCCCAGAGTTCTAGGTACTTGGTAAAGCAAAGAGATCCGGGGATTCAAAGGCAGGACCCCGCACCTGCAGGGCTCTGGTGTGGGCCTCCCGGCAGTTGGCACTGCAATGATGGGAGTGTATGCAGAGGAGGCTACGCTGTGAGACAGGAAGCAGGAGACTGGGGAGAGCCAAGGTCATTCCTTTTATCTTTTTATTACTTATTTATTTACTGTAAAAAAAATTTACTTGTGTATTTGAAAGGCCTGGAGATACACACAGAGAGAAGGAGAGACAGAGGGAGGTCTTCCATCTGCTGGTTCACTCCCCTAAATGGTCACAATGGCCAGGGTTGGGCCAGGCCAAAGCCAGGGGCCAGGAGCTTCTTCCAGGTCTCCCACACGGGTGCAGGGGACCAAGGACTTGGGCCATCTTCTACTGCTTCCCCAGGCCATAGCAGAGAGCTGGATCAGAAGTGGAGCAGTTGGGACTCGAACCAGCATCCACATGGAATGCTGGCATTGTAGGCAGTGGCTTAACCTTTTACACTACAGTGCCAGCCCCTTTTTTATTTTCTAAAAAAAAATTATTTTATTACAGAGAGAGAGAGAGAGATGTATCTTTCATCTGCTGGTTCACTCCTCAAATGGCAGCAACAGCCAGGGCTGGGCCCAAGCACTTGGGCATCTTCCACTGCCTTCCCAGGCGCATTAGCAGGGAGCTGGATCAGAAGTGGAGCAGCCGGGACTTAAATCAGCTTCCACATGCAACGCTGGCTTCTCAGGCCGTGGCTTAACGCACTGCACCACCACACCAGCTCCAGTCCCTTCTTCAATAAACAACCCCTCCCTTTTTTTTTGGCTGGAGCTTCCTCTCTTGAGACCCTGCCCACTCCTTGAGACCAGCATTAATCATTCCACGAGGGCAGAGCCCACATGACCTAAATAATTCTGTAAAAGCTTCCACCACTTCAACACTGCCACACTGGAGACCAAGCTCCCGTCCGGCCTCTGCGGGACAAACCATATCCAAACCACCACAAGTATCAAAAGCCACTGGAGTCCCAGGTCTAGGATTCTAGCTGGGCGATTCGGACCAGGTCCAGCTTGGGTCACAGCACTGTCCACAGCCCTCCCTAGTCAAAGCCACCACAACGGGGGCACTTGCCAAAGGCGGTGGGAGATGGAATGAGAAGATGAGTTTAGGGGCCAGCTCTGTGGCACAGTGGGTTAAGCTGCTGCCTGGGACACCAGTGTCTCATCTGAGCACTGGTTCAAGTCCCGGCTGCTCCACTTCCGATCCAGCTCCCTGCTCACGCACCTGGGAAAGCAGCGGAAGATGGCCCAAGTGCTCGGGCCCCTGCGTCCACCTAGGAGACCCAGATGGAGTTCCTAGCTCCTTGCTTTAGCCTGGCCCAGGCCCGGCTGTTGTGGCCATTTGAGGGAGTGAAACAACCAATGCAAGATCTGTCTCTCCCTCTCCCGTGTGTAACTCTTCCTTTCAAATAAACAAAGCTTTTTGAAGAAGAATATTTATTTTGATGCAAAAATATGCGAAATGCAGACATACACATGAGAGGTCTTTAAAGGGGTCAGAGCAATGCAGATTATGAAAAAAAAAAAAAAGCACAGATCTCAGAATTGTTGAAAACAAAATCACTTTGCAAGAGTCATTCCCTGTTGTCCCTCATACAGCTGGTCGGGTCACAGGCAAGCACCCACACTGGCGAGTCGTCTCAGCACGCTGCCTGCTCAGCCAGGGAAACAGTCCACGTGCCAAACACCGACCACAAGCCCGGGGGAGGAGCTGGAGAGGAGAGCTGGCCCTTGCCACGGGGTCGCTCCGCAAGCCGGGCTGCCCCCGTGGCCTCTGCGTGAGTCTTGGGCCACGCCATGCTCGGGGTTGCCACCGGGGTGGCAAGAACCCAAGTACTTGGGCCGTCATCCGCTGCCTTCCAGGTGAGTTAGAAGAAGCCGGATTGGAAGCGGAGCAGCTGGGGCTCCATCCCAGGTGCTCCAAGCAAAGAGCCCGCCGCATCCCAATGCTCACCCCAAAACTGTTCTCTTCCTCTTAAGCCGGTTGAGTTGGGTTTGCTGTCACTCACCCTAAACTCCCACTGGACAGTTTAGGGGCCTGGGGGGGTAAGAGGAGGGACAGGTCCTCCACTGTCACGGCGCCCTCCGATGGAAGAAATCGTAGAACCCAAAGATGCTGGGTGAGGACCAAACCGACATCTCCCAGGGTGGCCCACAGTGGGGGCAGGAGACGTCGGCTGCCGCCCTGAGCGGGGACGCTCATTGGTTCTTGCAAGAAAACACATCTGTGAAGGACTCGCTGACCCAGTCCTGACCAGCTGGTCAAACGCCTCGCTCCTGTGCAGCCCGGGCCACACATCGGTGACCCTGGGTGGCAGGGGACTGGGGCTGACCACCTCTCTCCCCAGCCAACAGAGGCTGGTAACCTGAGAACCGAAAAGCAAAGAAGCCATTCAGAACTGTGGTCCTGGGGACCCAGGGGCTGATGGCAGCTTTAGATGCTGGACTAAAAGGGTGTTGGGAGCCGAAGGGCCTTGCTGGGCCCGGATGTAGAATTTCTTCGGTGGAGAGAAACAGTAAGGATGTTCCTAAGTGGTGTATCCGGGCCTCACTGTACCTGCGTGGCCAGGGGGCCTCCTGCTTCCCGTAGTTTTTCAGTCTTGCTGGGTCCTGCAGGTGACAAGGGGCACCCCAGGCCCACAGGAGAGGATTCGGGGGGAAAACACTCCTAGGAGGGAGAAGCCACCCAGGCCTGCAGGGGTGAGCCAGCGTCTGTGATGGGCGGTGAGACACGAAGCGACAGGCAGGGCCACAGAGAGGCAGGCTGGGGCAGGGAGCCGGGACGCCCCTCCTCGGGAGGGAGGCGCAGGCGAGGACTTTCCGGGCCCGGCCGGGACCAGAGGGCGCGGGCTGACCCCGTCCGGGCGCCCGGGCCCAGGCCCCGCCCTGCGCAAGACACCTTCACCCTCACACGCACCTGTGCCCGCAAAACCCCGCACACCCCCGTCGCCTGCCATCGCAGCCCCTCCCCAGGGCTCACACCGCCACGCACACCCCCCGCGCAGCGCGCCCGGCTCTCGCACCCCGCATACGGCACCTATCCCGCAGCAACGCCCTCCCACGCAGCCCTCGCGCCCCGCACACTCGGCCTCCCGCGCCGACGTTCTCACCCCCGCAGCACACCTTCGCCCAGCGACACCTTCGCTCGGCACCCGCAACTCTCGGCCCCCAGCCCCTCTCCCGCGCCTGCGCCCCCTGCACCTCCCACCCCGACTCCGCGCGCTGCCCCCCATTGTTGCGGGGCTGCTTCGCCGCCGCCCCCGCCCCTCCCCAGTCCTGGCCCCGCCCCCGCCTCGGAGCCCCGCCTCCGGGCGGGCAGGGGGCGGGGCTCGGGGGCGGGGCGGGCGGCGCGGGCGGTGCAGGTGCCGGGCCGGGAGCGAGCGGCGGCGGCGGCGGCGGCGGCACCATGGGCCGGGCCCGGCGCTTCCAGTGGCCGCTGCTGCTGCTGTGGGCGGCCGCGGCGGGGCCAGGTAGGGTCGGGGGCCGGGGTCTGCTGGCCGGGTTAGGGCGGGGGGCGCGCCGCGGTGACAGCGCGGTCGCCGCGGGGCCGCAGAGGCCGAACAATGCGCGCGGGGCCGGGCTGGGCCCCCTCCCCGGGACAAAGCGCAGCGCGGGCCGGGAGCCGCGAGCCGCGAGCGGGGGAGGGGGCGCGGGCCCCGGCCGCCGTGCCGCAGCCCCCCCACCCGCAGGCCTGGATCCCGGCGGGGACAAAGGGCCCGATACCGCCCCCCCTTCAACAAGCCCGCCTTCTCCGGACCGGTCCCGCTGCCCTTCTGCCTGGCGTGCGTCTCTCTGCCGCGCTCCTTGTCCCCCTACCCTTGTCCTCTGTCCCTCCTGTCTGTCCCCCTTTCTCCTTGCCTCCCTGTCCCCCATCCCTCTGTCCTGTCTTTGTCGCCCACCTCTGTCCCCTGGTCTCCGTCCCTTTCTCCCGGGTCACTCTGTCCCCTCTCCATTCTCTCCGCTCACCCTTCTCTGCCCTCCTTCTCTGTCTCTGTCCGTGTCTGTCACCCTTGTTTCTCTGCCCCCCCATCTGCCCGTCGCTGTCATTGTCACCCCTTTCTCTAGCCTGCCCGGCCACCCATCTCCCCCCCCCCCAGCCCCTTCTCTTGTCCCAGCGCCTCTGCGCCTCTCCCTCCACCCCACAACCTTCACCCGGGAACCCTCATCTCGGCTTCCCTCTGCGCCCCCCGGAGGCAGGCAGGGCAGGGTGAGGAGCCCGGGGGAGGGGGATGTCCCCATGTGTGTGGGGGAGTGGGGCTGGGGAACCCTGATGTGTGGGCACACACGTGGGGTGAGCAGATGCATCCCCAAACCTCGGCACCCATGCACGTGCCCAGGCCAGGACTTAGAAGCCCCCTCCAGGACACCCAGGGAGTGCTTCACACCCCCTGATCCCACACTGTGAGGAATTGGAGACCCCCAAGACGGGGTGACCCTGAGGCCGGGGACAAGGTCAGCAAATGTCACCCACACACTCACACTGTGTGTGTCCAGCCTGCCCCAGGTCACCCCCTCGCAGAGGGGCCAAGTCCGCGTTGGGAGGTAGCTGGGCACCATGAGGTGGGCAGGAGGCTCTGTGGAGGTAGGGGAGAGGAGTGGTACCCAGGCGGCAGGGGCTGGGGGCCTGGGCTTCAGTTCCGCCTCGTGCCTTTGCCCCAGCAGCCGGGGACAACCCCCCCTCTGCAGGCTTCAGCTTTCCTTTGTGTAAAGTGAGGCTGGTGAACTCAGTGACCCCCGGGGAGAAGGGCAGCTCAGTGCTGCGGGGTTTCTAGCAAGTTGAGGACGCCCGTGGGGTTGGGGCCGGGGCCTCCGCCCCCCCCCGGGGGGGGGGGAGCTGAGCTGCTCGCTGGCTCGCTCGCTCGGGCTCTCTGCCCCTCTTCCTGCCTCTGATTTGAACTTTCAGCATTGCCGTCTCTTTGCAGCAGCTGCCACGGTTTCCCAGATGAGAGCCTGGGTGCCTGAGCCACGGATCAAATTTTGTTTTTCTTTGTGATTTTTTTTTTTTTTTTTTTTGAGGCTGAGAACCAGGCTCATAGCATCCAATGAATCCAGTAAACAGCAAACCTGAGGGTGTCTTAGAGCATCTGCGTCATTAGGATTCTAGACTCCTGGAGTCTTTGGCGTCTTAACACCTCGTTCCAGTGCTAGCGGTGTTAGCATCCTAGCGCCTCGGCGCCTTTCAAATTCTGACATCTCCAGCCCTCGGATTCCCAGGTCTGCCATCTGGAATCTTGACAGCAGAGCATCATGGGAACTCGGGGCCTCAGAAGCAGGACGTACGTAGGCTAAGGTGACCACCAGCCCCGGCTAGAGGCTCCCTCCCTCCACCGCTTCGGGCAGGCAGCTCTCCGGCCTCGTCCCTTGTTTGATTTTAGTCTCAGCACTTCCTGCCATCCTAAATCCTCTCGGTAAACTTTCTCTGGATTCAATGGCGTGGGTGTCGCAGGTGGAGAGCACACTTGGCATCCTGGGAGCTCAGGAGCTGGGTCGAAGCCTGGCCTGGCCCTCTCCTGTGCCATCCGTCCCCACCCCGTCCCCTCCCGTGGAGCCGTAGCACATGGCCTCCGAGTGGCTGAGCACAGCGGCCTCTGCTCGCCGGATACTTCCGAATGGCCTTGGCCTCCGCATTTCAGGGCCTTCCTCTCTGGTCTTGCCCAGCCGGTGGGAGATGGGGTGCGTTGCGCTCCAAAATGTATCCCTTGCTGCAGGGTGCACGGGTGCACCCAGGACACCGGCAGAGGATGCTGGGACCCCCGCCAAGAGGAAGAAGGGTCTGGGGTGGGCGAGGAGCGGAAGTGAGAAGGCCCCAGAGACCCTTGGGTGGGCCGGGAACTGAGCAGGACAGAAAGGAGCAGAGGGGACAGACAGACAGACGCAAGGATGGGGAGGAGACGGGCGGGGGGCTGTGGTGGGAGTTTGTTCATTGAGATCAAGTCTTCCTCCCAGGGTGACTCACTCCTTCCCCACCCCCACCCCGCCGCCATGGAAGTTCTCAGCCACTCTGAGAACAGGGGGTCCCCCCACCCCCGGTCATGAGCCACCCCAAGAACAGGTCTTGTGAAGATTCTGTCGCTGACCCCCGCCCACCCGGCCTGAGCCCCAGAGCCCGGGGGTGGGGGTCAGGGTCTGCGGTGGATTCCGAGCCCTCGGCAGCAGCAGGGCTGGGCCCGGGGCTGGGTGAATGTCGTGCGAGCCTGGCCTGTCCCCGTCTTGGGGAACACAAAGGCAGCTTTCTCTTTCTGGGTGGGGGGAGCTAGAGATGGCCAGACCTGCCAGCATCCAAGGGCCTGTGGCACCAGGACCCAAGCACCCACTGGCTGCTGCCGGCGCGGACCGACCACAGGCTTGTAGGAACCACGCACCCCGGCTCTCCCCAGGAACCCAGAGGGCAAGGGGGTGGGCCCAGCGCTGGCCTTCCAGGGGAGGGGGTGCATGGTGGGCAAGGGCGGTGGGGGAACGGACAGTAGGAGCTCAGGGCAAGCTCGCACCCTCCGCAAGCGGGAATGTGTCCCCTCGACCCTGCACCCAGGGACAGCCTCTCTGAGCTCCCCTCCCCTTGGCTGGGCCTGAGACCTGGCATCCGGGGAGTCCCGAGTATCCCAGGAATGTGGGGGCCACAGGGAAGACTTTGTGTGTGTGCGAAGCTGCTGACTCACCCCAACGCCCCCACCTGGTGCCTGGGCCCCCAGCTGGGAGGGGGCCCCAGGGCTGAACAGGGCAGCTCTGTGGTTCTGGGGCCGAGGGCTATGGACTTAGAGGAGGAGAAGGACTGGGGGCCTGGACCAATGGGTCTGAGGGAGGAGGCGCTGGGGGCCTGGAGCCCTGGGTCTGAGGGAGGAGGGGCTGGGAGTGTTTACTCCCAGGTCTTGAGGATGGGTGGGGGTCCTGGGAGAGGAAGGGGCTGGGGGGAGTGTTGTCCAACTCCAGGTTTCCAAAGGAGGGGGCTGGGACCCTGCCGCCTAGGTCCTGCGAATACAGGCGCCTTCACAAGGCTGAGCTGAGCTGGGGAAGAATTGACGCTTTGTGCAAGGATGTTCGGACTCCGCCATTGGTGGGGGGCTGCGGGGGGGTTCGGTCAAGATGCAGGGATGTACCACCTCCCTGGGGAGGAGGGGGAACAGAGGCAGGATGCCAGGAGCCCCCTGGGGAGCCAGCACACAGGGGGTGACTGTGACCTTCCCGCAGCCGTGACCTTGAGACTCCCTTGGGTATTCGCTGACTCAGGACCCAGGAAGTGCTCCCCCACCCCGCTCAGTCTCCGTGGAAACATCCACCAGCTGTGTGCTCTGGACCCCTGGCTCCTGAAGGAGGAGGGGGCTGGAAACCCAGGCAGGCTCCCGCGTCTCAGGGGGGAGAAGGCCGGGGGCTCCGACTCCTGGATTGGAAGGCAGAGGATGCTGAGAGCCCAGACCCCTGCAGCCTGCTTGAGGAGGGGGTTAGGGGGCTGGGCCCGCGGGTCCCGAGGCGGGAAGTGGCTGCATCCCTGGGTCTGGGGGCGGAGGGTGCAGGCTCCCGGGTCTCCACGCATCACCTGCTCAGCCCCTCTCCTGGACACCTTCCCCGTCCCTTTTTCCCAGGCACCATCCCCATGACGGCTCCTGGCGGTCAATACGGTTTAAAGGGCCAGCGCCCCAGTCCCCAAAGCTCAACCCCTCTCTGACCAGAAAGTCCCGCCCCCACCACCCCCAACCCCCGAAACAAAAGCTCCTGAGACATTAATATTCCAGGCACAGCCGCTGTTGCTTGCTGACTCCTTGGGAGGGGGAGGGAGCAAGACAAAAGCCCCCCACCCTCACCCCATGTGCACCCTCAGGCAGACGGCAGGGCATAAATTGGGGGGGGACGGATCCGGATGGCTCCTGGGAGATGATGACGTTTGCCCCTGACTGGTCTGGGGCCCCTGAGCCTTGTTCTCCACATCTGTGAAATGGGGGGCTAGCGCGGGGCCGGCCGTGAGATCCAGGGTCCATGCCCAGGCTTCCAGACGTTGCTGAAGGAGCTGGAACGTGCAGGGCAGATTCCACGTGCGTGAGCGTGTGCCTGGGGCTTGTCCGAGCCCCAGCCACGCGGACGGGGCTCCCTGAGCTGCAGGTCCCGGCTGCTCCCTCGTGGGCGGGCATGGGCAACCTCCCCATTTTACAGGTGGGATGATGGAGGCACAGAAAGGTGAGGACACGCAACCCCGAGTCCACACAGATGGGATCGGTCCATGAATGCGGGCCCAAAGGTGAAGTGAGATCCTGCCTGGCGTGGTGTAGACACCGGGGTGCAGCAGCGGTGACCCCCATGCCTTTCCGGAGTGCGTGGTCTGGAGAGGGAGGGCAGACAGACAACAGCGCAGCAGAGCCTCTCCACGGCCTTTCCGGGGAGATAGGAAATGTTTTTGGGGCTGAAGGGGTGGGGAGTGAGGGAGGACCTCCCTGAGGAGGTGTCTATGTTCAGAGACCCGGATGAGATCAGGACACAGCCCTGGGATGACGGGGGGAGGGGCACGTAGTGAGAAGGGCAGGTGCAAAGGTCCTGAGGTGGGAACAAGCCCAGTGCGTCTCTGGGGGCCGTGCCCAGCAGTGAGACCGGGGCGAAGTGGGGGCATGAGAGAGCTCGGAACTGAGGTCTGACAGCGTCCGCGCCATGCGCACTTTTTGATGTCATGAGCAGCCTTTGGTGGGGCTGGGAGTTAGGAGGGGAGGTGGCGTGATTTGATTTGCCTTTTTCAAAAGATCCCTGGGGCTGCTGGGTGGAGTAAGGACTTGGAGGAGCAGGCGTGGGTGCAGAGAGACCCAGGAGTGGACTCTGAAGGGTTGGGTGCGAGGTGGCGTAGGGTGAGGGTGACAGCCGGGGAGGCGAGCACAGGTGAGTGGACGTGGGCTAAGATGGACAGACCCTGCCGATGCGATGGACGGTGGGGTGGAAGGAAAGAGAGAACTTGGGTGATTTCTCGATTTTTGACCTGAGCAATTGAACGGGTGGTTGTGACATTTTTGCTTTTCTAATTTTTTTTAACATTTATGTATTTATTATCCAATCTGGGAGCTGGATCAGAAGCGGAGCAGCCGGGAACTGAACCGGTGCCCATATTGGCAGGCGGTGCTTACTTAACCTACTGCATCACAGCACCGGTCTGATTTTTTTTTTTATATGAAAGGCACAGAGAGCCAGAGTCCTAGAGAGCTCTCTTATCCATTAGTTCATCCCTCAGATGCCTGCAATGGCTGGGGCTGGGTCAGGCTGAAGGCAGGAGCAGGGAACCCAATCTGGGTCTCCCACACGGGGCGACAGGGACCCATCTGCCTGAGCTAGCACCTGGCCTCCAGGGCGCACGTCAGCAGGAAGCTGGAATGAGGAGCAGCTCCCAGACTTACATGCAGGTAGGCATCCCGCACGGGGCTCAGCTGCCTCGCCGGGCACCGACCCCGTGACCCGTGTGGAGCTGAGAAAACTTAGGCAGGAAAAGGAGGATTGGATATGTTGCGCTTGATATTCCAGGGGGCGCTAGATCGACCTCAGAGAGTGATCGCACGCGTTCAGAAAGTTCATGGAAGATGCGTATCATGAAAAAACTCTGCGTGGGTTTTAATTTTTTTTGCACCAGAATAAACCAAGGTTTTCCTTCACTTTTCTGGAGTTTCTGAAGTCTCCCTGCACACTTGTTGATTCCAGCAGAGGCAGGGATTTGGGGCTCTTACGGCAGCTGCCCGTCTTCTGTCTTTGACACAGGCACCTCCAGCTCCTGGGTTCACCATCCCTGCTGCCTGTGTCCTTATGATCCAAGGTGGCTGCCAGAACTCCGCGCCTCACATCATAGTTCCAGGGAATGCTAGGAAATCCCCCTCTAGTGACCACGTGGCACTTTGGCTTCTATGCCACTGGACAAAACTCTGCCCCCTGGCCTCGCCCAGCTGCTCTTTGTGCGGGATGTAGGGTAACTGTAAAATGCAGTCGTGGTTCTTTGACCGAGGAGAAAGAAAAGAACAGAGGTTGGGCAAGGAGGTTGGCAGCTGCCGCCGCCCTCCCTGAGATTAATGCTTCCTAGCCCTCAGTCTCCAGTTAGGGAACTGTCCTCCGGATGGGGTGGGCAATGCGTTGGAGGGGCCAGTGCAGTGGCTAGTGTCCATCGCCCCATAAATCTTTTTTAAAAGATTTTATATATTTATTCATTTATCAATTTGACAGGTAGAGTTACAGACAGTGAGAGGGAGAGACAGAGAGAAAGGTCTTCCTTCCGTTGGTTCACTCCCCAAATGGCCGCTACGGCCGGAACTACGCCAATCAGAAGCCAGGAGCCAGGTGCTTCTCCTGGTCTCCCATGCGGGTGCAGGGCCCAAGCACTTGGGCCATCCTCCACTGCACTCCCGGGCCACAGCAGAGAGCTGGACTGGAAGAGGGGAAACCGGGACTAGAACCGGTGTCCATATGGGATGCTGGCACCACAGGCAGAGGGTTAACCAAGTGAGCCACGGCGCTGGCCCGCCCCATAAATCTTACAGGCTTTCTGGGGCAGAGGCTTCATCTGGATACCCAGCCCCTGGAAATCTACCCACTCCTCGGGAACTGGTTGAATGAATGAAACCTGTAGACACAAAATCAGAACTGTGGGGTCCTTGCCCAGCGTTTAAAGACAAACACGAGGCCGGCGCCGCGGCTCACTAGGCTAATCCTCTACCTTGTGGCGCCGGCACACCAGGTTCTAGTCTCGGTTGGGGCACCGGATTCTGTCCCAGTTGCCCCTCTTCCAGTCCAGCTCTCTGCTGTGGCCAGGGAGTGCAGTGGAGGATGGCCCAAGTGCTTGGGCCCTGCACCCCATGGGAGACCAGGAGAAGCACCTGGCTCCTGCCATCGGATCAGCGAGGTGTGCTGGCCGCGGCGCGCCGGCCGCAGCGGCCATTGGAGGGTGAACCAACGGCAAAGGAAGACCTTTCTCTCTCTGTCTCTCTCTCACTGTCCACTCTGCCTGTCAAAAAAATAAATTAAATAAAAAAATAAAAAAGACAAACACGCAGCCTTTTCCTGCTTCAAAACCTCACTGGCCATGAGGACAGCGTCCGGTCTCCTAGCTGGCAATGGGGAGGCGTCCCCGGCGTGTCCCACATCACCTGGGCCAGGGCTGCGCGTGGGGGCGGGATACAGGGTCAGGGAGATCTGGATGCACATCCCGACTCTGCCTCTTGGCCGTGACCTGGAGCAAGTCACGTCATCCCTCCGGGCCGATTTCTCCCCTGAGTATTGGGGATCGCTGGGAGGCAGCAGATGGTGGCTTCACTTGTTCACCCGCATGGCAGACCGGGATTGCTCACTCGGCTCCCAGCCCCTGCTGTTGCGGGCATTCAGTGAGTGAACCAGCGGGTGAGAGCGTCCCCCACCCCTTCCTCTCCTGGTCTCTGTCTACCAAATAAGTAAAATAAAAAAAAATTTTTTAAACCAAGATTGGAAAAGAAAACACCCAGGGGTTGGTAGTAGTGTTTGCCTTATGTGGGTATTGAGGGGATTAAGTGGAAATTATATAGGTGGTGCCCTTAGCTCAGCACTCAACTCGTCCCCAGTAGGAGGGAGCTTCAGAAAGCTCACACAGGAGCCGGCACTGTGGCGCAGCCGGGGCTTGAGCCACTGCCCGCGACACAGGCATCCTATATTGGAGCACCAGTTCCAAGTCCCGGCTGCTCCGCTTCCCATCCAGCTCCCTGCTAATGCACCTGGGAAGGCAGCAGAAGAGGGCCGAGTGCTTGGGGCCCTGCCAGTCATGTGGGAGACCCGGATGGAGTTCCTGGCTCCTGGCTTCAGCCCGGTCCAGACCTGGTGGTTGCAGCCATTTGGGGAGTGAACCAAAGGATGGAAGGTGTGTGTGTGTGTGTGTGTGTGTGTGTGTGTGTGTGGTTCTACCTTCGTGGGAAAATTGTGGAATTAAAAGATCACTTTGTTGCAAAACTATTTGAGCCGCAAGCTCAGTTTTCTCAGCTGGGTGCTAACCAGGACCTCTGGGAAGCCCCCGCTGTGTGGTGGTGGTGAGCAGCGGTGATGGTCCTGACACCTCTCAGCCTTGCTCTGGGCTCTGCCCGGCTGGCGTGGAGGAAAGCTCGCTCCTCGGCCAGCTGAAGCCAGTGGGGGAACTGCTCCCACAAGCAGTCCTGAAATCCCGGCGACTTCGCCGCAAAGCCCTTTCTTCCCCGTGCCACAGTCCTAGACAGCCAGGTGGCGGGGGCCGCTCAGCCGGGGGCCCGCACCCCTTCCTGTGTGTGATGCTGCCCGCCTCCTGGCTCCTGGGAGTCCTGTCCCCTTGGCCAGCGCGCAGGGCTGTGAGGCAGGTGGGCCAGGCTGCTTCCCCTACTCTCGGTCACCTGGCCCCCAAAACTACAAAGCATGCTGGGAAGTAGAGTCTGGCTGCGTACTGGATCAGTTAACTTTAGAGGGGAACCGTGGATAGGAAAGGACCTCCCCACCATGACAAAAGTTAGTGCCTTAAACAAGCATCGCCATCTGTGTCCATGACGGGGGTCCATACGTGTCCATGACGGGGGTCCATATGTGTTCATGACGGGGTCCATACGTGTTCATGACGGGGTCCATACGTGTTCATGACAGGGGTCCATACGTGTTCATGACGGGGGTCCATACGTGTCCATGATGGGGGTCCATACGTGTCCATAATGGGGGGTCCATATGTGTTCATGACAGGGGTCCATACGTGTTCATGACAGGGGGTCCATACGTGTTCATGACGGGGGTCCATACGTGTTCATGACGGGGGTCCATACGTGTCCATGATGGGGGTCCATACATGTTAATGATGGGGTGTGTTCATATGTGTTCATGATGGGGTCCATACGTGTCCATGACAGGGGTACATACATGTTCATGATGGGGGTACATACATGTTCATGATGGGGTGTTCATACGTGTTCATGACGGGGGTGTCAGAAGTGTGAGCGGATCTTCTGGTTTCGGCTGTGGTCACTCGTGTGGCCCCAGGCACCTGGTGATGAGCTGGGCTGGGTGACCCGGGGTGGCCTCGCTCACACGGCTGGCGGCTGGCTGGGTCTCCACGTAGTCTCCCACCTCAGAGAGAAGCTGCTCTGGGCACTGTCACCCAACATGGCAGCAGAGCGTGCAGGTGGGAGCCACCACGCCTCTTCAGGCTTTGTTAGTCCTAGTGTATCCCTTCTAGCATATTCTGTGGTGGGGGTCAGGTACAAGTTACAGGGCCTGCCCGGACGGACGCCGGGGGCCGCAGGGGCCGCTTGCAAAGGGTGTGTCTGGGACAGGCTGCAGTAAGTGCCGGGTGTGAAAGCTGGGTTTGGTGAACACACGGCAGGCCCCGTGCCTCCTGCACTTCTGTCCACTCTAAGACTAGGATCAGCCTTCTTCCAGGGCCTCCTCTGACCACCCGGCTCTCCGGCAGTGCTAGTCTCCCCTTCCTCTGGACTGCCACCGTGCCCTGGGCTGCCCCCACCGCAGCACAAGCCCTGGGGTCTCCACTTGAGTGGACGGCCGATCTTCGTGTAGCCCACGGGACTCGTCGCCAGCGAGAATCTAAGGGAGAAAGAGGGGAGGGAGAGGAGGCGGGAGAGCGGAAAGACTGACTCACACCTGCCCCACACCTCTCCTGTCTGTGCCCTGGTCCAGGGGCGGGGCAGGAAGTACAGACGGAGAACGTGACGGTGGCAGAGGGGGGCGTGGCCGAGATCACCTGCCGCCTGCACCAGTACGATGGCTCCATAGTCGTCATCCAGAACCCAGCCCGGCAGACGCTGTTCTTCAACGGCACCCGTGGTGAGTGCTGGGGCGGAGCGAGAGTCCTGAAGGAGGCCGGCCTTGGGCTGGACCTCTGTGTCTGGACCCCGGTCTGCGGGAGGAGGGGCTGGGCCTGGACCCTGGGTCTGAGGGAGGAGGGGCTGGAGGCCTGGACCCTGGGTCTGAGGGAGGAGTGCTGGGGGCCTGGACCTTGGGTGTGAGGGAGGAGGGGCTGGGGGCCTGGACCCTGGGTCTGAGGGAGGAAGGGCTGGGGTCTGGACCCCTGGGTGTGTGGCAGGAGGAGCTAAGCCTGGACCCCTGGGTGTGAGGGAGGAGGGGCTGGGGCCTCGACCCCTGGGTCTGAGGGAGGAGGGGCTGAGCCTGGACCCCTGGGTGTGGGGGAGGAGGAGCTAAGCCTGGACCCCTGGGTCTGAGGGAGGAGGGGCTGGGTCTGGACCTCTGGGTCTGAGGGAGGAGGAGCTGAGCCCGGACCCTGGGTCTGAGGGAGGGGGGGGTGGTCTGGACCCCTGGGTGTGAGAGAGGGGGGTGGCCCGGACCCTGGGTGTGAGGGAGGAGGGGCTGGGTCTGGACCTCTGGGTCTGAGGGAGGAGGGGCTAAGCCCGGACCCTGGGACTGAGGGAGGAGGGCTGGGCCTGGACCCCTGGGCTCACGCCCCCTCACCCTAGCCCTGAAGGACGAGCGCTTCCAGCTTGAGGAGTTCTCCCCGCGCCGGGTGCGGATCCGGCTGTCGGACGCGCGCCTGGAGGACGAGGGCGGTTACTTCTGCCAGCTGTACACGGAGGACACGCACCACCAGATCGCCACGCTCACCGTGCTAGGTAACGGCCGCCCCCTCGCCGGGAGCACCGGACAGCCGGCTCCGGCAAATGGAGCCCACCGTGCGGGCCGCTGGCACGGGTGCTCCACCGGGCCCTGCACCCTGGCTGCTTGGGGCCCAAGGGCGCGTCTCTTGCCCCCTTCTGCCCCGCGACAGTGGCCCCGGAGAACCCTGTGGTGGAGGTGCGAGAGCAGGCGGTGGAGGGCGGCGAGGTGGAGCTCAGCTGCCTGGTGCCGCGGTCCCGCCCGGCAGCCGTTCTGCGGTGGTACCGCGACCGCAAGGAGCTCAAAGGTACCGGAGGCCTGGAGCCGCCGAGGGGCGGGGCCTAGAGGGGCGGGGCTTGTGGTGGGTGGTGCTTGTCGAAGAGCTTGCAGGTGCTGCCCGACACCAGCCAGTGTGCATCTGGGAGAAGGCGGGGCGATGAAGGAGGGCGGAGCTTTGGGAAGCAGGGGGCGGGGCGAGGGTTGGGGGGCCTGGAAGGGCGGGGCTTGTGGAAGAGCGCGTTGGTGCTGCCGGACACCAGCCAGTGTACAGGGTACAGGTGGGAGAGGGCGTGGCGATGAAGGAGGGCAGAGCCTTGGGTCGAGGGCGGGGCTTGGCAAGCTGCCTAGTTTGGGACTGGCCGGCGCGAGGGCGGGACCGGGGTCCCGGCCTCACTGGGTCCTGGCCGGGCAGGCGTGAGCAGCGGCCAGGAGAATGGCAAGGTGTGGAGCGTGGCGAGCACCGTGCGGTTCCGCGTGGACCGCAAGGACGACGGCGGCATCGTCATCTGCGAGGCGCAGAACCAGGCACTGCCCGCGGGCCACAGCAAGCAGACGCAGTACGTGCTGGACGTGCAGTGTAAGTGCCCAGGGGACCCCGCGCTGGCCATCCGCGCCCGGCAGGGGCCCTAGCCCCCGCGTGGGGGATCCGGAAACAGCTCCCCCTCCTCTCTGCTCCCCACAGACTCCCCCACGGCCCGGATCCATGCCTCCCAAGCGGTGGTGAGGGAGGGAGACACGCTGGTGCTGACCTGCGCTGTTTCGGGGAACCCCAGGTGAGCTCTGGAGAGCCGAGGGCTGGGCAGACAGGCAGCTCGGGCCCTGTCCTGGGGCAGCGGCTAGAGCACCGGGACAGTGGAAGGGCCGGGGCGCGGCGCTGGCGACCGGTGGGAGCTGGGCCGGTGACTGACGGCCTCTGGGGAAGGAAGGGGCAGGTCCAGGTCCTCTTATTTGGAGGTCCCTGCAGGGCGAGGGGTGCCTGCCTAAGTTCCTTCGAAGTCACATCTGGGTGCTGGGCCCTGGCTTCCTAGCGCTCACCGTGCTCCCCCTCGCCCCGCTCCCCAGGCCAAACCAGATCCGCTGGAACCGCGGGAATGAGTCCCTGCCCGAGCGGGCCGAGGCGGTGGGGGAGACGCTCACGCTGCCGGGCCTGGTGTCGGCGGACAACGGCACCTACACCTGCGAGGCGTCCAACAAGCACGGCCACGCGAGGGCGCTCTACGTGCTCGTGGTCTACGGTGAGGGCGGGGCGGGGCGCAGGTGTATGGGGCGGGGCCCCGGCCGCGCAGGTGTTTGGAGGGTGCACAGCCACCTGGGGCCAGGCTGCCCGTCGGACTCCAAATTTGATTTTGCTGGCACTTGATCTGTTTGCGCCTTAGTTTTCCCATCAGTAAAATGGCGACCGACAGCAGCACGTAGCTAACCGAGCTGCTGCGATGATACACGCGCTAAATATGCAAAACGGGTGGAATGCCCCCCGAGCACCGAATAAGCGGATAAGCGTAGGAGTTTACCTCTGATGGTAAACTGGCGGCCACACTGCCAGATGCGGCATTCCGAGGGGCAGGGCTGGATGTGTGCAGAATGGCTTAAGAGCCTGGAGGCGACTGGGGCTGGACAATGACCTGGCCCTGCACGCTGTCCTGGCAGACCCTGGCGCGGTGGTGGAGGCCCAGACGTCGGTTCCCTACGCCATCGTGGGCGGCATCCTGGCGCTACTTGTGTTTCTGATCATATGTGTGCTAGTGGGCATGGTCTGGTGCTCTGTCCGACAGAAAGGTGAGTGCACGGCTGGGGCTCCGCGGCGGGTGTGGCGGGCTGTGGATTTGGAAGGGGATGGGGCCCAGAGTCCCGGGTTCCCCAGAGGGAGGGGGCGGAGCCAGGTGTTGGGCCTGGCAGGTAAGCTGTTGGTTGGGATGTGGGCATCTCATATCTGGTTTGGATTCGCGCTTCCTGCTACAGCACATCCTGGGTGGCAGCAGGTGTTGGCGCGAGTCCTTAGGTCCCTGCCACCCACGTGGGACACTGGATTGAGTTCCTGGCTTCTGGCTTCCACCTGGCAGTCCCCCACCATGGCAGGCTCCTGTGAGAAGGGAGCCCCCTTCTCTGTCCTTCAAATAAATAATTTTTAAAGTCCAGGGGGCAGCACCTACACCCAGAATTCAAACTCCAGCAAGACCTGGGGCTAATTCCAAAGAGGGCTGGGCTTTGGGCCCTGGACTCTAAAAGGGGTGGAACTTGAAAGCTGAGTTAAGGGTGTGGATTTGAATAAAACCCGCCTCTTCCCAAGCACTGGATTCCCTGGGGGTAGAGGGGCCCCCGCAGACCGAAGGGGATAAGGGTGGGTCTTCGAGGAGTTCCTGGTCTTCCTAACTCTGCTTTCACACCCCTCTCTGCCACCATTGGCTCCCCGGGCCCTGACTCCCGCCCTCTGTGCCCCACCCCCCGCTGTCTGTCTTGTCTCTCTCTGCCACCATTGGCTCCCCGGGCCCTGATTCCCGCCCTCTGTGCCCCCATGCCCCCTCCCCGCTGTCTGTCTTGTCTCTCTTCCTGCTCAACCTCTGGGTCCCCATGTCCCTTCTTCCATGGACTTACCTGTCGGCTGCCCAGGCTCCTACCTGACCCACGAGGCCAGCGGCTTGGACGAGCAGGGAGAAGCGAGAGAAGCCTTCCTCAATGGCAGCGACGGGCACAAGAGGAAAGAGGAGTTCTTCATCTGACCCCACCCCCACCCCAGGCCTGGGCCTGGGCTGGGGTCCCCCCACTGCCAGCTGCAAGGAACCAGCAGAGACATTTACCAGAGTCTGGGCTGGTGGGCTTCTCCCCCCACCACTAACACCTCAGATGCTTGGGCAGGGATGGGGGTGTTGGGTGCCTGGATCTCTGCAGGGGCCACCAGTGAGGGCCCAGATGTCCGGGGCCCCCAGGGGGCAAGGACCCAAGGTCCAGACCCCCAAGTCCAGGGAGGGCAGTAGGGATTGGGTAGGGGGCGAGAACCGGGGGAAGGCCAGGGCCCCAGGGCTACAGAACCAGGTCTTGTGGGGAGGGAGTCAGATTCTGGGAAAGGTGGGTGGGCAGGGAAGGGGAACAGAGATTTCTCTGGGGGTCCTAGACCCCACGCCAGCCATTGTGAGAGTTCCACAGAGCTCTGGGCACCTCTTTGCAAAGCCATGTTTGCACGGTGGGGGTAGGGTGGGGGGCGGGCGTGGAAGCAGGGATTCTGTGTCTTCGTGTCATAGCTGAAGGGGGCGGTGGGGGAGACGGCCCTGACCCCTTTCTCCAGCCCCTTCCCCGGGCTCCTGGGCCCCCCTTCCCTCTGCCTCCTCCCCCCATGTCTACCCCACCCCTATTTGTCTGTCCACCCACTCCTGGGGGGGCCTTCCCATCTCTCCTCCAGGCCCCCCGGGGAGGGGGAAAGGAGTTTGGGGGCGGGGGGATACATGGTCTCTATGGTTTTATATATAATATATTAAAAAAATCAAAAATCTGTATGAAAATATCAGATTGCAACCCCCTCCCCCTATTCCTGGCTTTGGCCCCCTTTTTCTTGTTTAAAAAAAAAAAAAAAAGAAAACCACACATTTTGTACGGGGCAGGGAGGGGATTGGGGAGGGGGTTTGGCAATCCCACTAACCACCATTAAACTGAGGAGAGAACCAGTGTCGGTGGCTGTGTCTGTCCCTGGGAGGGGAGTTCAAGTGGGGGAGGGGTGGGATGGTTTCTGTGCACTGACCTGGCCAGCGCACCTCACCCACCCGGGAAACGTGGGTTTTTCCTTGCCACTTCTTTAGCCAAACAGTCTCGAAGTCTCAATTCTTTAATAACTACTGAGCTACCTCAGCCCATCCCCCAGGGCCTGGCCCTCCCCTGGCCCCACCTCCACCCCCATCACCCTGTCACCCTCCCTGGCCCTGCCCCGCCCCACGCCCCTCCCGCCTCCCCATCCCCTCTGTATCAGGCCAGAGCTCTCCCGGCACCGGGTTGCTGCGCGAGTTACTCTAACTGTATTCTAACTCCACCGTGAATCAGACAAGGGTTAGCTGTCGCGAGAGCTAAGCACTGATCTGAAGTCTGGTCCCGCGCTGGGCACTAAGGACCAGAGTGAACCGCGAGGCTTTCCCGCGGGAAACAGACCTCAGCACAGACTGACCGAGCCAGAACGCCACAGAGGGGGACGCGCCGGTAGGACAGACATGGGACAGAACACTTCGAACAGGAGCAGGTGGGACAGGGAAACCCCGGGTACACTTCAAGCCAGCCTCAGCAGCCAGCACCCACCCGTGAGCACCCCGGACTCCTCGACAGCCTCACTCACGAGTGGAGGTGCTGTTACCCCCAGACTGAGGTCTGTGCCAAGACGTGGAGAGCCCCCGAGCAGCTAGCTGTGTGCAGATCAGAGGAACAGCGAGATCAAAGACTGTGTGCGGGAAGCGGAGCTGAGACAGTGGATACAGAGGGTGGGCGAGGGCGGGTCACGTGATGGCCTCCGAGCCCCTGATAAGGAGCTGGGGGTTTTAAGAAGTGTAAGGGGACCCCTAGAGACGTGACAGTCACTTCCTGCGGGGAGACAGCAGCGGCTCCCGCACCGGGCACAGAGCCCGAGCTCGCTGCAGGAGCCCTTCCCCTCCCCGGCTCTGTGTTCCAGGCACACCCGTCCCAAATCTGACCTCCCTGGGGTAGGGGGGGGGGCTATTTAATCAGACGTGTGAACGCCCCAGGGCTGTGTCTCCTATGCCAAAGAAACCCAACTGGCCGCCTGCTGCAAAGATCACCAAAGGTGCACCCCGGCTGAGGGGGCGTGGAGGCTGGAATGGTCCTCCTCCGCGTCCTTGTGGCCTGTCTTCGGACCGATCCTCGACCAGAACCCGGCCTGCCCGCTTCGCGCCCCGCGGCGGGCCTAGTGCGCACGCGCCTCGCTCACAGCCACCGCCCCTCCCCGCCATATGCTAATCACTGCGCTCGGGAGCCCCGCCTCCCCGGGGAATATGCAAATCACCTCCCCCGTGCGGGAGGCCGCCTATTGTCCCGCGGTGGGGTGCGGCGCGCGAGCGGGCCCGGGTCCCGCACCCCAGCCGGGCGGGCGCCCTCCGCCCGCGGCGCGCCCCGTCCTGGTGAGGCGCCTTCCCGCCACGCACACGCACACGCACGCGCGAGCCCCGCGGCTTCTGTGGCCTTCGGGCCGCGGACCGTACCAAGTCGCCCCGGCCGACGAGGGGCCACGCACCGCACCCCCCGGCGCGGGGCTCGGCTCGCGCGGCCCCCTCCTCCCACAGCGCGCCGGGAATGGTCCGTCTCGCCGCGCAAGCGCCCTAGGCGCCTCACGCCCCCCTGCGCTCGCTCCTGCCCTGCTTGCGGCGCAGGCGCGAGGCCCGGGCGTGCAGCCGCCACCCACCGCCGGGCCGGAGCGGGGGCCGCCGACGACCGTGAGTGTCCGGGGAAGGGGTGCGCGGGGCATGCCGGGAAGCGGGCGCTACGGCCCCGCTGCATGACGGGAGTGACACCTCCTGTCGCCCGAGGAGCGGGCAGCGGTCGGGGCGGCGCTGGCCTGGGGGCGAGACCCAGGTGCCCCTCTGTGGCCCCCGCGCGTCCTGGTCGCGCCCTGAGGCAGCGCGGGGAGACGGGGCACTCCGCCTCTCGGCAGCGTGCCGGTCGTTAGAGGCCCGGTGCTTCCCGGGAAGGGGCCCCCCGGCTCTCCCATGGCGACCCGGACCCTTTGTCACACACCCACTGTCGAGCATTCTAGGAGCGGGGAAAGCAGCCTGCGGGGAGTCCGCGCAGGGCATTGGGGGGACCGGCCCTTACTGTCCGGCCTCCTCGCCCTCGCGTGGCGGGGCCGGTGCCTGTGGTGCACGCGGGGCGTCTTGGGAGTTGGGTTCCTTGGGGCTCAAGGGCGTTTGCGGGTGCCCACTGCTGGCGCTGCTTTTTTTTTTTTTTTTTATTCGAAAAGACAAGGGCTTCCATCTGCTGGTTCACTCCCAAAATGGCGGCAACGGCCAGGCGGGAGCCAGGAGCCCGTTCTGGGCCTCGCACATGGGCAGCGGGGCGGCGAGCGCTCCCGAGGCGCATTAGCCGGAAGCTGGGTCGGAGGAGAAGTGGCTGGGGCTTGAACCCCTGCCCGGCCACAACCCGAGGGTCTCGGCTCAGGCCCCGCTCGGATCTGAGGGCCCTCGTGTCGGAGGGGTGGGCATTTGCACCCAGGGCTGGCTCCGCGGGGGTCCCAGTGCTGTGGGCTGGGGGGGGGGCGGGGGCCGGACTGGTGGGCGTTGTCTCCGGGGAGCCTCCTTAGAAGTCCTGGTTGTCCTCCGTGTGCACTTCCTGGGTGGAGGTACAGGATGCCTCGTTAAGTTTGAATTTCCAGTAAGCAACATAAAATCTTTTGGGAAAGTGGGCAGCGGGTTAAGCTTCTGCCTGCGAATCCGCATCCTATATTGGAGCTCAAGTCCCGGCTGCTCCTCTCCGGGTCCAGCTCCCTGCTAATGCGCCTGGGAAAGCAGCGGACGACGGCCCAAGCGCTTGGGCCCCTGCACCCGCGTGGGAGGCCCGGATGGAGCTCCCGGCTCCTGGCTTCTGCCTGGCTGTGTCCTGACCCTCACGGCCATTTGGGGAGTGAACCAAGAGATGGAAGATTCTCTATCTCTCTCTCCCTTAGAAGAAACTTTTAAAAAAATTACATCAAAAATATGAGTAATGATTTGTTGTTTAACTGAACTTTGTTCTAAGAGATATATTTTTTTAAGATTTATTTATTTGAAAGGCAGAGTTACAGAGAGGCAGAGAGAGAGAGAGAGGTCTTCTAACCGCTGGTTCACTCCCCAATTGGCCACAATGGCCGGGGCTGTGCCTATCGGAAGCCAGGAGCCAGGAGCTTCTTCAGGTCTCCCACACGGGTTCAGGGACCCAGGCACCTGGGCCATCCTCTACTGCTTTCCTAGGTCATAGCAGAGAGCTGGATCGGAAGTGGAGCAGCCGGGACTGTGGGCGGAGGCTTTACCTGCTACACCACAGCACCAGCCTCTGAAATTTTTTTTTTATACACACACATATATACTGCCCCCCCCTGCAAACAGGGATATTAATATCATAAAGTGAGATTCATGACAATGATCTTAGTGAGGTGAAATTCACATTTCATTGGGCATCCTGTTTTTATGTGCATAATTTGGTCCTCTTTCCTGCTTTTAGGTAGAGTTCCCAAGTTGGGTGGGCCCTGCAGGGTAGAGGATGTCCTAAGAACACTCCCCGCCCAGATCAGCCGCCTCCTCCAGGAAGTCCCTCAGCCCTCCCCAGCATCCTTATCTTTTGAGTTTCCGACAGTGAACTTGAGCTCCAGACATTGAAAGGGGCCTCGGGTTTTCCATCACTGTTTGGCCAGTGCCCGGCACAGACCTTGGCCTGCAGGACACAGCCTAGGCGGCCAGCCCCTCCACTAACGGCCTGGGCGGCTCTCTGTCGTCAGGAAACGCAGGGAGAGAAGCTCCGTGTGTGTGTGTGTGTGTGTGTGTGTGTGTGTGTGTGTGTTGGGGGCGTGGTCTGCAGGTGAGGAGGGCAGTCAGGTTTGGCTTCCTGGAGGGGCACAGGCTCTCTAGGGCCAGGACAAAGGACAGAGGTTTTTAGGTTGGCGGTGAGCTGCGAGGGTGAGTTCCCTGGGGAAGGAGGTCTCTGCTGCTGGCGACCGCAGATGTGACAAGGCCTGGGGTGCACGGAGAGAGGTGCAGGATCCAAACTGGCCGAGTTTACGGGGGCGGAGGGAGGGGTCCCGGAATGCCTGCCCCCTCCCAGCCACCTCCCTGAATGAGCCCCCGACCCACCCAAGAGATCATTTTATGAGAGATGGGAGGACTGCCCGCTGGGTGGTGTGACCTCGGGCCACTTGCTCAGCCTCGGTGCGTGCCTCAGTTTCCCCCATCTGTACAGAGGGGGCAGTCTCTCAGCTTGATTCTGAGGAGCCCAGGAGTGAAGCCCTTAGCTTGACACCACACAGCCACCTTGGCAGTTAGGAGCAGGCGGAGGGTCACAAACCAGTGTCGCCTCATTTAAATATTGAGATCCTTCCTGCCGCCTTATTTAAATATTGAGATCCTTCCCACCCGTCATCAAGTGCACGCCACACCTGACTGCCGCTTCAGGGCCTCCCCCAGCCCCGGAGTTCCCCACAGTCCAGCGACGGAAGGGTTAATGCCTGCCACAGGCTCCTGCTCATCTCCGTTCTGATTGGTGCCGATGCCATTACCTGCCGATCAATATCTGGAATTTTGCCTTCCCCTCCCCCCATGGAATAAGAACAGAGGGGCGGGGCCGGGGCAAGGCTTTGCACGGAGCACCCAGCTGGGTGGGGGTTGGGTCGAGTGCTATGTGAAAATTTATTGAGCTGTCGCCGGCCTTTCCTTTCCCCTGCCCAGCGTCCCTCTACCTGCCAGCACCCCGTATTAGAAGACTCTGTGGCCGGAGAGCTGGCCGGGGAGGGACGCTGCCCAGCTGCTGCTCTTCTGCTGTTTCCCGTCCCCTCCCCTGGCCATGACAGAGACCCGTGAGCCAGCTGAGACCGGGGGCTACGCCAGCCTGGAAGAAGATGACGAAGACCTCTCCCCAGGTGAGGCGACCTTGGAGGTGGTGGCGTTGGCGTGGGCATCACGGGTCGGGGCTTCGTCGGGAGAGCGCGGTGTGGCCTGGCTGGGAGACCCCTTCCAGCTGAAACCTCCAGGGGCTGTAGGTTGGCCGTGACCCCTCTCCACGGTGGGGGTTCTGGAGCGGCGAGGGCCTCTCCTCTTGCTGGGGGTCCTAGGTGGGGTGCCGCACATCCCCTTGCTGGAGGCTGCAGATGGGCTGTGCTCCTGCTTCTTCCTGGAGCTCCTAGATCGGCCGCGAGTGCTGTCCATGCTGGTGGTTCTGTATCGGCCGCGAGCCCTGTCCATGCTGGCGGTTCTGGATCGGCCGTGAGCGCTGTCCACGCTGGCGGTTCTGGATCGGCCGCGAGCGCTGTCCACACTGGTGGTTCTGTATCGGCCGCGATCCCTGTCCACACTGGCGGTTCTGGATCGGCCGCGATCCCTGTCCACACTGGTGGTTCTGTATCGGCCGTGAGCGCTGTCCACGCTGGTGGTTCTGGATCGGCCGTGAGCGCTGTCCACACTGGTGGTTCTGTATCGGCCGCGAGTGCTGTCCACGCTGGTGGTTCTGGATCGGCCGCGAGCCCTGTCCACACTGGCGGTTCTGGGTCGGCCGCGAGCTCTGTACGCGCTGGGGCTTCTGGATCGGCCGCTGCTGCTCTCCCTGCTGGGGGTTCTGGACGGGCTGCGGACTCTCCGCTTGCCAGGTCTCGGTTGCTTGTGGCCTCTCCTCTTACTGGAGGTTCGCGGCTGGCTGGGGTCCCTCTCCTCGCTGGGGGTTGTGGACCGCGCGTGGCTGGGAGCCCTCTGTCTGCTGCGGCTCCGGCGCTGGCCGCTCGGGGTCCTGGACCCGTTGTGACTTCCTTCCCTTCTGGGGGTTCTGGGTGGGTTTGGGCTCTCCCCCTTGCCGTAGGTGCTCCGTGCCCTCACCTGGCTGGGAGTTCCCCTCCGGATCCGGCTTCTCGCTCTGCTGTGATTCCGCTTCCAGCCGTAGCCTCTCAGCCGGCTCTGGGGCCTGTCACGGCTGACGCTCCTGGCCCTTCTGGGGGTGCGGGACCTGCTGCGGCTGGGGGTGCTGGAGCGGCTGGGACTTGGCGCTGTGCTCGAGGTGCTGGCCTGGATGTAACCCTTGTCGGTCCAGCTGTAGCTGCCTTCCCAGCGGGAGGCGTCCGCCTGGCTGTGGCTCTGCACCTTCCGCGGGGATGGCGGGGACTGGCTGAGGCCCTGCTGCCGCGAGGGCACCTGGGTCAGGCTGCGGCTCTTGGTCCTGCTGGGGGTTACGGCCAGGCGGGAGCCGCTGCGCACCGCCGAGGCCCTGGGCGGGCTGTGCGGCTTCTCCTTGCTCACGTTGCCGGCTTGGCTCTGGCTCCTCTTCCTGTTGGTGGCTCGAGGCCGGCTGTCACTCTTCCCCCCACCCTGTTTCTGCTGGGAAGCCGGAGTTCTCGCCCTCTTGGCTGTGCCCGCTCTGGCGTTGTGCGTCCTCACCCTGCTGGGAGTGCTGGTCCTGCTGGGTGACCTCTTGGAGCTGTGGCCCCGCCGTGGGCCGGGCGTCCTGCCCCGGCTGTGCGCGCCCCTCTGCTGCTGCTGTCGCACGCTGCTGGCCGTGCTGGCCCGCGTGTCCGCGCTGGCCCTGCCGGACGGTCTCGCCTTGCTGTGGAGCTGGGACTTCTTGCTGGGCCTGCCGGGAGGGGCCGTCTTTGTGCTCGTGGGTTTGGTGGACTTGGAACTGCTTGGGCTCACGACCGCGGTGGGAGTTGTGGACGGCCTGGCGGGCGTTACCGACTTGGTGGTCTTCAAGGAGGCAGGAGGCGCGGGAGCCACGGTGGGCATGGAGGGCCCGGTGGAGGCTGGAGACATGCCGGGCTTGGAGGATCTCTTCGGTGGAGAAGGCATGGTGGGCGGGAGAGGGCTTGTGGCCCTGGACGTCATGGTGGGCATGAAAGACCTGGTAGCTGTGGGCAGTGACCTGACTGCCGTCACAGGCCTCCTGCGTGAAGTCATAGTGGTCACTGAAGGCCCTGGAGGGAGGGTGGGTGAGCCTGGCCAGAGGCGGGAGAGTTTTCTGCGCTGCAGCCATTCAGCAGGCGTCTCTAGCGTTGCTGGGATGTGGAGATGGGTCAGACCCAGCTCCCGTCCTCAGGGGTCTGCAGGCGGCCACTGCCCAGGGTGGTCAGGCTGCAGTGGAGCAGTCTAGAGGAGAGGGACACTGACCACCCAGGAAGTCAGGGAGGACTTCACGGAGGTGGTGGCCAGGTGAGCTGCACCTGGGGGAGCAGCAGGAGTTTGCCAGTAGAGAGGAAAAGGGTGCCCCGGGGAGAAGAGCAGAGGTAAGGCCTGGACGAGGGAGGTCAGGGCCGGGGGCCGCTGTCCGCCACTGACCCGCTCGACCTCTGCCGCGCTGTGCTGGGACCCCTGGAGGAGCCCCAGTCTGACGGGGTGCTGGGGCGGGGGGCCCAGGGGGAGACCTCCGACTGGGGGTCGGGGCCCGGGTAGCTTCGTGGAGCCTGTGCTAGATCCGGAAGGGGAAGTCGGAGGCTGCCCGGTGGGCAGAGTGGGCCCCGGCGTTCCAGGCAGAGGGCCCGGCCCAAGGCCTGGTGAGATGTCTGGTCAATGGCAGGGAGAGAGCAGGGTGGCGCAGGGACAGGTGAGGACGCTGCGCAGACACCGAGAGCCCGCTCCTCTGGGCTGCTGGGGACACAGCTGTGAGTCAGACCGGGCCTGGCCCCTGGTCTGGGTCGGAAAGAACCTGGGCGCAGGCGGCCGCAGCTCGGAGCTGGGACCACGGAGGCGGCAGCAGAAGGGGCAGGACATGGGGACATCTGGGACGGCCCGGAGGCTGATGGGAAGAACTCCGGCAGGGCATTTGCAGTGGAGGGAAGAGCGAGCATGTGTGAAGGACCCTGGAAAGATCTGTCCAAGTGAAAGCAAAGTCTCCGGCCTGCGCACACAGAATGTTCTAGAATGCCAGGACCACAGCCGTGAACCTGACAAAGGCCCTGCTCTCAGGGACAGGCAGTAGCCACGCAGAGCAGGGGCAGAGGGGGCACCGAGAGGTGGGGTTGTGGCTGGGGAAGACAGGCAGCTGCCGGGCCAGCTCCCACGGCTGCGGCCGCCATGACACCGACCTCACAGGCAGCCGCACCCAGCCTCTGCGCAGCCTCTGTGGGCACTGCTGATGGCCCAGCTGCAAGTTGTTTCTCTCCTGTGTATGTAAAAGGCAGAGCAAAAAGGGAGAGAGAAAGATGTGCCTTCCATCTACGCGTTCTCTCCTCAAATCCACAACAGTCAGGCCGGGCCAGTCAAAGCCAGGAGCTCCGTCCTTGTCTCCCACAAGGGTGCAGAGGCTTAACCCGCTCAGCACAGCGCTGGGCCCTCTCCTTTTCTTAAACCTCAACTTGACCTAGGGGTCTCCTTCGTACACACGAAATCACAGTAATATAGCTGTACTTAATAAACGTCTTAATTCATTCAAATCTATAAGAGCTCTTAGAAAAGTAGAATTAAAAGATAATTGAGGGGCTGGTGCTGTGGCGTAGCAGGTAAAGCCACCACCTGCAGTACCGGCATCCCATGTGGGCGCCAGTTCAAGTCCTGACTACTCCACTTCTGATCCAGCTCTCTGCTGTGGCCTGGGGAAGCAGCAGAAGATGGCCAAGTGCTTGGGCCCCTGCACCCGTGTGGGAGACCTGGAAGAAGCACCTGGCTCCTGGCTTCAGATCTGCCTTGCTCCAGTGGTTGCAGCCATCTGGGGAGTGAACCAGCAGATGGAAGACACCTCTCTCTCTCTCTCTCTCTCTCTCTCTCTGCCTCTCCTCTCTCTATAATTCTGACTTTCAATTAAATACATAAATCTTTAAAAAAAAAAAAGATCATTGAGAAGGTAGACATTTGGCTCAGCAGTTAAGTCACTGCTTGAGACACTGGCACCCATAGAGGCTCCTGGTTTGAGTTCCAGCTCCTCCCCTTCCAGTCCAGCTTCCTGCCAAGGTGTCCTGGGGAGGCAGCAGGTGATGGCCAAGTGCTCGGCTCCTGCCACCCACACGGGCTCCTGACTTTGACCTGGCCCGGCTCTGCTGTTGCAGATACCTGGAGAGTGAATCAATCATGGATGGAAGACCCCTCTCTGCCTTTCAAATAAGGTGAAAATAAATCAATAAAATATGTATAGGAGAAAAGGCAGGTTTAGTTTGATGTGAAGACATTGTGAGACTTCTGCGATTTGTCTCACGGACATTTTGAAGATCCCTCAATATGCACGCCTTCGGGTCCCATTTCCCACAAAGGTTTGCAAGCCCCCTCCTACATACGTGGTCAGATACCGCAGTGCCCACACAGGCGGACGCGTTTCCATTTGCTGGAATGCCTTTTCAGATGCTTGTCCCCTGGAAGGCCAGCGCACGAGGCCCCTCCGCCGGGACCTCAGTGTGCCTGGCATCCTCCGGGGGTGCTCCCCTCGCGCCCTCGCAGGCTGCTGTCGGAAGGGAGGCGATGCCTGGGAACAGGGCTCTGGCGATGGCGGCAGCTGCGGCCATCGCCGCCCTCGCTCTGGCTTCACCCACCGCCCGTCTGCCTGACGCCCGGGCCGGGCTGTGCCCTCGCCTGCGGGGACGGGAGGGCCGTGCCCGGCCGTCCTCTGACGCCGCTGCCCCTCCCCGTCTGTCCCCCACAGGCCCCGAGCACTCCTCCGACTCTGAGTACACTCTCTCAGAGCCCGACTCCGAAGAGGAGGAAGACGAGGAGGAGGAGGAGGAGGAGACCACTGATGATCCAGAGTACGATCCGGGCTACAAGGTGAAACAGCGCCTGGGGGGCGGCCGGGGCGGCCCCTCCCGCCGGGCCCCGCGCGCAGCCCAGCCCCCGGGCCCCCTGGCCCAGCCCTGCCAGCTCTGCGGCCGCTCCCCGCTGGCCGAGGCCCCGCCGGGCACCCCGCCTTGCCGGCTCTGCTGCCCTGCTTCAGCCCCGCAGGAAGCCCCCGTGCCCGAAGGCAGGGCCCTGGGGGAGGAAGAGGAGGAGCCCCCTCGGGCTGGGGAGGGCCGGCCCGCTGGGCGGGAGGAGGAGGAGGAGGATGAGGAGGACGAGGACGAGGACGAGGAGGGCACCTACCACTGCACGGAGTGCGAGGACTCCTTCGCCACCCTGGGCGAGCTGCACGGGCACTTCATGCTGCACGCGCGCGGGGAGGTGTAGGCCGGAGGGGCGGGGCGGAGGCGGGGCGGGAGGCGGGCGGAGGGGCGTGGTCACAGCGGTCAGGGCCGGGGAGGGGACCGCTCGTCTGTGTTGTCTTCGCTGTCGATGTGTGAAGGCCAGAATAAAAGCCACTTTGCGTGTGTGTCTGGGCATGTGTGTCTGGAGCGCCGTCCTCGGCCTGTGGGAACCTGGGGATCTCTGTGGCCCAGCGGACAGACGTGTGCTCAGCCCGGGGTGGCTTCCGGCCGCGCTCCCAGCCCCAGCCACACACGGAATTCTGTCACCGAGTGGACGATCTGGGGACCAGGCCACCCTTCGGTCTGCCACCCACACCAGCGAGGCCGGGTCCTGCCGCGGAGCACGGGGAGCTTCGTGGTGCTCGTGCCGTCCTCGGCGCCCGGGGCTGCCTCCTTGGGTCGCTTCACCGGAAATGAGTTACGTGGGCGCAGCTAAGTGCAGAGCAGTCTGGGTAAGCACCCAGCAAGAGTCTGCGGGGGGCAGCGCGTCGTCGCTGCGCGTCCTGGGTGTCGGCCGGCCCCCGGGCTGTGTGTGTCGTCTCACGGTTGTGCGTCTAGGAGCTTGCAGAGCAGAGCCTGTTGCCAGCACAGCTGCCCCGCTCCCGCTCGCACGGGGCGCCGCGCCACATTTGCATGAGCTCTCCGGGTTCTTAGAATAACTCCGGGAGATAGGGACCGGCATCCATGAATTTGCATGCCGTATGCTCTGCGTACCCGCTGGGCGCGAACACAGCTTCGGGAAGTAACACCAGTGAATAAAACAAAATCCCTGTCCACGTGCCAGAAGACAGAGGGGACCAGGCACTGTGCAGGGACGAGCCGGGGGAGGGGCTGCCATCCGAGACAGTGCAGTCCCCCCCCTAGAAGGTGGCGGACCTGGAGGAGGGAGGCGGGAAGAAGCGTCCAGTCTGGGGGGGAGGCAGGAGCCCTCCTGGTATGTCGGGGTAGCCAGAGGATCCGGAAGGGACCGGGACTGAGGGGAGGAGGGCCAGCTCAACCCAGCCTTGCCGGAGCCGGGCTCCTGCTCTGCCACGGAGGCACCGAGGCCGTTTGGAAAACAGAAGCTGATCATAGCGACAGCCGCCGTTTCCCGAGCACCTGCCATGTGCCCAGCGTGTTCTACGGCCCTCCACGCGTGTCAGCGCCCAGAAGCCTGGCACCTAAGAGCCTTCAGGAATAGAACTTGAATTACCACAGTGGCCAGGCCCGGGCTCAGTGCCTTGCGTGGACAGTGTCCTCCCTCCTGAGCGCCTGCGGGCTTCCAGTCATGTCATGGTGGCCGTGGAGCAGGGCGCAGCACGGCTGGGAGGCTGGGGGGCAGGACGGGATTGGGGCGCGGAGGGCTGCTCGCGACTCCCGCGGGGGAGGGGCAGGAAGGTGAGTGCCCTGTAGGCGAGCAGAGCTGGGCCCACTTCCTGCAGCTCCCGGGGTGGGGGTCCTCAGGTCGTGGTCACCTCCTCAAGCCCGACCTCTGAATGCGCTCACCTGGGGTCTCAGGTTCCCCACATGGGAATCTTGGGGGTCCCAGCCATTCCAGCCACGGCGCATGGGTCAGCGTGGGATAGGCCTCGTGCCCCAGGGCAGCCTAACCCTCCTCTGCCGTCAGGGATGTCAGCACCGGGAATCACCGGGAATCCACAGTATTCCTGAGGATCAGGAGCCGCGGGAGGCACGCGTGGCCTCCGGAGAGGGCACACTGAACACGGCCCGGGCTCCAGGGGGCATTGGGTGGGCAGTCACCCGGAAGTGAGACTCCGCCTCCGTGTAGGACTGGCGGGTCCCTCTGGGGACCGAACTCGAGGCAGGCAGCACCCGATGGAGGAGCGTGGGACACAGTTTACAGTGTGGGAGGCACGGCGGAGGCCGAGAGACCAAGCACCGGCTGGGGGCTGGGGTGCAGTGTGAGGGACACAGAACCACAGATACACAGGCGCGGTGCAGGTAGGAGGTGACTCGGGCAGGGGTGAGGCATGCAGGTCGAGGAGGGCCCCCCGGGAGGTGGCGCGAGGTGTAGAGGTAGGCCTGCAGAGTTCTGGGGGAGGGGCACTCCTGAGGGACCAGCAAGTGCAAAGGCCCCGAGGCAGAATCAACTCCGGGGAAGCAGAGCAGGCAGCGAGCAGACTGCCTGTGGGCCTGGGTGAGCTCGCTGGATGTCGCTTGTGGGATCCCACGGGAGAGTCCGAGATGAGCCACGTGGGCTGATGTACTGGCTGGTCTGAGGTAGAGGGGGAGCAGTTAGGGACGAGGGCTGCGCTGCGGGGAGAGGCGGCCAGACTGGGGAGTGTGAGCGCAGGGCGGGCCGGGGGCCACGGAGGCACGGTGACCCCATTCTAACTGTGCAGTACCCCATCTGCCAGCCAGGTGGCTGCATCTCCGGTCTGGGGCTTGGGCTGGAGTGAGTCTGGACATCACTGGGGCTGCGGGAGGTGAGTGGGCAGGGCGCTGTCTACCTCGGGAGAGGGAGGCCTTAGATCCTTAGGATTGGGCCTGGGGGAGCTACGGTGGGAGTGGTGCGAAAACACAGAACTTGGGCCTTCATCAAGTACCAAGAGAAATATTTTGCTTGTGTGACTTTTTTTTAAGATCTATTTGAAAGGCAGCATTACAGAGCGAGAGGAAGAGACAGAGATCTTCCACGTGTTGGTTCACTCCCCAAATGGCTGCAACGGCCCAGCTGGAGCCGAGAGTCTGGAACTCCATCTGGGTCTCCCGCACAGGTGACAGGGGCCCAAGCACTGGGCCATCTTCCACTGCTTTCCCAGGCCGTTAGCAGGGAGCAAGGTTGGAAGTGGAGCAGCCGGGACTCAGACAATGCCCGTGGGGAATGCTGGTGGCATCTCAGGTGACTTAACTCACCGTGCCACAGCACTGGCCCCAGCGTTGGTGAAGTTGACACCTTGGAAGAACATGATGGCCAACTGACTCCAAACCCATTTCCCCACAGGTCACCCCAGCTAGGAGATGGAGGCTAGCCCTGCCCCCATGCACTCCCCCGGTGTGGCACTGGCCAGGCCCAGAGCAGGCTGTGTGTGTCTGTTAGAACAGGGCTCCGCAGCCTGGTGCTGTGAGTGGCAGGTGAGAATTACCCACACTGCGGGCTGGGAGACACAAGGTCTCTGTTGCAACCGCTCAGATCTGGTCCAGACGGAAGCAGCTGTCAACAACACAAAATGAACATGACTGTGTTCCAGTAAGACTTTATTTGCAAAACCAGGCACCAGGCTCGATTTGGCCGGAGTCTGCAGACCTCTGTCGGGTTGTATGTGACACAGACCCCAAATGACGGTGGCTTAAACAAGACAGGTTTGCTCTCCTGCGTAACAGAATGGAAATGAGCCACGCTGGTGCTACTCCATGAGGTGGGCCCACGCCCTGGGCTCCTGCTGTCTTTCGCTCTGCCCTCCCACGTGTTGCTCTTGACCTCGTGGGCCAAGATGGCTGCACGCGGAGTCCACATTCCTCTTAGGAAGGTAAAGGAGAGGCCCCTTTCCCAAGCTTGGGGATTCTGCCCAGGAATTCAGCTTGAACTCAGTCACATGGCCACATCTAGCTGCAAGGCACTATGGGAAATGGCGTCTTTCCAGTTCCCAGGTACCCAGCCACAAACTGGGAGCTGCCTCTCAGTCTGCCTCATCCACTCCGCTCCACACGGGACCCGGAGCGCGGCAGGCAGCAGGCGGGAGCCTGGCCCCACGGGACCATCCGCAGCCTGGGGTGGCAGCTGCCCCTGCCGCCGGTCAGGCCTGCACTGGGCCTTCCGGGAGAGCTGAAGACAGGATCGCAACAGAGGCCAGCCGAAGGAAACACAACAGCCGGCGTCTCTGTTGGACTCCAAGCCAGTTTCCCTCCAGCGCTCGGCCAGCTCTGCCCTGAGCGCCCCCTCCCGGCCCTGAGTGTGCTGGGGGGATGGTGGGTTTCTTGTCCAAAAGCCGGAGCTGCCCTGCGCAGACGTCTTCCTCTGGCGCCTGTTTTTAGAGGCTGCGCCTGCTAGCTTGCTCACGCACAGAAAACACTCCGTGACGAGAAGCGCTCACAGAATTATTTTAAGGAGCCCTAAGCTGTCTCCGGCTGGTGCCACTTCAACGCCGGGGCCCCTCTGAGTGGGGAGAGACAAGGCCTCCACTGCAGGCGCCACCCCCGCAATGCCTCGGGGTGAGCTCTCAGCGTCGCCTCCCCTCCTCAAGACGAGCTCGCCCAGTAGCGTCGCCTCCCTTCCCTGCCCCCATCCAGGCACAGATCCAAGGCACGGTGCCCTGACAGCCCATGGCATCCATCTGGGGAGAATTAAAGGTGATTACGCAATCTGCAGCTAGCTCTTTAATTGGGAATGAGGGAGATAAAAATAAAATTTCCCTCTTGCTCATTTTTTAAAAACAAAAGCTCTCAACGATGATCTGATCTCACGGCTCCCTGCGGGCCCCACGTCCTCCACAGCGCAGAATCTTCCAGGTCCTGTGCGTCACGAGCCCTCGCCTTCCTGGGGAGGGACGCTTAGCCGCCCAGCCCCCCCTGGGGACCTCCACCCCCCACCTTAGATGGGCCCCACCAGCCCTAGCGCCCCCATCGCCGCGGGGAGGGCTCAGGCTGCACTCAGAGCTCCCCCCGAGCGTGCCGGATGTAGTGCTGGTGCAGCCCTGCCTCCTGGGCAAAATCCTGGCCACACTCGGTGCAGGCGAAGGTGCGGGCCTCGTGCACCTGCCGGTGTCTCCGCAGAGAGCCGGCCTGCGCGAAGGCCTTGCCGCAGTCGGGACACGCGAAGCGGGCCTGCGCGGCGGCGGCGGCGGCGGCGGCGGCGGGTGCACCTGCAGGGGGCGCTCGCGCGGCGGGGCCGTGGCTCCGCTGGTGGGCGATCAGGGCCTCGGAGGAGAGGAAGGCGCGGGCGCAGGTGAAGCAGACGAAGAGCGCCCCCTGCAGCTTCTGGGCCACGAAGTCGGCGGGGTGCTCCCGCTTCAGGTGGCGCTCCTGGAACTTGGAGTCGGCGAAGGTGATGAGGCAGCGGCTGCACTGCGGGGCCTCCAGGGGGCCTGCGCGAGGCGGAGAGGCCGGGGTCGCCCACCGGGGGTCTCCAGGCCTCCCCCAAGCCCCAGACCCACACCCACGACGAGCATGGCGGGCTGGACGGGACCGTTGAGGGCCTGCCTTATTATGGACGAGTGGACTCAGGCCCACCGAGGTCACCGGACCCGGAGGTGACCCCGAGAGTCGCGCTGCCCTCTGAGTCACGCTGCCCGGGACACTTCCTGGGCAGGTACAGGCGCTGGCCTGGCCTCGGGACCTCTCTGCCCCGGCTCTCACCCAAAGTCCTAGTGCCCACTTGGTGACGGAGTGAGGTCCCGGGGGTGAATGCATCCTGCCCGGGGGCAGGGGCGGCTCCCCGTCAGCCCGGCCGCCTGCCTTGCTCCACTGGCCGGAGGCGGCCCCACGAAAGCCGTGCGCGGTGGGCAGCGGCAGCCGTGGGCTCAGGGCTACGGGGCTCCAGTCTCGGGAAAAGCTAAGGGCAGGGTTGAGCTGAACCGTCCGCATCTCCCGCCGAGCCTCTCTTGCAAGCCACCTTGTCCCGCTGCACTCTCCTCTCGCTGGGCGGCCAGAGCAGGGCAGCTCAGGGTCTACCCCAGGCCCCGGACCCAGATACTGGACGCTGCCCCTGTACTCACAGATGCGGCCCCCCGGGCGGCCGGGACGCCTCTCGCTGGGCGACTCCTGCGGCTCCAAGGTCTCCTCAGGGTGCGGGTCCTCCATGGTGACCGCGGCCCCTCTGGTCAAGGGAGGAGCCCGTATGAGTGAGGAGTGAGGCCGCTCGGCTGTCCCCAGCCCTGGAGGGCCCGCCAATCCCACGACCTCCGCCATCGACATAGCTGCTCCTCGCCCACCTTTGACCCCCCCCCCCCAAGATGTACCCATCTCCTTGAACTCTTTCTGATGGAGCCGTCCCCAGAGAAGCTCAAACCTAGAGGCTTGGACTCCCCGCGTCTGTGGCTCCCCTAAAGCCTGCTCGCTTGTGTGACCTGTGTCCCCGCTGCACCAAACCAACTCCCTGAACTCAGAGCGTGGGACCCTGGACCGCCATCAGCCTCAGCGGCACCCACCCCTTCAGCCTGCCTCTCCCCGGAAGACACGCTTCTCTGCCATCCTGGGGTGCTCCACCCAGAGCCCCCGCCGCCCGCACGCGCTGCCGGCCTCACTGTCCCGCAAGCACTGCCTTGGGCCCCCGGCTCCCCAGGCGGGTCGCCCCGGCCTCCGCTCCTCTCCGTACAGCAGAGGCTGCCTCGTGCTGTGCCTGTCACTGGCGCCCCACAGCGCCGCCACCCGCAGGGAAGCGAGGTAGGGCCCGTGGCATTTCGGGGTTCCCGCAGCTTCCGAAGCTTCCGCCTGAGGTGCCTCTCGAAGCCGAGCCCGTAGTTGCCATCCGGCAGTAGTACAGTCGCCAACCCGGGCCTCCAAATAACGGGCAGTGGGGGAGCTCGGAGGTCCTTCCTTGCACTGCGACGCGTTATGATGACGTTACGGCCGCCGTGCCGTACAAGCCGAAGCGCTACGCGCGAGTGCGCAGGCGCTGTGGCCCGCGCATTGTTAGGGGCTCTCGGGCAGTGCGGCCGTCCTGCGCAGGCGCCGCGAGGAAGGCCGAGTCTCTGCGGCCTGAGTGACGTCAGCGCAGGGCCTGGCGGACGCGTCCCGGCACCCACGCCTCAGAGCCCAGCTCCGCAGGGGCGAGGCCGCAGCCAGCTGTGCTCACAGGTGCGTCGGCGCTCCCGGGCGGGTGATCCGGGAGGGAGGAGGGGTGAGGATAGAAAGGGGCAATGGCCGGAGAGGAGGCAGAGCGGGGGCCGGGGGGCCTGGGCGCTGGGAGGAGGGGCCCGGAGTCTGGGTGCCCCGTGACCGCGGCCGGCCGTCCCCCCTTGCCTTCCAGCCATGCCTCCGCCCAGGGGCGACGTGACCGCCCTGTTCCTGGGGCCCCCGGGGGCCGGCAAGTCCGCGCTCATCGGGGCGCTGTGCAGCAGTGTGGACCTGGTGGAAATCCCCGAGGGACGGCCGGACGCCGGCGTGCCCAGGCTGAGAGCCGCAGGCCCCGGGCTCTTCCTGGGCGAGCTGAGCTGCCCGCCCGCCGCGCCCGGGCCCTGGGCGGCCGAGGCCGACGTGCTGGTGCTGGTGCTGCCCGGAGCCGAGGGCAGTGGGGAGCCCTTGGCACCGGCGCTGGGCGAGGCGGCGCGGGCTGCCCTCGCCCGGGGAACCTCGCTGCTTGACCGTACGGGCGCTGCGTCCCGGGGCTTCGCAGAGTGACGCGCAGACGCGGGAGCAGACCTCCGCCCTGCTGGACCGCGCGGGGCTCGGGGCGGCCGCCCTGTTCGTGCTGCCTGCGGACTGGGCGGGCAGCGAGGACTGCGAGGAGCTGGAGCGCCTGCGGGGGGCGCTGCGGAGCCGGGCGGAGGCGCTGCAGAGGTGAGCGCCGGGTCTCAGGCTGGGCTGGGGAGGCCTGGGCCCCATTGTAGGTGTCCCACCCACCCCGTTACTGTGCCCTTTGAGGGTCGCAAGGCTCCTCCAGGCTCAGCCCCTCAGTGTGGGGGGGAGGTCAGGAGGCTGCACCCCAAGTGAGCCCCCGGGGCCAAGACCCCTGGAGGTCCTGACCCCCTCCCCAGTCACAAGCCCCCCTTCCTAGCGACAGTTCTGGGAGAGGTCAGATTTATCACTCAATCACTGCCCCCAGACCGGGGCTCTGTCTGGTGCAGCTTGTTGGTGAGCCCTATAGGCCCTGGTTCTCAACTGGCCCCGGCCACACCTTCCCTGAGCTTGATTGATTTTTAAAGGTGTGTGTGTGTGTGTGTGCGTGCATGTGTGCATGCGTGCGTGCGCGCGTGCCTATTTGAAAGGCACAGAGAGAGAGAGCCAGGGAGACTTCTCCTGCCTGTCGGTCCACTTCCCAATGGCAGCAATAGCCAGGCTGTAGGTCCCCGACATGGCCGCAGGGGCCCAAGCACTCAGGCCATCTTCCACTGCTCTCCCTGGCGCATTAGCAGGGAGCTGGATCAGAAGCGGAGCAGCCAGGCTGCGAGGTGGGATGTGGGCCAGGTGTGTGTGTGTGTGTGTGTGTGTGTGTGTGGCTCGGTGCCACAGCGCCGCCCTGCTGGTGCCTGGTGCCCTTCCCACTCCCTTTGTCCCTGCTCCTCTGGTTTCTGTGCTGGTTTGCTGGCGACCTCCCAGATTCCCTTGCCAAACAGGTCGTCCTAAGACAGCCTCAGCGGGGCGGGCCGGTGCCAGTGCCTGGGACTCGCTGTCCTTGGCGTCACCGGCTTCAGGTGGCCGTGGCCGCACCTCCTGGGCCAGCTTTCCCTTAGGGTCAGGATTTTGCCTTTGTTGTGTGCCCCGCCCCCAGTGAGGTGTTGGAGCTTTGACCCGGTCTTGGGTTCTGTTTGAAACCTGAACTCCAGCCAACCAGACACCACCCAGGGCTGCTCGGAGCCCCTCCCACCATGGGTGCCCGCCCCTGCCTCTGGAATTGTCCCCAACGCCGCCCTCTGCTTCTCCCCCCCACCCCCGCAGGCTCCTGCCAGCGGCCCAGGATGGCTTCGAGGTGCTGGGTGCCGCCGAGCTGGAGGCCGTGCGGGAGGCCTTCGAGAAGGGAGGCCTGGAGGCAGCTCTGTCGTGGGTGCGAGCAGGCCTGGAGCGCCTGGGCAGCGCACGGCTGGACCTGGCAGTGGCCGGCGCCACAGGCGTGAGCCTCGTGCTGGACGCGCTCCTCGGACTGGATCCCGGCCCCCCAGGGGCAGTGCCCGCGCCCGCTGGGCCCGCCCCTTTCCCGGCCCCGGAGCGCCCCAACGTGGTGTTCTGGGTTGTGCCGCTGGACCCCGCTGGTGGCGCTGCCCCGGCCGCCACCACCCCTCACCCGACCCACTACGATGCCCTCATCCTGGTCACCTCGGGGGCCCCCACTGAGGAGGACTGGGCCCAGGTCCGGGCCTTGGTGCCACCGGACGCGGCGCTCGTCTGCGTGCGAACAGATGGCGAGGGCGAGGATCCGGAGGCCCCAGAAGAGGAGACGGTGGGGAAGCCGGGCGGCGGGGGCCGAGTGGAGCCTGCGCCGGGAGACGGGAGGGAGAAAGCGGGCCCCGGGCCGCAGGCAGCAAGCGCAGGGGAGGGCCCGGAGAGGGCCGGGAGCCGGCGTCCGCAGCAGGGCGGCGGGGATGCAGAGGGCTCGGCCGCCTTGAGCCCCGAAGATGAGACCTGGGAGGTGCTGGAGGAGACGCCGCCGCCCGTGTTCCCCCTGCGGCCGGGCGGGCTCGCGGCGCTGAGCGAGTGGCTGCAGCGCGCGCTGCCCCCGGCCCAAGCGGGCGCGCTCCTGCTGGCGCTGCCGCCCGCGTCCCCCGGCGCGGCCCGGAGGAAGGCGGCCGCGCTGCGGGCCGGGGCCTGGCGGCCGGCGCTGCTGGCCAGCCTGGCGGCGGCAGCGGCCCCAGTTCCAGGGCTGGGCTGGGCCTGCGACGTGGCGCTCCTGCGGGGTCAGCTGGCGGAGTGGAGGCGGGCGCTGGGGCTCGAACCAGCGGCACTGGCAAGACGTGAGCGCGCCCTGGGCCTGGCTCCTGGGGAGCTGGCGGCGCGCACTCGCTTCCCGGGGCCGGTGACACGCGCCGAGGTGGAAGCCAGGCTGGGCGCCTGGGCGGGCGAGGGCACTGCCGGGGGCGCGGCGCTGGGCGCGCTCTCCTTCCTGTGGCCCGCGGGGGGCGCAGCGGCGACGGGCGGCCTGGGCTACCGCGCGGCGCACGGCGTCCTCCTGCAGGCGCTGGATGAGATGCAGGCAGATGCAGAGGCCGTGCTGGCGCCCCCTGAACCCTCGCCGTGAGGGTTGGGGGCCTGACTGGCTGCTGGCCCCCGAGAGACTTAGGATCTTAAGTCCCTGTTAGGGGGAAGGGGACGTGGGAGTCTGGGCTACTGGGGGTAACAGGGTGGGGGCAGGTGCTTGGAGGGGAGGAGAGACTGGGGGGCTCGGGGACTTGACCTCCAGGTTCCTGCGTGGGGAGGGGAGTTGGGGCCTGGACTCCCACGAGAGTATCCATCTTGTCTCCAAGGGAGCGGAAGCCGAGGTGGCTGGGCGTCTAGTCCTCCGGGGGAAGAAGCCGAGATTCCTGGTGCCTGGGGACCTGCACTGGCTCCCGTATGGGGAAGAGGGACCCGACCCCTTGGGCTCCACACCCCTCCCGGCAACAGTGGCCTTTGAGCCCTCACTGAGGGGAGGAGTCCTGTGAGCCTTGGACCCTAACTCCTGGGGGGGGGTGGGACCCCTTGGTGTCTTGGGGAGTAGGGACTGGTCCAACACCTGCTCTCGGGGGTCTCAAATGTGGGAGGGGGCGACAGTCTGCACACGGCGGGCTCCGAGGGTCCCCAGAGACCAGGGATGAGGCTTGTGGACGTGGGAGGGCTGGGACCCGTTCACCGGGGTGCCCCCACGGGTCCCTCACGTAGTGGGATCCTGGTGGCGGCGGCTGTCTTGCAGTGGGACTGCTCTGTGTTGGAGGTGTTGAGTGAGGGGGGCTCTCTCGGGGGTGTCTCTCTTTGCCTCTCTTTCGGGTCTTTATTCTTTTTCAGCCTCGGTTTCTTCTGTCGCTAAACCTTAACCCTTTCTGACCTCGCTGTTTGTGCACCTGCCTTTTTGGAGAAGCAGCTGTGCTGCGGCACTGGTCCAGATGTGTGAGGGGGCGTCCTCGAGAGGTGCTGCCCTCTGGTGTACGCACAGGGTGTTGCAGTGAGCAGGCGGCCCCGAATCGGAGAATGTGCCAGGGTCTGGGCTGCCAGCTCCGTGCGCGGGGGAAGCCGCGGGTTACAGAGTGCTGCCGTGTCCGATAGCGAAGGGGGCCTGAGGGGCCGTCTAGAATCTCATGGTAGAGGGAGTCAGGTCTGGGAAGGGCAGGCTGGAAGCCAGCAGCGCACAGCAAGGCCCGTGCGTTGTCTGCCCCTGCCCCATCCCATCCCCATCCAGCCTGGCAGATCTTCCTTCCTGTGCTCGAATAAACCACCTTGGGCTCTGCCTCAGGGCCTTTGCACTGCCGTTCTGCTCCTGGCCCCTGCCCAGATGTCCTCCGGAGAGGCCTTCCCTGTCCTCCCTAAGGGCGCCGCTCACACAGTCCCGTCCTTGATCTCGACCAGCCGATCTGCCTTGTGCTGGCTATGACGTCAGAAGTGATTTTGTTTACTTGCCTTTTCGTTGTGCGCTGATACTTTGCCTGTCTCATCCTCTGGTAACCCCCAGCAGCTACAACAGTGCCTGACACACAGCAGGTGCCTGGTAAGTTCTAACCCATTGGCCGGTGGGAGAGCTGGGGCTGCGGTTTGGATCCTTGGCCTCTCGGCACAGGACGGAAAAGGGAACGAGATGGGGAGGAACAAGCCTTTAGTGGGAGCAGGTGCCCCTGCCTGGGCGGGGGGCCTGGGTGGCGGGCACAGGTGCCTTATCTTCCCATCTATGACCCTAAGGGCTGGACCAGAACCACAAGGACCCCCAGGTCCTGTTTCCCGTGACGGCTGTGGACCAGGGCAGGAGAGCCGAGGGACAGTGCCCCCTCCAGCTCGCACCCCCACCCCCATACAGACAGGGAAAGCATTTGTCCTGAGAACTTATCCACCCCCCCCCCCCCGGGGACTGCTACGTCCACGTCTGGAGCACCAGGTACACCTGTGTGCTGCCCCACCTCGGCCTGGGTTCCGTCCCCTCGGTGCGCGCGGCAGCCGTGGGGCTGAGGGAGCAGTGCTGAGCGGTGCAGTCCGCTCCGTATGTAACACCAGAGACACTCCCAGGCTCGGTGGAAACCGGGGACTCACTGTAACGCGTTCTGCTTAACCCCGTCTACCCGTTATGGCTGCTTCCCCGTGTGATCAACGTCCGGTACCGCTCGGTTATTTTACAGTCATTTATGCTAAGTCTTTGAAGTCTGGAAGGTCATTAACACTGAGCACAAGCCGATCTAGATGACAGGTGCTCATCAGAAATGCTTTACCTCTATTTATTTATTTAATTTATTTATTTGAGAGCGTGCATGTGCCCCCAGCCGCTAGTTCCGTCCCCGGCTGAGGCCTGGTGCCCAGAACCCAGTCACTTACGATGTCGCCACAGGAGCCAGAGCCAGGTCTAGAACCCGGGTCCCCCAGCATGGAACGTGGCCACCTTAACCGTTAGGCTCAGCGCCCACCCACGGCCTGCACTGGCATTTCACAGAGGTCAGAGCTGGGGGGGATTCGCAGACTCAAGGACGTGACACTTGTCCAGTGGCTGGGGGGAGTAGGACCCTTAAATGCATTAAGTAGACCTGGAAGTCCAGCCCCTCAGTTGCACGGGTCACATTTGCAGTGCTCGGTGGCCACACGGGGTTGGCGGTTACCACACACACACACACACACACACACGCCGCAGCAGCTCCACGGCACAGGAAGTTGTGGTCGCATAGCTAGCTCTCGGGTCTTGACTGAGGGATGCCCTTGAACAAACCACTCAGCAAGTGACATCTACCTCGCAGAGTTATTGTGAGAACTGTGTATGCGGCTCCCGCCCCCACGCACACACACACACACAGCAGACCGCAGCGACCGGCCCCGGGCTCCCCGTCTCCCCATCACCTGTGCTCACGGACTGCACTGCTCTCACTCCGCCAGCGGCTCGGGTCCGGTCCTGTCTGGTGTCGCTGCTCCGTGCGATTCCCTCTGCCCGTGTGCCGCGGAGCGCACGCCGGAGCAGGCAGGACAGCTGTGTGTGCGGGTGTGTGTGTGTGTGCGTCCCCCGAGGAATCTGGATGCGCTGTGCTGCTGATGAGCGCCCTCGGATTTCGCGGCTTATGGGGGAGGCTGCCTTTTAAGTAAGCAAGACCCGGGCTGCGCCAGGTTGTGTCTGGGGAGCGTCCTGCGACCCCCTTGTGGATGAACACTGACAGCCGCGCGTGGGGGAGGGGGTGTCTGAGCAGCACCTCGGGGCTGGAAGACCCTCGAAGGTGGGGACTCCCGGAAATGGGTGACGGGTCTTGGTGTTGCCACTGCGCCCAGTAGGACAGGCACAAAAAACCTGGGTGAACGGCCAAGAACCTCCTCGCATGCTGAGCTCCTGCGACGCTACGTGATGACAGAGTGACTGGTGTCCACCGCAGGGGGGACCATGAAGGACAGACTGGGGAGTGGGCAGCCTGTGGTGCTTTTTGGAAGAATGAATAAAAACAAGTAGAAATCGCACTGCGTGTCTGCCCTTCATTTTATTTAAGAGAGAGAGGAGACGACAGAGACCTTCCTAATGCCTACATCAGAACCAGGACCTGGACTCTGTCTGGGTCTCGGGAATGGCAGGGACCCAGCTACCTGGGCCGGCACCTGCTGCTTCCTGGGGCGCGCGGCAGCAGGAAGCCGGAGCGGAAGTGCAGCAGGACTTGAAACAGGCACTCTGTGGTGGCATGTGGGTGTGCCGAGTGGTGCCAAAGGCCTGCCCACGTGTGTGCTTTTGGGGCTTGAAGCGGTGGGGTGGGGAATGCTTAGGGTTTTGACTGGGCCGGAACTGGACTCCAGGGGCTGGGGGAATCGGCACAGGAGAGAATTCCCTCCGCTGGGATCAAGAGGCCTCATCTGAGCTTCACTCCCTAGACGGGTGCGCGTGGACTCAGGCAGATGAGACCTTGAGTTTGTGGGGGTAAAGGCGCCTTAGCTATGCCGTCAGCCGGGCTGGGCCGACATTGCACCCAACTCGTTCACCTGCTCTGTAACCGTGACCTTGCGCTGTTTCTGCTCATCCTGACTGGAGACGACCATGTGATCTGCTTTGGCCCCTGCGGCATCAAACACGATGCCAAAAAAAGTGCCTGTGCATTGGGACTGCCCCTCTCTCTGTCCTTGAAGGTTTTTATTTATTTGAAAGGTAGGGTTAGAGAGGGAGAAAAACGGAGAAACCTTCCAAACCTCTCCAAATGGCTGCAAAAGCTGAGGCTGCGCCAGGCGGAAGCCAGGAGCCTGGAACTCCATCCGGGTCTCCCATGTGGGTGGTAGGGGCCCAAATACTCAGGCCGTCCTCCACTGCTTTCCCAGGTGCGTTAGCAGGGAGCTGTACGGGAAGCCAAGCAGCTGGGACTCGAACCAGCGATCATACAGTGTGCCAGCACTGCAGGCGGCATCTGAACCCACCGTGACACAGTGCCAGCCCCGGGCCCTCCTCTCTTGCTGCCCCTGGGACCCTGCACATCAAGAAGCCCAGACTAACCTGCTGCATTGTAAGACACGTGGCCCAGTTACCCTTGACACCCACCTGCGACCGGCCAACCCGGGGACAGAGCCACCCAGCTCGTCCCCGACCAGGCTGCCGACCCACGGACTCATGCGTTAAATAAAGACGATTGTTCCACACCACTCAGTTTTGTTACGGAGCAGAGGGGAAAATGGAGACAGGATCAGTTCCCTTTCTCTCCGCTGTGGTCTCCTCTCCAGCAGCAGGACCCGCAAGTCAGAACCCCGAGGGCTGCCAGTGTGTAGCTTCGGAATCTCCCCGTGACACCCCTGCCCTCAACCTCAGACTCGCTCCCGAGAACAGCCCTGCCACGGCGCAGGAAACCGGCCGATGAGCAGCCTCTGCCAAGGGGCCGCAGTGGCCGGGTCTGCCCTTCAGGCTCCCGTGTGGCTGGGTGGGGCCGCGGGAGCTGTGAATATTAAGTCGTTTCTGGGTCCCAGCGTCTAGTCACCTTGGGAGGCTTTCCCGGGTGCTTCCTGTAGCAAAGAAACTGGGCACGCTCAAGGTGGTAGCTGCTGTGGGCTGATGAACAGAAACGGAGTGGAGGCCAAAGTAAAAACCCACTCCTCCGCCTCCCGCCGGGGAAGGGAATCCACGTCCCAGCTCCGTTCACGTTGGGTTTGGCCCTAGGACTCATTTCCTTGGCCACAGCCTCAGATACACCTGACTTTGGGCTGCTGGGATCTGACATGAGAACATCTGCCAGGGGCCCACTGCTCCCAGAAGATGCTGGAGGCCCAAGGGGGAGACAGGAGCCCTCCTCCCAAGCCAAAGCCAAAGCAGCCAGCCCACAGACCCTCAGGAAGAAGAATGCCGGCCGCCCGGAATCTCAGTTCTGGGATGGTTTGTCACACAGCATTCCTGGAGCGTTAGCTGACGCCTGTAACCCGAGAGCAGGGGCTTTGTTACTGTAACAGTCTGTCTGTCTGGACTGATGGCACCTGTGGCTCGCGGCACTCAGTGAGCGGCAGCTGTCAGCCTGACGGCTCAGCCCGGCGCCGGGCGCTGCACTGGGTGTTTCTTAGGTCTTCTTCCACCTGACTGACATTAACCCTACCAAGTGACCCAACTATCAAGACCCACGTATTGCAGACAAGAAGAGGTGCGTGGGGTGGGGGGAGGGAGAGGTTAACCCAGAGAGGTGATCATGGAAGCCCCTGCCGCTTCCAACTGTTTGACCCAAGGCAAGTGACACCCACAGTCTGCCTCAGTTTGTCCATCTGTAGAACAGGGGTGGTGATAACAACTTCACAGTGGTGACCACGAAACGAGGGGACGGCAAGGACAACGCTTAGCACGAGGGTCTGGTGAGGAGTAATCCCTTAAAGGGCAGATCCATTCCCTCTCTTCCTGGAAAAAGGGGGTGGTTCGCGAAGAGGGGTGAGGCCCGTAACTTCTGCACCCCACTTCCCCAACACGTATCGCAGCACAAGACTCGGGCTCGCTCTATGAATCTGTCTCCTTTATAGGCACACGGGGAGCTGCAGGCTGAGGACGAACCGACACCCGGGTTCTTCACTCGGCCCTGCCTGGAGGCCAGGGGGCTGGCAGGCAGTCGGCTCTCCGCAGGAAATAGAGATACGAGGCCGAGGGCACCTCCGCGCCAGCCTTCGTGTAGCAGGCGCTCTCTGTGGCACAGCCCCGCGTGGCAAATTTGGTGTTGAAGATACCTGGGAGGGGGGTTTGGGGGAGAGGTCAGGTTCTCCGCTCCCCCGAGCTCACGCCCCCGCCTCCCGGCAGCCAGCGGGGCCTCACCAGCCTGCACGTTGCCGGCGAAGTAGATGCAGTGGGTCTCCTGGCCAACGCAGCGGACGCCCCGGGTGCCCGGGCACGTCTCCTGGAAGGGCGCTATGCAAGACGGGCACATGCGGCCGTTCTCGGTTCGGTTGTTCTGGGGGGCTGAGCAGCCAGGAAGCCGCGTAAGGTGGGTGCGGGGCGTGTGGGCCGCCCCGCAGCCCCCAGGCCACCCTGCGGACTGACGGATGCTGCGTGCGCGCGGGCCCTGCCGTACTTACGGGGCACGGAGCCTTGGTTGCAGCCATCAGTCTGGCAGCAGTGAGCATTGGAGACCATGTAGTCGTCACGGCTCATGGTGGTGGACACGAAGCCCGAGTAGCAGTCGCTGAACTTGACGCAGGCCTTGAGGGTGCCCACCGACTGGCTGCCCTCTGCGGGGTGCGGGGACGGGAGGGGACAGCGGTGGCGCCGGCCGCCGTGGCTCTTGCCCCGCACTCCCCAACCCCGCAGCTTCCTGGGGTGCTCTCTCCCCCTGCCCCTAGAGCCAGACCCCCGCCCCGCCTTTCTGCCTGGCCAGGGGTCTGCAGTGACTCATCCGGTTAAACCCCACCTTGGTGGGCCCAAATCCTAGCGGGCTTTTCCCGGTCGTCTCTTGGCGTCTCCCGGCGGCCAGCCCTGAGTGCCCACCCAACAGCGGCCTCATCCACCCTCCTCTCCCCGGTCATGTGCAGAGTGGCCTTTTCCAGCCCACCCCTACGCCTGTGAAGTGATCTAGTCCAGTCTCCCCACTTTACCCTCCCTCCACCCCCACGCACCTGCCCGTGGTCTCCTTCCTGGACCCCGGGATGCTGCCCCTGCCACTCACACGTCCTTCAGGGCCACTCCACCTCCTGGGCTCTCCCCAGCTCCGGTGGGAGATGGTCACGTGGTGGTCTCTCCCAGCCCGTTCAAAGGGTTCTGCATCTCCCCTGCCCTGCCACCCTTGCCCGCCAGGCCCTCCCTCCACGCGGGGCCACACAGGCCCCTCTCCCCACTCGCGCTCACGCACCGCCTTCGCCCTCCACACGGGGGCCCCGCGCCCGTCACCGCACCCTCTCGTTCCGCCCTCCCCCCACCCACGGGTAAACTCCGTGGTCCTCTTCCCTCACCATCGGGGCGGGCCCCCTTCCTGCCTCAGCCCCCACTTCCCCGCCACGGCCTCTGCCCCTTCACGCACCCGCTCCCACGCCAGCCCACCCGGCTTCGCCTTCCTTGCCTCATCCCACACCCCCATCTCCTCCTGCCGCAGACAGACCCATTCTCCGAACCCACGACAGCACCAGTTCCCAGCCCACCACTCCATCCGCTCCCTCCGCCCACGCGAAGCGGCATCGCCTGCCCACCGCCCCATCCCTCGGACGTCACGCCCCCGCCTACTTGTGCTGGACTCGCCCACCAGGACCACGCATGCGTCCTTGCCGGCCTCGCACGTCTTCATTCTCCCGCTGCACGTGGGCCCGGATCCCTTGCACACCTCGCAGGTTAGGGGGCGCCCTGCAGGGGGGAAGGCAGGGGGCTGCCGTCAGGGGTGCGGTGGCCTTCGGCTCGGATGTTGGCATCCCGGGGCGGCAGGGTGGGGAGGGGCCCGCGTCCCCTGGTGTTTTCACGGGCAGGGTGTGGGCTGTGGTCTAAGGGTGTCCAGGGACACAGGTGGCGATGCCCGCCCAGCTGCTGTCAGGGGCGGGAAGCGACTCTGCCCTGGAGCCTGGTTACCTAATTACAAGGCTGGGGACCTTGGACGCCAGGGTCCTTCTGAGAAAGCTTGGAGGCAGGGAGCGGTCAAGGTCAAGGATTCTATGGGCTTTTGTGAGACCTCAGATCCAGCTGGCGCTTGGGTGTGGGACTGCCTCCCCGTAGGTCCCGGGAGACAATGGGTGCTCTGACAGGCAGGCGCTTGAGGTTAGGGTCTGCATTCCAGGTCAGGGAGGGAGGGTGAGGAGGCAGCCAGCCGCCTGGCCCAGCTTCCCGTGTGGAAGGGAGGAGAGAGCTGGGCGCTGAGCTGGGAGTCCAGGGGGAATCCCCCAGTTGATTTGAAAGATGTCCGTTTCTAGAATTCTCGGGAGCTCGGATGTTTTCTTTCGGGACCCTACCTGGGAGACAGGGGATTCGAGCCCGCCAAGCCCCCTCTCCTGGGGAACCGGTCAGGATCTCCTGTAGCCCATGCCTTCTCCATGGATGGGATCCCCCAGGATGCCTCCCGTTCCTCCCTGGAGGGCCTGGTGGAAGGAGCCCAGGTCCCTGGCCACTTACCCAGCCCCGGGAGGGTGCAGAGCAACGTGAGGGCCAGCAGGAAGTGCCCCGGTCTTGTGGACGGCCTCATGGTGTGTGAACCTGAGGTCCCGGGTCCCCTGCCCTTATAGGAAGCTGAAGAGGGGCGGATCCGGACCCACCTTCACCCTGGGGTGAGACAGCTGAGGTCAGAACCCAGGGCCGGCCTCTGCAGCCTCCAGGCTGGGGAGGCGGAGCCAAAGACCTGGACATCTTGTCCCCAGCGCCCTCCTCCGCGGGACCCAGGGACTCCAGGCTCGCAGCCCCTTCTCCCGCCAGGACCCAGTGCCCTGCCTTCTCACCTTCGCACCGCCCATAGGGGTCACTTAATTCCCCCGTGAAACTAAAGCGCTGCAAAGACTGGGTCTCCTCTCCTCTCCCCAAGGAGGCGTCCAGCGTGGGTGGGGCCCGACCTGGGGCGCGCCCGTCGTGTCCAGGCTCGTCCTGCGGGGGCCAGGCGCCCTGTCTCCCTTGTCTTCTCTCTTTCACGTGCTTGGCACACACTCCCTCTGTTGTGTTTGGTTTGTGTCCAGCTCTGACCCCGCCCAGGGCTGTGCTCCTGGGTCTCCAGGGGACCGAACAGAGAGGTGCCTGTCAGAGGCGGGCGTGGTAGGAGACAGATGCCCACGGGCCACGTGTTGGAGACATGCGTGCAAGCAGCTGTGCGTACGGTTTGGGCTCAGGCACAAGGCCGAGAGAGAGCTGAGACTGTGTGTGCGCCGCGAGGGCGGCCGCAGGAACCAGTGGAGGCGATGCCATTGCTTTAGGACCCAGGTTCCCTGCAAAAATCCACTCGGGTCCTGGGCCGTCTAAGCTTCAGGTTGGGCGCTGACGGCACCGTCCAATGAAAAGCGCGAAGGTCTTCTAGGCACCAATCCCAGAGGCCGCTCCTGTTGCTAGGCGCTCAGAAAGCCGAGCGGCTACGTCATCAGGAGGCGGGACTAGAGAGTGGTGAGGGCCCGAGAGGGGTGGGGCCCGAGGGAAAGCTCGTTGCTAGGTAACGCGGCGCAACGGTGCAACTGGGCATGCGCGGTGTCGACGCGAGCGCCCGCGCGCCGCGGTTTGAAAGGCCCGAGCTTCGCGCGCGTGCGCACTTCAGCCCGCGCAGGGAGCACCCCTTCACGCCCCCCGAACTCGGACTCGCTTCATCCCTTCGGCCAGGCTAAGCCCGCGCCGTTGACATGCCGGAGATCCGCCTCCGTCATGTCGTGTCCTGTAGCAGCCAGGACTCGGTGAGGGACTGGCGTGGGGCGGGGGAGGGGTCGCAGGGAATGGAGGGGGGAGGGGACGCTGTCAGAACTTTGGAGGGGCGAGAGGAACTTCATGGAAATCTGAAGACGGGACGTGGGGGAGGGGGGTTTTTCCAGGAGGCGGACGGTGAGCTGCGGAGAGGGGTGGGAGTGGGGCACTTGCGCGGAGGAGGGGACTTGGGGGCCTCCTTGGAGAGCCCACTCGTGGAGCTGCGGGTGCGGGAGCCTGGGGGCGCGGTGGGCGTGGGAGGGCTCGCCGCGGCCTCGTGCGGCCCCTGACCCCGCTCTCCGGCTCTCGCCTGCAGACTCACTGCGCGGAAAACCTCCTCAAAGCCGACACTTATCGGAAATGGCGGGCCGCCAAGGCGGGGGAGAAGACCATCTCCGTGGTCCTGCAGGTGACGCCGCCTCCTCCGTGCGGGCCCAAGGTTCTGCTGGGGGCCCCGGGCTGTCCGTCGGGTCCAGCCGCTCGCCCAGCGGGGCCTCAGCTTGCTTGCCTGGAAAATGGGCAGTGCGGTCCCCGGGGGCCCTTGCGGGGGCGGGGAGAGGGCGCCCACGGGAGGGGTGGTTCGACCTGAGGCGCTTGCAGGATTCCCGTGGGGGGCGAAGGGAGGGAGGGCGGCGAGGGCTGCGTGCGCTTTGGCCAGCTGCAGGCCTGTGGGGACGCTTGTCACAGGGCGCAGGGACCAGGCCAGGCCTCGGGTTGGCAGCTTTGTGGGTGGGCTCAGCGTGCACACACTGGCGCCCGTGATCTTGAATTGCGTCCCTTGGTTCTGAATATAGTATTTGTGGAGGGGTCTCGGGGCCGGGGACAAGGCTCCCGTGAGTCTGTTGGACACGGAACGTGTTCTTGGTCTCTGTCTTGCTCGATCGTTCAGAAGAAGTTTTGGGTCACGAGATCTTGCGAATTAAAAAGCGGCTGAGGGCAGCGGCTCACTAGGCTAGTCCTCCGCCTTGCGGCGCCGGCACACTGGGTTCTAGTCCCGGTCGGGACGCTGGATTCTGTCCCGGTTGCTCCTCTTCCAGGCCAGCTCTCTGCTGTGGCCAGGGAGCGCAGTGGAGGATGGCCCAAGTGCTTGGGCCCTGCACCCCATGGGAGACCAGGAGAAGCACCTGGCTCCTGACTTCGGATCAGCGCGGTGCGCCGGCCGCGGCGGCCATTGGAGGGTGAACCCACGGAAAAGGAAGACCTTTCTCTCTGTCTCTCTCTCTCACTGTCCACTCTGCCTGTCAAAAAAAAAAAAAAAATATATATATATATATATATATGGCAGTTGAGGGCACACCTACCGGATTTTCTGACTGGTTTCGGAAGTTTAAGCATCTCCTAAGTCCCTCCTCTAAGAAAAGCGATGAGAGCCAGCATCACTCAGGGCTACAACCTGCCAGTCCCTGCTCTGTGCCCATCACGTGGGTTAGCTCGTTGCATAAGAAGCCCCAGGACCTAGGGTCTGTTATTGTCCCCAATTCACAGGTGTGGAAACGGAGGCCCAGGGAAGTCGTGCAGCTGGCCCGAGAACTGCGGGAGATCCGGGCTGCTGACGGTGCAGCGTGGGGCCCGGGCTCGGCTCCGCAGCGCTCCCTCTTACGCACGCACGCTGTGGCCTCGGGCAGCAGCCTCCATCCTGGAGCCTGTTTTCTCATGTGTGCGCCCGGATAATGGCATGCGAGCCGAGCATTGTTGTGGCAGTTGGTGACATAACGTCTGCGGACCTGCTCTGTCAACACGTGGCTGTTTGTGTAAGGGGAGGGAGTCCTGTTCTTGTTATTGGGCTGTTCACTTGTTCACATCGGAGACCTTCGGAAAAACCTGGTCACGTCTGGCGTTGGCCAGCCCCTGGGGTGACTCTGAGTTCACCACAGGCTGGCTTTGGTCCTCCCCTAGAGACTGATAAGCCACCACAGGAGACTCCGCTGTGGGTTTTCTGCTCCCCCGTCCTTTTCTCCTCCAAACCGTGTTGTGCAACACCTGGATGTTGCAATCCGGGCCGCCGCCCTCCGCTCGTGACGGTCCCACACACCTTGTTTGTGGCAGCCACAGGAGGCTGTGTTGCCAACCCCTCACCTGCTCCCAGGCAGGGACTTCCAACCTCTTTGTCAGCCACTCCTGGCCCGGTGGGACTGGCTGGGGCACCGTCCGGAGGCGACTCCTGTGTATCACTGGACATGTGTTCTTTGGAAGAAACATTTGGCAGCGAGGTGGCACACGGCTCTTTTTTGATTTTGCTGTTTTATTTTTCTGGGAGGCTGGCGTCGTGGCTGCAATGCCAGCATCGCATGTGTGCACTGCTTTGAGTCTTGGCTGCTCCACCTCCCATCCAGCTACCTGCTGTGGCCTGGGAAAGCAGTAGAAGATGGCCCAGATCCTTGGGCCCCTGCACCCACATGGGAGACCTGGACGAAGCTCCTGGCTCCTGGCTTCAAATCAGCTCAGCTCCAGCCACTGTGACCAATTGGGGAGTGAACCAGGGAATGGAAGCTCGCTCTCTCTCTTTCTCTCTCTTTCTCTCTTTCTTCCTCCCTTTCTCTCTCTCTGTCTCTCCCCCTCCCTCCCTCCCTCCCTCCCTCTTTCTTGCTGTGCTGGTGTTGTGGCTGCAATGCCAGCATCCCATATAGGCACTTGTTTGAGTCCTGGTTCCTCCACCTCCGATCCAGCTCCCTGCTAATGTGACCTGGGAAAGCAGCAGAGGAGGACCCAGGTGCTTGGGCCCCTGCACCGACATGAGAGACCCAGAGGAAGCTCCGGGCTCCTGGCTTTGGCCTGGCACAGTCCCAGCCGTGTGGCCATTTGGGGAGTGAACCATCTGCTGCAATGACTGGGGCTGGGCCAGACAGGAGCCAGAGGCCCAAAACTCCATCCGGGTCTCTCATGTGGGTGGCAGGGGTCCAAGTACTTGGGCCATCTGCTGCTGCTGTCCCAGGCCATTACAGGGAGCTGGATCAGAAGTGGAGCAGCCAGGACGCAAACCTATGCCCCAGTAGTTGGTGCCAGCATCGCAGGCAGTGGCTTCGCCCTTTGCACCAAAAACGCCAGCCCGGGTTTTGAGTGTCATGCCAGTGGGATCGTGTGCTGTGTTCTCTTCTGTGTCTGGTTTCTCCTGCCCTGCATTACGTGGGTTAGTTTCGCCCGTTGGTGGGTGTATCCATGCATGGTTTGCCGTTAACTTTACTGTTTAAATGGCTAGAATGCAAAAGGTACAAGAGGGTATTTACTGGAAGCAAAATCTCTCCCGCGGCACGCTGCTTTTCTCCCCGCTCTGCTCCCTGGTTCTCTCCTGGGGCCACCATTGTTGGCAGTATTTTGTGTGGCCTTCCTGGATCCTTGTACACATACCCACACATATATCTACTCTTCCTCCCCTCTTATGTTTTATCTGCGTTTTTAAAGATTTCTTTTGTTGGGAGCCGGTGCTGTGGTGCAGTAGGTGAAGCCTCTGCCTGTGGCACCAATATCCCATAGGGGCGCTGGTTCAAGTCCTGGCTGCTCCACTTCCGATCCAGCTCTCTGCTGTGGCCTGGGAAAGCAGTAGAAGATGGCCCAAGTCCTTGGGCCCCTGCACCTGCATGGGAGAGCCGGAAGAAGCTCCTGGCTTCAACTTGGCCCAGCTCTGGCTTGCGGCCATTTGGGAAGCGAACCATCGGATGGAAGACCTTTCTCTCTGTCCCTCTCTCTGTCTATAATGCTACCTCTCAAATAAATAAAAAAATCTTTGAAAAAAAAAAAAAAGAGTTAATTACAGAGAGAGACAGAGACCGAGAGACATCTTCCATCCACTGATCCACTGCCTTCCACAAACCCTTTGTTATAAAAAGCCTCATGTTCATCCTGTTCTGTGGCGGGGCACTGGGGAGATCCGTGGTCACTCCATAAAGCTCCCCCCCGTTTTATGTGGTGTATGACGGGCGTTTCCCGGATGTGGACAGATTCCTCAGGAACCGTGCCGGCCGCCTGTGTTCCCACCGTGTGTTCCGTCTCAGGACTGTGTCTCCCGCGGGCAGGTGGTGCTCCCGCCGCGGCGCAGGTGACTGCCCGCTCCTGGCGCTGACCCTCAGCAGGAGGTCGCTTCTTTGAGGCCGAAGTCTCACTGCCCGTGGTTTTTAGTAGATTGACAGTGTCCTGGGACTGTCTCTACTCTGATGCCGAATGTTTTCATCTCCCCCAAAAGAAGCCACATAACCGTGAAGTAGTCACTTCCTGTCTCCCCCCCCCACCCCGCTGCCCTTGGCACTCACCGATCTATTTTCTGTCTGTATTAATTTGCCTATTCTGAACTTATCATATCAGCTTCTCTTTGGTCTCGTGTCTGGCTCTCGGCGTGGTGTTTCAGGGCTCCTCCATGGTGCGATGTGGATCAGCGCTTCATTCTTTTGAGAATACGTCTTGCAGTGTTGATCCATTAATAAGGTGGTGGACATCTGGGTTGCTTCCATGTAAAAATGTTTGCTTGAAATGTATTTTTTTAAGATTTATTTATTTATTTATTTGACAGGTAGAGTTACAGACAGTGAGAGAGAGAGACAGAGAGAGGTCTTCCATCCACTGGTTCACTCCCTAATGGCCGCCACGGCTGGAGCTATGCCCATCTGAAGCCAGGAGGCAGGAGTTTCCTTCCTGGTCTCCCGCGCAGGTTCAGGTGCCCAAGCACTTGGGCCACCTCCACTGCCTTCCCGGGCCACAGCAGAGAGCTGGACTGGAAGAGGGGCAACCGGGACTAGAACCCGGCGCCCATATGGGATGGCGGCGCCACAGGTGGAGGATTAACCTAGTGCACCGCTGCGCTGGCCCCGAAATGTACTTTTTTAAAAAAATATTTTATTGCCAGCACCACGGCTCACTAGGCTAATCCTCCGCCTGCAGCGCCGGCACCCCGGGTTCTAGTCCGGTCGGGGCGCCGGATTCTTTCCCGGTTGCTCCTCTTCTAGTCCAGCTCTCTGCTGTGGCCCAGGAGGGCAGTGGAGGATGGCCCAAATGCTTGGGCCCTGCACCCGTATGGGAGACCAGGAAAAGCGCCTGGCTCCTGGCTTTGGATCAGCACGGTGTGCCGGCCACAGCGGCCATTTCAGGGTTGAACCAATGGAAGGAAGACCTTTCTCTCTGTCTCTCTCTCACTGTCTAACTCGGCCTGTCAAAAAAATTATTTATTTATTTGAGAGGCAAAGTTATAGAGAGAGGGAGAGACAGAGAAAGGGCTTCCATCCACTGGCTCACTCCCCAAGTGGTCACAACAGCCAGAGTTGGGCCAATCTTATCTGAAGCCAGGAACCAGGAGCTTCCTCCAGGTCTCTCACGTGGGTGCAGGGGTCCAAGCACTTGGGTCATCACCCACTGTTTTCCCAGGTGCATTAGCAGGTGGCTGGATTGGAAGAGGAGCAGCTGGGGCACAAGTAGGTGCCCATATGGGATGGCGGCACCACAGGCAGAGGCTTAGCCCACTACACCACAGCTCCGGCCGCCTGAAATGTGTTTTATCTGAGAGAAAGAGTAAGAGCTCCCGTCTTCTGGTTCACCCACTAAGTGTTCACAACCGCTGGTACAAGGCAGGACGGAAGTTGGGAGCTGAGAACCCAGTCCAGGTCTCCCAGTGCATGGCGGGAACCCAAGTGCTTGCGCCATCCCTGCTGCAGCTAGGGTCTGCGTATTCGCAGGAAGCTGGGATCAGGAGCCAACGCTGGGGATGGGACTCACGTCCTCCATGCAGGATGCAGGTGCCTCAAGCAGTATCTGACTGCTAGGCTAAACACTGCCCTTGTGTATACATTTTTGAAAAACATTTTTAAGATTTATTTATTTGGCCGGCGCCACGGCTCAGTAGGCTAATCCTCCACCTAGCGGCACCGGCACACCGGGTTCTAGTTCCAGTCGGGGCGCCGGATTCTTTCCCGGTTGCCCCTCTTCCAGGCCAGCTCTCTGCTGTGGCCAGGGAGTGCAGTGGAGGATGGCCCAGGTGCTTGGGTCCTGCACCCCGTGGGAGACCAGGAGAAGCACCTGGCTCCTGCCATCGGATCAGCGCGGTGCGCCGGCCACAGCGCGCCAGCCACGGCGGCCATTTGGGGGGTGAACCAACGGCAAAAGGAAGACCTTTCTCTCTGTCTCTCTGTCTCACTGTCCACTCTGCCTGTCAAAAAAAAAAAAAAAAAAGATTTATTTATTTGAAAGTCAGAGTTACAGAGTGAGAGAAGGAGAGGTAGAGAGAGGTCTTCCTTCCGCTGGTTCACTCCCCAGTTGGCCACAGTGGCTGGAGCTGCACCGATTCAAAGCCAGGAGCCAGGAGCTTCTTCCGGGTCTCCCACGTGGGTGCAGGGGCCCAAGCACTTGGGCCATCTTCTACTGCTTTCCCAGGCCATAGCAGAGAGCTGGATCAGAAGTGGAGCAGCCGGGACTCGAACTGGAGCCCATGTGGGATGCTGGTGCCGCAGGTGGGGGCTTTATCCACTATGCCACAGCACCGGCCCCTGAAAATTTTTTTAACATTTTAATTTTCATTTTATTTGTCTGAAATTTTCATTTTATTTATCTGAAAGTCAGAGAGAGATAGAGAGTCCCCAGCAGCCAAGGTTGGACCAGGGTGAAGCCTGGAGCCTGGAATTCAACCTGGGTCTCCCATGTGGGTGGCAGGGACCCAGGTAGCTGAGTCATCAGCTGTGGCCTCCCAGGAAGCTGGATCAGAAAGGGAACCAGGACTTGCACCAGGCACTCGCACCGAGGGTGGGGGCTCCAGGTGGCGACCTACTGCTGTGGCAAACGCCTGCCCTGTTAGGCATTTTGTCAGAAACTCTCCTCCTCATCAAGAGAAAGCACCAAGAGTTACCAGTACAGACGTAGTCCCACTTGGAATGCAAATCATTCCCTTAAACACACACAGGTCTGCGTCCTCCCAGACCTGGAGCCGAGCTCTGTGTCAGGGAAGAGGGAGGTGCTGGGCTCTACCTTGGGCGGGGCGGGTGTTTGCATGGGACAGTGCCTCGAGTGGGCGGTCAGGGGTGGCCGTGCTGGCCGTTGGCCGTGGCCGCGTGTAGGTGTTCACCGGGCTGTCCGAGCGCAGCTTCCACCCCCCCCCCCGCCCCGGAAAGCAGGTGGCAGCACAGCCTTGCGCTGGCCTGCTGTGGGTGTCTGGTCAGGCCTGGCCAGGAAGTGCTTCGCCAAGAGCGGCAGACGCACAGAAGTTGTCCATGGTGCTTTGACGGCCCGAGGGGGTTGCCAGCATGAGGAAGGTGGTAGGAGGGTGATGCCATACCATCCCAGCAGTGAGCCCCGTGCCGTCCCAGCAGTGAGCCCCGTGCCGTCCCAGCAGTGAGCCCCGGCCATCCCAGCAGTGAGCCCCGGCCATCCCAGCAACAGTGAGCCCTGGCCATCCCAGCAGTGAGCCCTGGCCATCCCAGCAGTGAGCCCCGTGCCGTCCCAGCAGCGAGCCCCGTGCCATCCCAGCAGTGAGCCCCGTGCCGTCCCAGCCACAGTGAGCCCCGGCCATCCCAGCAGTGAGCCCCGTGCCGTCCCAGCAGCGAGCCCCGTGCCGTCCCAGCAGCGAGCCCCGTGCCGTCCCAGCAGTGAGCCCCGTGCCGTCCCAGCCACAGTGAGCCCCGGCCATCCCAGCAACAGTGAGCCCCGTGCCGTCCCAGCCACAGTGAGCCCCGGCCATCCCAGCAACAGTGAGCCCCGTGCCGTCCCAGCCACAGTGAGCCCCGGCCATCCCAGCAGTGAGCCACGTGCCCTGCCAGCAGCGAGCCACGTGCCCTGCCAGCAGCGAGCCCCGTGCCGTCCCAGCAGCGAGCCCCGTGCCGTCCCAGCAGCGAGCCCCGTGCCGTCCCAGCAGCGAGCCCCGTGCCGTCCCAGCAGCGAGCCCCGTGCCGTCCCAGCAGTGAGCCCTGGCCATCCCAGCAGTGAGCCCCGTGCCATCCCAGCAGTGAGCCCCGTGCCCTGCCAGCAGTGAGCCCCGTGCCCTGCCAGCAGTGAGCCCCATGCCGTCCCAGCATCCCCCAGGGGGGTAGAGGAAGGCAGGAGGGCTGGGGCTGAAGCGAGAGCGGTGATGACGGGAGCAGAGGTGGCAGGGTGGAGGAGGGCTCTCAAGCCAAGGGGTGCAGGTGACGCTGGCTGCGGGAGGAGGCAGGAAGCAGATTCTGCCCTAGACCCCCCACGGGGCTCAGCCCCGCCCAGGCCATGGTTTTTCATCTGGCGAGACCACTCAGTGGCGTTTGCTCCCATGGCGGATGGGCATGGTGGGCCCGTCGGCGCTGTCACGTGGGGTTGCAGCTGATGCCGTCAGGCGTTCGTCCTGCGCCCGGCACCACGTGCGTTCCTGTCTGCCTCTCCCAGCCGCTGGCTGAAGCACACATTGTCGCTGGCCCCACCGCACAGGCTAAGAAACTGAGGTCCAGGCACGGCAATGAAACTGCTGTTCAGGGCTGTTCAGAAGGCTGAGTTGGCAAGGGTCAGACGCTGTCCTCGGTGTTGGGCACACCAGGGAGCCGCACGCTGTCCTGGGAGCCGCGGGAGGCTAGCTGGGCTGAGCTGTGGGCAGCCCTTTTCCTGGGCACCACTCCCACGGTGGCGCGGCACTGGGGTGACGTTGGGTGACAGGGGAGCCCAGTGCCTTCTAGCCGGCTTCGCCCTCACCAGCAGTGAAGCCCCCGCTCCCTGGCCACCTTCCCTGGGATGTGAACTGGAGGCGACTGCACTCCTGCCCCACGGAGCAGCGCCCTTGGAGGGTGGTCGATCCGTGCCTCCTTGACTCCCTGCAGAAGGGAGGAGGGCTGTCACCGTGAGGAGCCTGCTGCTCTGAGGGGCCCTGTTACCCCGGGCACACAGCTGGGAAACACAGGACTGATGGTGACCCAAGTCCAGCGTCTCCCTCCTGCGTAGCAGCAGTGCCTGAGAGTCAGTAGACCTGGTGGCATGGGATTCGTGCCCTGGGGGTGTGGGATCAGGACCTGGTGGGGTGGGATCAGTGCCCTGGGGGTGCGGGATCAGTGCACTGGTGGCGTGGGATCAGGACCTGGTGGCATGGGATCAGGACCTGGGGGTGTGGGATCAGGACCTGGGGGTGTGGGATCAGGACCTGGTGGGGTGGGTCAGGACCTGGTGGCGTGGGATCAGTGGACCTGGTGGCGTGGGCTCTGTGACCCTGGTGGCGTGTGATGAGGACCTGGTGGTGTGGGATCAGGACCTGGTGGCATGGGATCAGTGGACCTGGTGGGGTGGGATCAGTGCACTTGGTGGCGTGGGCTCCGTGCCCCTGGTGGGGTGGGTCAGGACCTGGTGGCGTGGGCTCTGCGCCCCTGGTGGGGTGGGATCAGTGGCCCCAGCAGAGGCTGGAGAGGCTGGAGAAGCAGGTGTGCTGGGCTGGGGGTGCACGGATTTGCTCAGGGAAGCTGTTCCAGCTCCCGCCCTGTGCGTGCCTGTGCTGTGTGCAGGGGACACTGTGGCCCCTCCCAGGCCTGGCCCCACCGGCACAGGGGTCTTTCCTGCAGCCCTGGTGGCCCAGAGGGCAGTCACCCCGCAGGGTCCCAGAGCGAGTCCCAGGGCAGAGCAGGCACTGACCGCGGCCTTTCTCCCCGGCTGCAGTTTGAGAAGGAGGAGCAGATACACAGCGTGGACATCGGCAACGATGGCTCGGCCTTTGTGGAGGTGCTCGTGGGCAGCTCAGCCACAGGAGCCGGCGAGCAAGACTACGAGGTAAGCAGGCCCGCGAGGGGACACCTGGGCGGAGGCGACTCACACCTGATCACCGCCCCCAGACAATGGCCCGCGTGCGGGGGAGATGCTGCCTGCAGAGAGATCAACAACAGACAGCTGCCAGCCCCGCGTCTCGGAGCAAAGCTGCTTCCCAGCCCCAGGGAGGCAAGGCCCCTGTCAAGTCGCTGTTACGTGGAAAATGTTAACAGGAAGAATGCCTGCAGCTCTTCTGTGAATTTATTTTGAAGATTTATTAATACAGAGTCAGAGAGAGAGAGATCTGGTGGTTCACTCTCCAAATGGTTGCAACAGCCCTGGCTGGGCCCAGCCAGAGCCAGGAATTCCGTCAGGGGCCCAAGCACCTGAGCTGCCTTCCCAGGTGCATTAGCAGGGAGCTGGAGCGGAGCAGAGCAGTGGGATTTGAACTGCTGGGTTTTTTTTTAGTTATTGTTTATTTGTTTATTTATTTACTTGAAAGTCAGAGTTACACAAAAAGAGAAGGAGAGGCAGAGAGAGAGAGAGAGAGGTCTTCCATCCACTGGTCACTCCCCAATTGACCGCAAAAGCTGGAGCTGTGCCGATCTGAAGCCAGGAGCCAGGAACTTCTTCCCGGTCTCCCATGTGGGTATAGGGGCCTAAGGACTTGGGCCATCTTCCATTGCTTTCCAAGGCCACAGCAGAGAGCTGGATTGAAAGTGGAGTGGCTGGGACTCGAACCGGCACCCATATTGGATGCTGGCCCTGCAGGCGGCGGCTTTACCCGCTGCACCACAGCGCCGGCCCCTGAACTGCTCTTCTAACATGGGATGCTGGCATCCTGCTGTGCCACAACCCAGCTGGATTTGTGCCTTAGTTCGTTTGCATACTCTTTTTTTTTTTTTTTTTAAGATTTATTTTATAAATTTGAAAGAGTTACAGAGAGAGGTAGAGCCAGAAAGAGAGAGAGAGAGAGAGAGGTCTTCTTTCTGCTCGTTCACTCCCAAAATGACCACAACGGCCAGAGTTGAGCTGATTCAAAGCCAAGAGCCAGGAGCCTCTTCCGGGTCTCCCACGCAGGTGCAGGGGCCCAAGGACCTGAGCCATCTTCTACTATCCCAGGCCATACAGAATCTGGATCAGAAGTGGAGCAGCCAGGACTCAAACTGGCACCCATATGGGATGCCGGCACTGCAGGCCGGGGCTTTAACCAGCTGTGCCACAGCGCCAGCCCCTTGCGTACTCTGTTGTGATAATGCCACGGTGTCTCAGTAGTTAAAGAAAATCCTGCAGTTACCCAGCGTCGGACTTCAAACACCAGTTTTGTTTAGGATTCTCTTGGCTATTTTGAATCCTTTGCATTTATTTCCATATAATTTATAAAATCAGATTATCAATGACTACTTATTTATTTTAGAAAAATTGCAGAAGTGGTACAAAGAATCCCCATTTAGACTCCCCAAAGTGGGGCTGGCACTGTGGCACAGTGGGTCACGCCTCTACCTGCATCACCAGCGTCTCCTATGAGTGTAGCTTCAAGTCCCGGCTGCTCCACTTCCGATCCAGCTCCCTGCTAATGCACCTGGGAAAGCAGCAGAAGATGCCCCAAGCGCTTGGGCCCCTGCACCCTCATGGGAGACCTGGATGGAGTTCCAGGCTCCTGGCCTTGGCCTGGCCCAGTCTTGGCTTTTGCAGCCATCTGGGGAGTGAACCAAGGATGGAAGATTTCTCTGTCTCTCTCTCTCCCTCTCTCTCTAACTCTGCCTTTCAAATAAATACATCTTTAAAAAAAAAAAAAAAAGATTCCCCCAAGTTCACGTGTGCTTTTTTCTGAACTGAGAGTAACCCCCCATGTAGGTGCTGCCCATTTACTCCACACACTGCCGGTCACTGGCCTCAGTGTGATTATCAGAATTAGATCAGCACTGGTGCCATCCCATAATCATCTCGTCCTCAGACCCCACAAAGATTTCTCTCTTTGTCCGATAACGTTCTTTATGGCAACAGAGAGTTCCGAGTCGTTCGTTGCGTGGCTCTGTCCCAGTGCCTTGTTTGCCTTCCGCCGGGAGCCGTTCCTGTGACTCTGTGCGTGGCGTCGCTGACGTCTGTGAAGAGCAGAGGTCAGCCCTTGTGCCAAGCGCCGCGGAGTGCACAAGACGCCCGCCGTTTCCCCGAGACTAAATGCTGCTCACATACTTTGCACCAGGATACCAGAGAAATGACACCGGGCTCTCGGTGCGGTGGACGATCGATTTTTGTATATTGATTTTGTATCTTCTGATTTTGCTAAATTCACTTCCTAATTCTTTTTTGTTGTTCAATTTTCAAATAGTTTTTCTTTGCTTTAAAATTTCGTTTTGTTTGAGAGGCAGAAAGACAGCGGCAGAGGTCTTCCATCTGCTGGCTTACCCCTAGTTGCCTGCAGCAGCCGGCGCTGGGCCAGGCAGAAGCATTCCCGGGCCTCCCTGGCGGGTAGAGAGCTGACTTCTGGAGCCGTCATTTGCTGCCTCCCTGGGCACCTCAGCAGGAGCCGGGCTGGGAGCAGAGCAGGCACTCTGATACGGAATGTGGGCGCCCAGCAGGGTTTTGTTTTGGTTTTTTAGGATTTATTTTATTTGAAAGTTAGAGTTTCCATAGAGAGGGGGAGAGAGCGCGCTATTTTCCATCTGCTGATTTGCTTCCCAAATGGCCGTGATGGCAGGGCTGGCCCAGGCCAAAGCCAGGAGCCTGGAACTCTATCCAGGTCTCCCACATGGGGGGCGGGGGCCCCAGCACTTGAGCCGTCATCTTCAGGATCAGAAGTGGAACAGCTGGGGCTTGAAGCAGTACCCGGATGGGATGCCGGCATTGCAAGTGGTGGCCTAACCCGCTGCAGCACAGTGCCAGCCCCTTGGAATTCTTCTTCTGCTGTTTTTTTTTTTTTTAAGATTTCTTTATTTGAGAGAGAATTACAGACAGGGAGAGGGACAGAACAGAGAGGAAGGTCTTCCATCTTCTCGTTCACTCCTCAGATGGCCACAATGGCTGGAGCTGGGCTGGGCTGAAACCAGGAGCCAGGCTCTTCTTCCGGGTCTCCCACATGGATGCAGGATCCAAGCACTTGGCCCATCCACTGCTTTCTCAGGCCGTAGCAGAGAGCTGGATCAGAAGAGGAGCAGCCAGGACACGAACCAGGGCCATATAGGATGCCAGTGCCACAGGCAGAGGTTTAGCCCACTATGCCACAGCGCCAGCCCCTTGGAATTCAATTTTTGATGACAAAAGCAGAATAAGTCCATTTTAAGCTCCAGTTGTACCGTGTGTGGTGTGTGCGTGTTTAGCGGCCTCTGTCTGTCTCGGCAGGTGGACCGGTGGGGTCAGGGCTGGAAACCCTGTAGCAGAGGCTCCTCTTCTGTCTGGGTTTTCATTGAAATTCTGCTGGAGTCTCAGGTTCCTGTTACAACTTGCAGGCAGGACTCGGGGCTTGTCACGCTCGGGTTTCACCGTGAGGCTGGAGGTAGCTGGACAGGAGAGTCAGGACAGCAGAGGAGGGAGGGCACAGCTGGGGTCGATAGAGAGGAGGGAGGGCACAGCTGGGGCCGGCACTGCTGGCATCGCCACGAGCCAGGCGTGAGGTGGACGCGGGCACTGTAGGGAGGGAAGCTCCTTCTGCAGACTCGACGTGTTCTTCCTGCCCCCAAATTCGCGGAGCGGCTCCCTGAGCTTTGGCGACCACGTAATGTTTTCAGCTCGCGTTTTCCAGTGCAGATGGTTAGTATGAATTTTTACTCCAGATCCCTAAGCGTGTGGGCTTGTGGTTAGGAATTCTGCAGAGGGAATGTCTCCTCCCTCCTCTGCTGGGCCTCAGAGCTGCGGGTGAGACAGACGGGCCCCGGCGCTGTGCAGCGTGGTGGTGGGCTCCAAGATGGACCAGAGCCCAGGCCTTGTGTCCTGGGCAGACGACCAGCGTCGGTGCTGCACTGGCGGGCAGGATCCTGCCAGGAGACCCAACCCCACCGAGTTCTTCTGCCAGAGAGAATTTAACTGTGGTGAGGCCGCTGCCTGCAGCGCCGGCATCCCCTAGGGGCTCCAGTTTGTGTCCCAGCTGCTCCGCTTCCGACCCAGCTCCCTGCTAATGGCCTGGGAAAGCCTCAGAAGATGGCCCAAGTGGTGAAGAAGCAGGGGCAGGGAGCACCCTAGGGTTGTGGGAACAAAAGAGATTGGAGTCACAGGACAGCTAGAGGAGTAGAAGCTGGGGGGTGGGGGAGACTGGAGCTGAAACTCAGGGCGCAGTGAGGCCGGCAGACGGGGTGCACCTGCTGCCCGGGGAAGGAACTGCAGCGAGCTGGGCTGAAGCTCACAGGTTCTGCAAAAGGCCGGGGCACCGGCAGTCCCACCTCAGCCGCTCGCTGCCTGTCTCTCTGGCTCCCCCTGTTGGCAGAGCCCGACGAGGCGCAACGGGCGAAGCTGCACTGTCCCTGCGCAGCCCCAGTCCATAGCGTGGCGCTGAGCTTGCCCAGAGGGACCATCGCTTAGTAACGGGTGCCATGCTCCCCATCAGGGGCTGCTCTCCCATTGCGGGCTCTTCCGGGGACTCAGCCCGCCTGTCCCAGAGGTGTGGGGCTTGTGCTGGTCACTGGGGGTGCTCTGGGCAGTGAGCGTTCCTTAGCACCTGGAGCCCCTGTGCCGCCCCGTGTGGGGGACCCCACGGAAGCTTTCGGATCGCGAGGACAGCAGGAGCCCTCCCTGGAGGCCCAGACTCAGAATTATTGGAGCTGGAGCTGATTCCGGCGGCCCCAGCCCCGGAGGAGTCACCTGAACCGGCCATTCCTGCTTCCCGTTCACGGTGCCGTCTCCCACCCAGGTCCTTCTGGTCACGTCGTCTTTCATGTCCCCTTCCGAGAGCCGCAGCGGCTCAAACCCCAACCGGGTTCGCATGTTCGGGCCTGACAAGCTGGTCCGGGCAGCAGCCGAGAAGCGCTGGGACCGCGTCAGGATCGTCTGCAGCCAGCCCTACAGCAAGGTGCCCGGGGCGGGGCCTGGCCGGGGGGACTGGGCTGAGCGCCAGTGCTTGTCCCAGGGGCCGGGGGGGCCTGGCCAGCTGAGGTCCCCGTGGGGTTTGGGGAGGCTGGGCCCTGCACCCCTGCAGTGGGTTTGAATGCTCTCCATGACGTGAGCTCAGTTTCCAGAGGACGCACAGGCGCTGTGGACCGTGGTGTCTCGGAGGGGACGTGGAGGGGAGGGCCGGGACATGGGGTGGTCCAGGAGAGCAGGCCTAGTAGTTAAAGCCACGAGACCTGTGATCTCGGGCAAGTGCACTGCCCTCCCTGGGCCTCTCCTGATCCTAGCAGGGTGGCTGTAGGTGAGGGACGCTCAGCCCTGGTAGCTCGAGCTCCGGGTTTGTGATGGCGCCCCCAGCGGAGGGAGCCAGGCCCTCTGCTTCAGGCTCTGCGTCCAGCGTTCTGTGATGCAGCGTGCGCCCGGGTGGGGGTGGGGGTGGCAGGGCTCACTCGGAGCTGGCCGGCTTGTGTCACAGCCAGGGCCGCAGGGACTGGTGCACGTGGGGGACTTGGCACGAGCCTGGCTTTGGTCACAGCTTCATGCTGCTGCTGTCGCCGTTGGCCCCCTCCTCCACGTGTGGCCCCGAAGAGGGAAAGGGCCATAAAGGGGCTTCCACAAGTGTCCAGGCCCCTGGGCCAGAGGCCCTGACTCCCACCGCCCCCCCCCCCAGGACGCCCCCTACGGCCTGAGCTTTGTGCGGTTCCACAGCCCCCCAGACAAAGATGAAGCGGAGGTCCCGGCCCAGGTAAGCCCACCCACACCCCCAGAGCCTCGGCCCCGCCTCTTCACCCCGCCCGCCAACTGCCCCCCCCCCCCCCCGCGGCACTGACCTCGTGGGGCCTTAGAAGGGGACAGTGACCAAGCTGGGCCAGTTCCGCGTGAAGGAGGAAGACGAAGGCGCCAGCGCCCTGAGACCCGGGGCTCTCTTCTTCAACCGGATCAACAAGACGTCCCCCAGTGAGTGCGCAGCCGGGGAGGAGGGCCGGGGGCCGGGACTCCTGGGTCACCGCTGGGTCCCTCAGGTGGGAGCTGGGGTCGGGGGTCTCAGCTGAGGGCCTCTCCTGGATGCCCCACTTCTCCCTCCATAGCCACAGCCAGGGACCCGGCAGGCCCCAGCTACGCAGCTGCCACCCTCCAGGCCTCCAGTGCCGCCGCCTCGGCCTCTCCCGTCTCCAAGGTGAGAGCGCCGGCCTGGGTGGGTGGAGGAGGAAAGCAGCCGAGGCCTCACCCGTCCTCACCCGCAGCCTCAGGAGTCTCCCAAGGGGAAGAGGAAGCTGGATTTGAGTCAAGAGGAGCGGAAGGCCCCCAGCAAGCGGCCGGCCCAGCTCTCAGCCCTGGCTGGCAAGAAACCCAAACGTGAGCACGCTGACCCTCGGCCCCTGGGGCCTGTGCCGCTTAGTCCTCGCGGAAGATGGGTGGGCCTAGGCCTGGGTCTGAGGGAGGAGGGGTGGGGGCCTGCACTCCTAGGTCTGAGGGAGGAGGGTCTGGGAGCCTGGGCCCTGGGTCTGAGGGAGGAGGGGCTGGGGGCCTGGACCCCTGGGTCTGAGGGAGGAGGGGCTGGGGGCCTGGACCCTGGGTCTGAGGGAGGAGGGGCTGGGGCCTGGACCCTGGGTCTGAGGGAGGAGGGGCTGGGGCCTGGACCCTGGGTCTGAGGGAGGAGGGGCTGGGGGCCTGGACCCCGGGTCTGAGGGAGGAGGGGCTGAGGTCTGGACCCCTGGGTCTGAGGGAGGAGAGGCTGGGGCCTGGACCCCGGGTCTGAGGGAGGAGGGGCTGAGGTCTGGACCCCTGGGTCTGAGGGAGGAGGGGCTGGGGGCCTGGACCCTGGGTCTGAGGGAGGAGGGGCTGGGGCCTGGACCCTGGGTCTGAGGGAGGAGGGGCTGGGGTTGGGCCCTGGGTCTGAGGGAGGAGGGGCTGGGGGCCTGGACCCCGGGTCTGAGGGAGGAGGGCTGGGGTCCTGCACTCCTAGGTCTGAGGGAGGAGGGGCGGGGCCTGGACCCTGGGTCTGAGGGAGGAGGGGCTGAGGTCTGGACCCCTGGGTCTGAGGGAGGAGGGCTGGGGGCCTGCACTCCTAGGTCTGAGGGAGGAGGGGCTGGGACCAGGGCCCTGGGTCTGAGAGGAGGGGCTAGAGGTTTAGCCCAGTGGTGCTGACTGTATCTCGACTTCGGCTTCCACAGTGCCAGCTCCCAGCCGTACCCCGGCCGCGGCCCCCGTCCCTGCTGCAGCACAGGGGGCAGTGGTGGGGAAGCCGCGGGATGAAGGTGAAGGCGCCGAGCCCAGGGCCCCCCGAGCCGGCCCCCAGGAGCTGGGGAAGATCCTTCAAGGGGTGGTGGTGGTGCTGAGTGGCTTCCAGAACCCCTTCCGCTCGGAGCTGCGGGACAAGGCCCTGGAGCTGGGGGCCAAGTACCGGCCAGACTGGACCCCGGACAGCACCCATCTCATGTAGGCCAGGCCGCCTCCTGCGCGTGTCCCGCCCTTCCCCCCACCCCCGCCCTGCTCTGCTCCTCTGCCTCGCACGCACGCTCTCACTGTCTGTCTGTAGCTTCCATCTCTGATGTCTGTATCTCTCCCGTGGTTTCCCATCTCTGTCTCTGTGTCGCCCACATTTCTCTCACTGTCTCTTTCTCCCTCCCTCCTTGCCTCTCGCGTCCCCCCCCTCGCCTTTCCCCCTCGGCTCACACCTAACAGACCCCTCCACTCTACCCCTGCAGCTGTGCCTTTGCCAACACCCCCAAGTACAGCCAGGTCCTGGGCCTCGGAGGCCGCATCGTGCGTAAAGAGTGGGTGCTGGACTGTCACCGCATGCGGCGGCGGCTGCCCTCCCGGAGGTGAGACCCCCATGTGCACACACGTGCTCTCCTCCCCTTCCTGGGCAGTGCCCGGACCCGGGGGGAAGTCAGCTGGGAACACAGGCAGAGGGCAGGCAGAGGCCGGGGAGCTCCACCTGCGGGGTGGTCACCGAGGGAAAAGGGAACCACAGTGCTGGCTGGAGGAGCCGCGTGGGAGGGTGGGGCGCCGGGGCCTGTTGGTGTCACTCAGAGTGCGTGGGAGTTTTTATTTGAGAAGCAGAGAGAGACAGAGACAGAGAGCTCCCATCCCACTGTTTATTTCTGGGCTGGGCCAGGCCAAAGTCCAGGGCGGTGAACTCCAGCCAGGGCTCCCAGGTGTGTGGCGGGGACCCAAGTGTTGGTGCCGTCACCTGCTGCCTCCCAGGGCGCACACTGCAGGGAGCTGGCGTCACAGGAGGCGCAGGTGTACCACCAGTGTCTTTTAATTTTTTTTTAAATATTTTATTTCTTTATTTGAAAGGTAGCGTTATAGATAGTGAGAGAGAGAGAGAGACACACAGAGAGAGGTCTTCCATCCACTGGTTCACTTCCCAAATGGCTGCAATGGCCGGAGCTGACCTGATTCGAAGCCAGGAGCTTCTTCCAGGCCTCCCACGTGGGTGCAGGGGCCCAAGGACTTGGGCCGTCTTCTGCTGCTTTCCCAGGCCACAGCAGAGAGCTGGATTGGAAGAAAAGAAGCCGGGACTTGAACCATTGTCCACATTGGATGCCGGCACTGCAGGCAGAGGATTAACCTTTTGCGCCCCTACCTAGTGTCTTAACCTCTGCAAAACAGCGCCCTGCACTTTACATTTCAAGAAAAACAACTGCTCGAAGGGTGACTCCTGGTGGGTGGCTCCCCTTGTTTCAATCACAAATTGGGCTTTTAAACACTTCGAGGGACAAGTGTTTGATGGCTGCATCCCATGTCGAAGTGCCTGGGTCATGTCCTGGCTGCTGCACTTGCCATCCGGCTTCCTGCTGATGCCCCCTGGGAGCACAGATGATGGTCAGGTAGCTGGGCCCCTGCCATTGACATAGGAGACCCGGATTGAGTTCTGGGTCCCTGACTTTGCACGTGGACCAGCCCTGGCTGGTATGGGCATTTGGGGAGCTGACCAGCAATGGAAGATCCCTCCCTCTCTCAAATAAAATGAAAATAAATCTTAAAACTTTTAAAATCTTTGCATACAAAGCACCGGGAAGAAAAAGGTCCAGTCAGCTGCTCCCGGGAGCCACTTGTCGCAATGAGCAGGACTTCCCTGCGCAGTGGCCACCAGCTTGGGAACCACCTAGGCCTGTGGCAGGCTCTTCCTGTGTGACCCAGGAAGCCGCCCGCCTGTTGTCTGCTGCCACCTGCTTTGGCCGTCTCTCAGTGCCCCGGCTTCCTCACCTCTAAAGTGGAGCTGGAAATGATGCCCGCTGAGGGCCAGGGACGACCCCACGTTTGTCACACGCTGAACACACTGCCACAGGCGGGCAGGTGCCGCGGGTGTGAGCCCGCGCCCTGGGGAGCCGGGAGTTCGGCGTGTGTCTTTGAAGTGTCTGCTGGCAGGAGTCCTCAGGAGAAGCTGACTTTGGCTCCCAGAGGGAAAGTGATTTCTGCCTGGTTTTCCCTTTCTAAAATGGGACGAGGAGGGAGGCGAGGGAGGACGCCCAGGGCCTGGATGGGCAGCTGGGCCGGCAGGGGTCTGTGGAACGGGCAGGCCAGGAAAGAGGTCCCGAGCACCTGCCGGATGCGGGGCTCCTGCCACCCCAGCGGCCTCATGCCTCCCTCCGGACTCCACATCCCGCCCCCAGGTACCTCATGGCAGGACCCAGCTCCAGCAGCGAGGACGAGGGTGGCTCTCACAGCGGCGGCAGCGGGGACGAAGCCCCCAGGCTTCCCCGGAAGGTTTGACCAAGGCCCTGCCAGTGGGGAGGGGGACAGGGAGTTACGTGGTTGCCCCAACTCCCCGCCCCCCCCCCACATACCCACACTGCCCCTCCTTCCTCAGCGTCCCCAGACCAAAGCCAGGCCCCCTCAGGCAGCTGGACCCAGCTCACCCCAGAGGCCTCCAACCCCCAAAGAGACCAAAGCAGCCTCACCCGCTCCCCAGGATGACACAGACACTGAGGGGGAGCCGTCAGGTCAGAGTCCGAGGGAGGAGGGCTGGGGCCGGGGCCCCTGGGTCCGAGGGAGGAGGGCTGGAGATCAGACTCCCGCGTGTAAGGGGAGAGGGGTCTGGGGGGTGGGTGGCGGGTCACCAGATGCCAGGCGGCGAGGTGGGGAGAGGGCTCCAGCCTTGCAGAAGACACAGCACCTCCTGGCACTCACCGACTCCCACTCGCAGGACAAGACGATGGGGCCGAGGATTCTGGGGACACGGAGGACGAGCTGAGGAGGTAGGGCCGGGCTGGGGTCAGGGCCGGGCTCCAGGGCTGCGGGGCATCTGCCCCACCTGCTCACCCGCACCCCCTCGGCTTCCCCAGGGTGGCGGAGCAGAAGGACCAAAGGCGGCCCCCTGACCAGGGCGAGAACGGCGAGGACCCGTACGCAGGCTCCACTGACGAGAACACGGACAACGAGGATGAGCCGGAGCCGCCCGACCTGCCGGTCCCCGAGCTCCCAGGTGGGGCTCCCTCCATCCCTGCTGTGGGCCGGTGCCGTCCGTTCTTGCCTTGACCCGGCCCAGCCAGTCCGGGGGTCACTTCACTGCTGGCTCCCTCTTCCTCCTCGGCCGCCTCCAGGCCTCTTCCCTGTCCCTGTGGCTTCCCGTGACATCCCCTTTTGTCCCCACCCCCTCTGCCTCCTCCCCTCCAAGCCCAGTGCCAGGGGTGACCCCTTGGACATGTCCCCCAGGTGAGTGGCCGCCTGGGCTGGTGCTTCACCCACCCCCCGCAGGTGCACCTGTCGGGTGGGGGGGCACGGGCACCGCTGTCCATTGGAACCTCGGTGGGCATGCCTGTTCACTTTAACACTAGTCATCATCCTGGACCAGTGGCCACGGGTGTGGCGGGGGCAGGAGCCAGAGCCCCCTGGGTGGAGGGGAGGCCCGGGCCACTGAGCAAACTTGGCAGCTGGCTCCTCATGGGTGCGGGGTGGGCTGTACTCTGATTCTCCAGAGCCCCCAGCTAGCATCAGTCGGTGGCCTGGGAAGTCACGGGAATGGGAGAGGAAGGAAGCCACCCGGGGGTGGGCGAGAGGACGCTGCCTGGGGAGGAGGGAGCCCCAGCGGTGGGTGCAGCGTGGCTCTGGGCTCGCCAGCAGGGGCCCGGGATCGCGCCTCCCTCCAAGCAGAGAAGCAAACCCGCAGCCTCCGGGGGCGCTGTTGGGCTGGGCACCACTGCCTGCCGCCCCGTTTGGGCCCAGCGTTCTCTCGCTCCTGGCCGGTGTCGTGGCACTGGCGGGGGCGGGGGCTCACGCTGCCTCTTCTCCGCCTCTGGCAGACTTCTTCCAGGGCAAACACTTCTTCCTGTATGGGGAGTTCCCCGGGGACGAGCGGCGCAAGCTCATCCGATACGTCACCGCCTTCAACGGGTCAGTCTCCAGAGGGTGGGAGGGCGCAGGGTCGTGGTGGGAGGAAGATGCTGGGGAGGGGGGAGGGCCGTAGTCCACAGGGGGCGCGAGCCGTGGAGCGCAGGGCCCGCGCTGTCCACAGCTGCAGTCCTGCGTGCGGTGCTTCCCTGTCCTCTGCTCTGAAGGGGCCGCTGTCACTGACCGGCCGCACTGGCCCCTGGGAGAACGCGGGCTCCGCCAGCAGGGGGCAGAGGGTGGGAGGAGGAGCCCGCGGCTCCCGGCCCCCCCCACAGCCTCTCCCCCGCCCGCCAGGGAGCTGGAGGACTACATGAGCGACCGCGTGCAGTTCGTGATCACGGCACAGGAGTGGGACCCCAGCTTTGAGGAGGTGAGTCCTAGAGGGGCAGACAAGGGGGGCCTCGTCGTCCTGCAGCCCTCCCTTCCGGAACCCCACCCTCCCCCTCTCCCACCCGCAGGCCCTGATGGACAACCCGTCCCTGGCCTTCGTCCGCCCCCGCTGGATCTACAGTTGCAACGAGAAGCAGAGGCTGCTTCCGCACCAGCTCTACGGGGTGGTGCCCCAGGCCTGAAGAGTGCGGGGCACACGCGCACACACGTACATACACGCACATGTGCACACGCACACGGGAGGTGGGCTTAATAAAGACGACTTGGTTTGCAGCACCTGCCCCTTGGCACACAGGAGTCCCCCACGCCTGTCTCCTCTCCCCCGTGGGGCCAGGAGGAGACGGCCCCTCCGCCAGCGATCTGGGGGGGCAGGGCTCTGCCTGTTCTCCCCGGCCCCACCGCCCGTGTGGGAGAGCAGGGAGCTGAGAATCTGATGGTGCCGCAGCCCAGGGAGCCTGTCCTGCCACCCGGTCCTCCCGCCGTGGACCGTGGGCTGGAGGCCTGGAGGCCTGGACGCCCGGGAGGTGTGCTGCTCTCCAGGGGCCTCCCCTTTGCCCCAGGGCCTCCAGAAGCCGCCGGGGGCATCACCAGTGTGGTTTCACCTCACCTCATTTAGGAGGTGGGTGGGAGGGGGGCCCTTCAAGGCTCTACCAGTTCCAAGTGAGAGCTGAGCTGTGTCAGGCAAGCAGGCAGGGGCCGCGGCGTGCGCAAAGGCCAGGGGGCGGGAAGCAGCCCAGGGCAGTTGGTGGAGGACTGCTGCCCTCTGTTTCAGGGGCATGTTCAGCGGGAGCGGGGCTGGTCCTCGCAGCTGTGCCGTCCCAGGCAGCAGACACCGGGCTGGGTAGTTTTGTCTGAGAGGCAGGGAAGCAGTGGGCAAAATGAGCTCCCATCGCCGGCGCCACGGCTCACTAGGCTAATCCTCCACCTGTGGTGCCAGTACTCCGGGTTCTGGTCCCGGTTGGGGCGCCAGGTTCTGTCCTGGTTGCCCCTCTTCCAGGCCAGCTCTCTGCTGTGGCCAGGGAGAGCAGTGGAGGATGGCCCAGGTGCTTGGGCCTGCACCCCATGGGAGACCAGGAGGAAGCACCTGGCTCCTGGCTTTGGATCAGTGCAGTACAGCGGCCGCAGTGGCCATTTGGGGGGTGAACCAATGGAAGGAAGACCTTTCTCTCTGTCTCTCTCTCACTAACTCTGCCTGTCAAAAAAAAAAAAAAAAAAAAAGAGCTCCCACCTGCTGGTTTACTCCCCAGATGGCTGCAGTGGCCGGGGCTGGGACACTCCCTGTCTCCCACGTGGGCGTCAGGGCCGTTACCTGAGGCGTCAGCGTTGCCTCCAGGTCTGTAGTAGCAGGAAGCTGGAGTCGGGAGCCAGACTCGGGAAGGGCACCAGGCACTCCGGTGGGGGCACCAGCATCTTGAATGCTAGGCTAATCAGCTGCCCCACAGAACTCCATTCCTTGGGTCACACCGGCCATGGTGGCTCCCCGTCCCTGAGGGGCTGTCCTGAAGGGCCGTGAGCACCAGGCCGGGGGCTGAGCAGAGCCAAGGCCAGGGTCAGAGCTGGGCTGAGATCTGACCTCTGGGGAAATTTCTTGGGCCGTCCCAGCCCCTGTACCCCTGTGCCGCCTCAGCCAGAGGCCAGCGGCCTGGCTCCGTGCACGTGTTCGTTCCTGCACACATGGACGGGCCACTCCTGTTAGCATGTGCTGTGATGTCACAGGTGTGTGGCTCGAGACAGCAGACACTGGTCATCTAGCAGGTCCTAAGGGCGGAAGTTTGACATGGACTTCGCTGGGCTGATAGTCCAGGCGTGGGCAGGGCTGCGTCCCTTCCAGGGAGTCTGCTCTCCCTCTCCCACGCCCCTCCCGTATTCAAGGCCAAGGACAGGCAGACTCCTCCCTCTCAGCCCTCCACATTGAGACCTGTGTTTACGTTGGGCCCAGCTGGACCTGGTACGTCTCAAGGTCTGCTCAGTAGCAGCCTTCATTTCCTTCTTCTGCCTATGTCTCTGCCACGTGACGGGTCCCCAGGTTCCGGGGATGATGTGAGCGTGTGTGGGAGGCCCTCCCTCTGCCTGTCACGCCTGCCCCGGGAGAGATGACAGTCCCTGACCTCATGGGGCTGACACTGCTGGGGGCAGACCCTGGGAGATGCAGTGGGAGCCGATAAGGCAGGGCAGGGGCAGGGTGGACTAGGTGGGCCTTGGGAAGGCCTCTCAGAAGACCCGCCCCCTCTGCAGGGACCTGGCAAAAGGGAGGGAGACTGGGAGCTGCCTTCCAGGCCCAGGAAAGTGAGTGCAGGGCCCTGGGGCAGAAGTGCCCTGGCTGTTCATGGAGCAGCAGGACTCGCACTCTGCCCCTGCCCCATTACCGGCTTGTGTGTCAGTCTCTTCCCTCTGGCCTCACTTACCCCTGCACAAAGCAGGATTGAGTCAGATCGTCTCTCTAGTGAGTGCATCCTGGGAACTTGGAGCAGCTGTCCCAGGACAGCTCCCGGAGAAGCACAGTTGCCAGTGGCACTGCTGGGTTGGGCGCAGGGGGTTGGGTCCTTGCCCTCCTGAGCCCAGCTTCCCCTTGCCGGCTCGGGTCTCCCCCGTGAGCTGGGTGCCTTCCACAGACTCCCTGCGTCTACCACACTCAGATTTCGGCTGAGCATGGCAGCCTTGGGAAGGCCTTTCCCAGCCTTTCCTGTGGGCACGCGTTCCCAGGATCTGCCTGCCAGCCCCAGCTCTGTTCATGCTCGAATTCGTCCATCGGTCGGTCTGTGGAGACCCCTTCACTGCTTTGTGCATGGTGTGAGGTAGGGATCTGGTCATGTGCTATTGCTGCTGTAGCAGATTACCACAACTGAGTGGCCTGAAGCAGTGCACCTTTATTCCCAGTTAGGGAGGTCCAACACCAGCCTCGGGGGGCTAAAGCCAGGGGTCAGCGGCTCTGCATTCCTCCTAGAGGCCCGAGGGAGAATCACTTCCTTGACGAGCGCTGGTCTCTGCTCCCCCACGCCCATTACCGACCCTTGGGATTACACTGGGCACTTACTCCTGCAAAGCCCCGTTCGCCCCGGGTAAACTAAGGATGAGAACGCAGGCAGCTTGGGGGTCTTGTGATCCCATTTAGTTTATTTCCCTGGATCTTGGCCTCCTTTACGGACCATTCCGCAGCAGGGGCCAACAAACTACAGCCCCTAGGGAGACCTAGCTCGTCTGCTGTCCTTACAGAGCCCGACTGGCGCCCAGCCATGCCCCCACCCACGTGTGGTGAGGCGCATGGCTGCCTTCTGCTACGGTGGCAAACCCTGCGGTCAGCCCTGGGGCTGGCAAAACCTAGGAGCAGAAACCATCTGGCCCTTCGCCTCCCCACACACAGGTAGGGTCTGTCACATCACGGGTGTTTCTGAACTCACTTCTCCCCATGGCGTATGCTCAGGCCAACAGCACAGGCGCCATTGCTACAACTTGGTAGTGATTCCTGGAGCTGGAGTGGGAGGGTGGGATGGGGCGGCTCCCCTACTCACCCAGCTAATGGACTTGGCTTCTTCCCCCACCTCACTAGCCGGGGTCTGTCCTCACTGCCATGTTCCCGACACCCTGTTCAGAGCACACACACCGTAGACGCTGAGTGCGCGTGTTTAGAACACAGCTTGGCGTTAGCTTGCTCGTCTTACTTCCCGGGGGGAGACACAGGCTTCAGATGGGGGCCGGCTTTGCTGAGACACTGCTCGCCCCTTACAGATGCTGCCATGCGAGAGGAAAGGCACCGGGGTCCAGAGAAGTGACAGGGCTTGTCAGGGCCCTGCAGCTTGGAAGCAGTGGCTCAGGCTGGCTCCGAGGCGTGGGCTGTGGCATCACCAGCCGGGAGAGCTTGGGAATCTCTCCACATCCATCCACACGCAGCACTGACTGCGCGTGGCTGCGTGTCCCGACCGTGGCTGTTCCGTCACCAGCTGGCCCCTGCTGATGGGCGCTTGGGCTGCTGCCGGTCTGGCCACAACCACCGGGCTCCAGTGAGCAGCCTTTCCTGCCTTCTCACACGTGCACATTTATGGGGTCAGGCCCTACCTGGAGAGTGGCTGAAACGAGGATGTGTGCATTTTATACAGCCATCCGCCCAAGTGGAGACACCAATTCAAACTTTTAGCTGCCAAGAGAGCCCGTTGGCGTTTCCCATCAACCCAGGGATAGCTCTGGTTGGCACCTCCCCCTCCCCAAAGCAGGTGAGCAAAGGGGTCCTCGCCTTCTGGGGTCAGGTACAGAATAAATGGGCAGTCTGTCCCTGCCCGCTGTCTCCAAGAGGCAAGTCCACATCCCACCTGGTTCCTGCCAGGGGCTGGCAGCAGAGGGAGCCAGTGAGCCGCTGGCGCTCACTCCCTCTTCCCTGGGCCCTCCGCCTGGGCGTGGCTCCGCTGATGGAGGAGCAGGAGTCGCAGCTGGAGCACCGATGCCGGCCTGGGGCCTGGCTTGCCGGGCGCGGTGGGGGGGTCGTGACAAAGGCGGTGGGCGGCCAGCTTGGAGGGAAATGAGAAGGCTTTGGGGCAGTGCGGGCAAGGGTAGGGGCGGGCGTCGGTGGCGTGGTGCGTGTGGCGGTGGGCAGCCAGCTTGGAGGGGTAGCAGAAGGACTTGGGGCAGTCGGGACACGGATAGGGGCGTGACGGGGTGTGGGTCCAGAGGTGGGCCGCCAGCTTGGAGCGGTGGCCGAAGGCCTTGGGGCAGTGCGGGCACGGGTGCGGGCGGGCGCCGCTGTGCGTAAGGCAGTGGGCAGCCAGCTTGGAGGGGTAGCAGAAGGCCTTGGGGCAGTCTGGGCACAGGTGGGGTCGGGTGCCGCCGTGCGCTAGCCGGTGCGTGGCCAGCTTGGACGGGTACGAGAAGGCCTTGTCACAGTCGGGACAGCGGTGCGGGCGCTGGGGTGGGGGCCGCCGGCGGGGCCGGGAAGGCGGAGCTGACGGGCTGGGCTTCTGCGGCGTGCCCTGGCTCGGAGCTGGGGGACACGAGGGCTGGTGGGCTCCGGGAGCAGCTGCCACCTCGATATCCAAGGGTCCCCGCCAGAGCATGCCGAGATCCCCAAAGGGCAGGTTTCTGCCCACCCTCCTGGGCGGCTCCCAGGGGTCACCTCTGGATGTCCAAGGCTGCTGACGTGCCTCCAGCACCTTCCAGGGTCACCCCGAGGTCCCGCAGGTTGTCCGCCCCGCCCCCCTCCTGTGGTTTCCTAAGCTCCAGCCTTCTGCGGGGTCCCACATGGCCACTGTCCTGGCTCTGTGATTCCCCCAGGTTGTGACTCTTGGCCTCCATGCTGAGAACGCTCCCGCGCGGGGCCGCTCTCACCTCTTCCTGGGGCCTGGGGCCTGGCTGGGGTCGCGGGTTCCTGGGCAGCGGCGCTGGGCTGGGCGGCCGCGGACTCCACGCTTCGCTGCAGCATTTCGCTAGCGGGAGACGCCGCGGACTGCCGGGCTGTCGAGTCGGATCCAGGTGCCTCTGGGAACCTAAGGCCAAGGTAGGGGCGGTGAGTGGGCGGGGTCTAGTGTGCAGAGGGTGGGGCCATGCAAATTTACAAGGCGTTTCTCTGGAACTTCGGAGCGAAAGAGGGCTGCGTCAGGAGTGGACGGGTCTCCCCCGCCGGAACCGGAGGGACCGGGCCGTGCAAGCCGGACCCCGGCCGGTGGCAGGGTCTGGAGCGGAGCGGGCGAGACTTCTGCCTCCGTCCCAGGGCACTACGAAAGCAATGGGCGGGACTTCGGGTCGAAGAGGGAACTTTACCCGGCTCCAGCTTAGCCTCAGTCCATTGACACCACGTCAACCACGTCCTTTTCGCCGCTAAATTTCATGCCTGGCCTGGTGTTGGGGCCGTGGATGGCGGGGAGACCTGGAGGAAGACACAGAGGAACTGGCGTGTGTTGCGATCCAGGTCCCCTAATAGACTTTTCCCACGGGGGCTCAGGCACACCCCTCGAGATTATGGCATTCGTGCACCAAAGCACAGCCCCTCCGCAACCCAGGCATCCGGACCCCAGCCCCCATCCATCCCGTCGGGCCAGGCATCCGTGGCGGGGACCCCCGCCCCGCTTACCTGCAGAACGGCCCCTCCCCAGGGGCGGGGCTCCTGGCCGCGGCCGCCTCTGCAGGTGCGCTGCCCTGGGACCCGCGGAGCCGCCCGAGCGGGGCACGCGGCGCTCTCGCCAGCCGCGAGACCACGCCTCGTTTCCACCGCTGGGCTGCGGGGGGCGTCCGCGCGCATGCGCAGCAGCGGCCGGCGGGGGCTGCGGCGCGGGATCCGGGTGAGCGAGCGGTGGCTGCCCGGAGCCAAGCACGCGCGGGTCCGACCCGGACAAACCGCCCCAGGCGATCAGTGCGACAACTCGGGGGCCCACGCATCCCTCTGGCCGGTGTCTCTGCTTCTCAGGAGCAAAGAATTCGCTGCCCATTTCCAGCCCTCGGACCGCGGCGAGCCCGGCCCGTCCTGCCCATTTCCAGCCCTCGGACCGCGGCGAGGAGTCCGGCCCGTCCTCCGCGAGGGGGCGGGGACGGGATTCAGGACTCGGTGCGCGGAGCGCGCCGGCGCCCAATGAAAGGCGCTGGATTTGCATAGCGCTCGTTCACGCCTCGCCATTGGCTGGAGCGGATTCTCGGCCCTTCCCCGTCTCCTGCCCTCCGCTCCGAGGGGCGGGTCCACGCGGCTAGCGGAGCGGCGCTCCCGGGCGGTAACCTGGCCTTTGGTACCCTGCGCTGGAATGACCGCACGGGGGCCACCGGCCTGGTAACCCGCAAGGCCTGGCAGCCCCGGGAGCCCTGCGGTTGCCTGAGTAGGTGGGTTAGAACCCTGCGATTCCGCCACTTCCTCGCCGACTGACCCTGGGCAAGGCACTTCATCTTTCCCGGTGTCATAGGGCTGGAGGGCTCAGTAGGTGGTGTCAGTATGGCATTTCGTTTCTATTGTGCGTTAAACTCGGCCTGACGGGGTCAGGGTGCACAGGCCAGGTGAGCCTGCTGGGTCCAGCTCCCTCAGTGCGGCTTACCCACGCTGTTCAGGGTTTAGCACATAGCATATGCTCTGTAAATCGGTGTTGAATAAATACGCGAATAATTAACAGCCAGAGGCCCTCTGCGATGGGAAGATAGAAGACAGGGAGAATGCAGAAACTGAGATCAAGGAACTCGGGAAGAGGCCCACACTGAGTGAGAAATCAGAAAAGGGCTTTACCAGGCTTCAACATTTTTGCTAATTCGAGAGACAGAGAGATAGAGCGCCCATCACAGGTTCACACACACACACACACACACAGACACACACGCAGCTGCCCAAAGCACCCCTGGCCGGCCAGGCTGGAGCTGGCGCCAAGAGCACGCTCCACTCTTTTGGGGTGGCAGGAACCCAGGCGCGGAGCCATCCCCGCCGGTCCCAGGGTCTGTGCTTGCGGAGGTTGGGGACGGAGCCGGAGCCTGGAATGGACCGAGGCACGGTGTGGGGCGTGAGACCAGTGTGGAGTTCCTGCATCCTGGCATGGGCCTGGCCGAGACCTGGCTGTTGTGGCCATTTCAGAAATAAACCAGCAGATAAAAGACTCTCTCTCTCTCTCTCTCTCTCTCTCTCCCTCTCCCTCTCCCTCTCCCTCTCCCTCTCCCTCTCTCCCTCCCTCTCTCCCTCTCTCCCTCTGTGTTTGTGTGTGTGTGTGTTGGTCTGCCTTTCAAATAAATAAATCAAAAAAGAAAGATAAAGACTGCCTTCAGAAAACCATAATTATCATCCTTTAAAAATTTGGGTTTTCTTTTTTATTACCACGCACCCCCCAATGATCCCATTAATGTCTTTCATCCTCTTTAAAATCCCATTGCTTTATTTGATTCCAAACAAGAATAAAGTTGTTCTCTGCATCAATCATGGAACTGGGCAGCCGCCCAAGGTCAGTGCTGTATCATCCGCCCCCAGCCGCTGCTCCCGGAAGATTCTGAAGCTCAAGGCCAGGCCTCATCTCCATAAACCTGTTTCTATTGCACCTGCTTTGCATCTGGATCTAAACAAAGCCACTTGTCCCACTTGCTCACTGCGACGCTTCCGTCTCTTTTGCGTTGACTTTTTATTTTAAAAAGCTTTTTTAAGAATTTATTTGAAAAGCAGAGTTATAGAGAGAGAGGGAGAGATCTTCTCTCTTGCGGGTTCACTCCCCAAAGTTGTAATGACCAAATCCAGGAGCTCACTGGGAGTCTCCCCTGTGGGTGGCAGGGAACCTGCACTCATGGGGTCTGCCAATGTCCAGGTGGCCATGTAACCCACCGCACCTCAACGCCCGGCCCCTTTCAGTAACATTTAAGAGGCAGCCTGGAAGCCACAAGACCAGGGGTCTCTGTGATGTGCGGATTCCAATACTATTTGCTAGTATGTACGGAGACTTGTTACTGTACCAGAAACTGCCTTTAAATGGATGCCTTTCTTTCATGCCCACTGGGGGCACTGCTGGGACCCTTGTACAGATGTGCACACACCCGTGGTCGCCTGCCCTGGCCCAGCCAGGACTCCACCCTCTGCCGCCTGCAGCCTGCCCTGATACCTCGCTGCCTTCCTGACTGGGGCAGAGGGTGAGGGCTCGGACAAGTGGCCAGCTTGGGGAGGTCCCTCGCAGGGCCTTGAAGTGGTATGGGCGGAGGTGGCCATGGGACCGAGGAGCCTAGCATGGCGAAAGCCCGTGGCCAAGCCCGTGCAGAGGCTGCCCGTCGGCCCCTTCCCGACCCTTCACACGGAGGCAGGAAGCTCTGTGCAGCCGGTATTTTTAGCACTGGGGTGAAGCGAGCAGGTGGTGTCATAGCAGGGCGTGCCTTCCAGGAACAGGTGAAAGGTCTAGAAATTCTAGAAAACTGGAGGAAGGGGCCTGAGGGGGGTGGTCTGATGCAGGAGTCACTCGCAATGGAAAAGCCCTAAGGGCCCCCAATGCCTGCACCTCACTTGGCCCCAGCCCTTCGGCCCCACCTCCCTCCCCGCCAGCCAGCCTGGGGTCCCCAGCTTGGAGCCGGCACCCAGGGAACCTCATGCCTGTAATAAACGAACAAAGCTCCCTTCTTGCGTGCTTCTCCCTGCCCTGGCGGCTCCTCTCCCTCTGTCTCCACAGCGCCCCACCCCTTCTGATCTCCCAGCCCGGCTCCTGGAGGCAGGAGGCGGCGGAGGGTTAACTGGGGAAGCTGAGAACAGCGAGTTGTGTCCCATTTCTCTAGCTCGGCCTCCCTTATCCTCCAGAGAAAGGCTACTTGAAGTTGAGAAAGGAGTTGCAAGTGTAGCAGACTGCACGTCTGTGAAGCTTTCGCTTGGCAGCTGTCTACAGATATGACAGGGGCCAGGCGGTCTACACAACAGGTGGTTTCCAAGCCACACTAAGAGCCTCCCACCCCAAACCAACTCCTGGACAATCACAGCTCCGGGTGTCTCTGGGGCCTCCTTCTGAGCTTTGGTTCTTGGCCCACTTCTACTCTCTCTCTCTCTCTCTCTCTCTCTCTCTCTCTCTGTGTGTTTTAAAGATTTATTTATTTATTTATTTGAAAGAATTACAGGCCAGTGCTGCTCACTAGGCTAATCCTCCGCCTTGCAGCGCCGGCATCCCAGGTTCTAGTCCCGGTCGGGGCGCCAGATTCTGTCCCAGTTGCCCCTCTTCCAGGCCAGCTCTCTGCTGTGGCCCGGGAGTGCAGTGGAGGATGGCCCAGGTGCTTGGGCCCTGCACCCCATGGGAGACCAGGAGAAGCACCTGGCTCCTGGCTCCTGCCATCGGATCAGTGCGGTGCGCCGGCTGCAGCGCACCGGCCGCGGTGGCCATTGGAGGATGAACCAACGGCAAATGAAGACCTTTCTCTCTGTCTCTCTGTCTCTCTCTCTCTCTCACTGCCCACTCTGCCTGTCCAAAAAAAAAAAAAAAAAAAAAAGAAAGAAAGAAATAAAAGAAAAAAGAATTACAGAGAGAGAGAGAGGGAGAGAAAGAGCAAACTTCCATCCACTGGTTCATTCCCCTAGATGGCCCCAAGCCAGGAGCTTCTTCCTGGTTTCTTACATGGGTGCAGGGCCGAGGACCTGGGCCATCTGCTGGTGCTTTCCCAGGCCACAGCAGAGAGCTGGCACGGAAGTGGAGCAGCTGGGACTCGAACCTGTGCTCAGATGGGCTGCCGGCCCACTTCTCTCTTAAGAAGTGTACTTTCCCTTCCTGTAGGAAGCCTTTGCTGTTATGCGCATGGTCCGTGTGAGCTTCCTCCACGTCCTTGAGGCTCAAAGACCCTGTACCTGGGCCTTGCTGCTCTCCACTCCCACACATCCCCCTCTCAGAATCTTCTAGAATCCCCAGGTGCGTGTTTGTGACTGTCTTTGCAGAGTCTGTGCCAATGCTGCTGTCCCTTACAGGCCTCTGAGTCCCCTCTGTCAGCGCTCCTGGGGTCCACCGGGAGTCAGCGCAGTGGGGTTGGCCGGCCTGGCACCTGCTAGGGAGCGGGGCCCACAGAGGAGCGCAGACACAGGGAGAGAAAGGGCTGGGGGGAAAGTGGCTTGACCTAACATTTAACCGGAGCAGGGACTCTGTGGATGCGGGTGTCTGCGCCTGTAGGCCAAACACCTGTCCTAACATCTTGTTAGCAATGCCCACCCCGCCACCTGCTTGTCCTATAAAATGGCTCGCTTGCTGAGCGCATTGGTGCCTCTGCCTGTCTCTCCTTAAAGGAGCACCTCTGTGCCCCTGAGAGGCTCCCTCGCTCTTTGGTGTCTCTGCTCTCTGCGTCTACGGGGAGTCAGGGTGAACCCCGCGTCGCTGGTTGCCTTCAGCCGGATCCGCTTCGCCGAGCTCCGCCCTCCGCCGCTGGCCGAGGCCCCTTTAAGGCAGGCCCCGCCCCAGATCCGCCCCGGCGCCGCCCCTCCTCGGGGTCAGCCCGGCTGCGCGCGGCTCGGGCGGGCGCCGGGTCTCGTCCCAGTCAGGACCCGGGCGCGGGCGCGATGGCGAGCGCGGCACTGAGGGTCGCCGGGCGGCAGCTGAGCCAGCGCAGCGGGGCCGGAGCCCCCGTCCTCCTGCGGCAGGTGCGGGGTGGCCCGAGCCCCGGGCGGCGGGAGGGGCTGCATTCCAGGGTCCCGTTCACGGGGCGGGGGTCTGGGGGCCCCCTGTGCTTGGGGCCGGACCCCGAGTCCCGGACGAGCGAGGGCGCTGGGGGTCTTGGCTCGGGGCTAGGAAGCGGGCACTTCCCGGTTCTGACAGAGGGAGGTGGCGCGGCAGGGAGGCCGCGCTGTGGTCTGGGGAGGAGGCCCGCGGGGGGCGGGGGGCGGGTTGTGCGCGCTCATCTGTGCCCCCACCCCCCGTCCAGATGTTTGAGCCCAAGAGCTGCACCTACACGTACCTGCTGGGAGACAGGGAGTCCCGCGAGGCGGTCCTGATCGACCCGGTTCTGGAGACGGCGCCTCGGGATGCCCAGCTGGTCAAGGAGCTGGGGCTGCGGCTGCTGTACGCTGGTCAGTGCGCCGCGAGCGTCGACGGCCGGGAGGCTGGCGCCTTGGACCCCTGGGTCTGGGGGAGGAGGCCGGGGGGATGGGACCCTGGGTCTAAAGGAGGCGGGGTGGGGGGATGGGACCCCTGGGTCTTGGGGAAGTGGAGTGGGGGCCTGGACCCCTGGGTCTGGGGGAGGAGGGGCGGGGCCTGAACCTCTGGGTCTGGGGAGGAGGGGCTGGGGTTATGGTTAGGGTTAGGGTTAGGGAGGAGGGGCTGGGGCGTGGACCCCTGGGTCTGAGGGAGGAGGGCTGGGGGCCTGGACCCCTGGGTCTGAGGGAGGAGGGGTTGGGGGTCTGGACCCCTGGGAGTGGGGAGGAGGGTGGGGCCTGGACCCCTGGGTCTGAGGGAGGAGGGGCTGGGGGCCTGGACCCTGGGTCTGAGGGAGGAGGGGCTGGGGGCCTGGACCCTGGGTCTGAGGGAGGAGGGGCGGGGCCTGGACCCTGGGTCTGAGGGAGGAGGGGCTGGGGCCTGTACCCCCGGGTGTGGGGAGGAGGGGCTGGGCCTGGCCCCCCGGGTGCTGACGTGCCCTCCTGGGCCTGCCCTCCCGCCCCTCACAGTGAACACCCACTGCCACGCCGACCACATCACAGGCTCAGGGCTGCTGCGCTCCCTGCTGCCCGGCTGCCGGTCGGTCATCTCCCGCCTCAGTGGGGCCCAGGCTGACTTGCACATCGAGGAGGGCGATGCCATCCGCTTTGGACGCTTTGTGAGTTGGGTGCTGGCTTCCTGCGGGGGTGGTGGCCTGGACTCCTTGAACTTGGGGGGGGGGGACCTGGCTTCCTGACCCTTGAGCTCGTGTCTCTGGGAGGCGGGCACGACACGCCCAGCAGGGCCCCTGGGGCGGGCAGGCGTTGTCTCTGGCCGAGCCCCTTAAGTCAACAGCGTTGACTAAGTCTTTGGGGCAGCACCCTGGGCCTGGCATCTCCATAAAAGTTGCCTGAGGGCAACCCAGGCCTGTCTTCAGAGCCGCTGGTTGAGCTAGGGCGTCCCTCTGCCCGGGGCCAGGGCTGGGGTGGGGGAGTGAGGCTGCAGGTGCAGCATTGAAGGGGCACAGGTCTGAGGGTCCTGCACCTGCAGGGGTGGCCTCTCAAGGGAGCCTCTCCTTAGCCCCAGCCCTGCTCCTGCCTCACTCGGGCGGGCCGTGAAGGTTCCTGACCAGCGGGCGGGCTCTCCAGCAGGACCCCCCACCCAGCAGCGTGCAGGGGGTACTCGGGAGTGTGCACGCTCAGGGAGACAGGCAGCAGCCATGGCTCCTTTTCTGACCAGAGCTGGCCTTGGGGACAGAAGGTGGCAGGTGACCGGGTAAGGTCTCGGCCTTGACGTTGGTGGGTTCTGCTAGACAGGGACAGTTTGTTTAGGTGGCAACATGTAGCAGGAATCAGAGCTTCCTGTGGGGTCAGGGGTTTAGCTACAAAGTTACAAACTTTCTCTCAGTCCCTCTTGCAGAAGCTGTGGTCGCTGGCCTGCCCCGATGCCAGGCGAGTCAGGTGCCCACAAGCAGATCCAATCCGAGAGGCGCTCTGGCAGGATTAGAAAGGGTAGGGGGTTTAGGTCAAGACCAGCTCTTTGTCCAACTGGGTGTGTGAGTTTTCAGTGAGTAAGTGTGGGAGGGTTCAGTGTAGTGCATTTGGCTATGGTGGGTTTTTATGATTATTTATTTGCAAGGCAGAGTTACAGAGAAGCAGATGCAAAGAGAGAGAGAGAGAGGGAGAGAGAGAGAGGGAGAGAGAGAGAGAGAGAAGGTCTTCCATGCGCAGGTTCACTCCCCAAATGGCCACAACAGCTGGAGCTGGGCCAATCCGAAGCCAGGAGCCAGGAGCTTCTTCCTGGTCTCCCACCTGGGCTATCTTCTGCTGCCTTCCCAGGCACATTAGCAGGGAGCTGGCTCGGAAGTGGAGCAGCTGGGACTTGAACTGGCACCCATATGGGATGCTGGCACTGCAGGCAGTGGCTTTACCCGCTACGCCACAGCGCCGGCCCCTGTAGTTTTTTTTTCTTTTTTTAATAGCTGTATTAGTAGAAGCGCTACACCACGCAGTTCACCCCTTTAAAATACACAGTTCCACTTTAGCGTATTCACAGTTGTGTGCTCTCATTTTATTTGTAAAGATTTATTCATTTGAAAGGCAGGGTGACAGAGGGAAAGAGACAGAGAGACAGAGAGATCTTCCATCTGTTGGTTCGCCCCACATGGCCACAGCAGTTGGAGCAGCAGCCCGAGCACTGGGGCCATCCCCCACTGCTTTCCCAGGCAACGCCGGCCCCACTAAATTAATTTTAGAGGATTTTCATTCCTCCACAAAGAAACCACACAGGCCGGCGCCGCGGCCCACTAGGCTAATCCTCTGCCTACCGGCGCCGGCACACCAGGTTCCAGTCCCGGTCGGGGTGCCGGATTCTGTCCCGCTTGCCCCTCTTCCAGGCCAGCTCTCTGCTGTGGCCCAGGAAGGCAGTAGAGGATGGCCCAGGTGCTTGGGCCCTGCACCCCATGGGAGACCAGGAGAAGCACCTGGCTCCTGGCTCCTGCCATCGGATCAGCGCGGTTCGCCGGCCGCGGTGGCCACTGGAGGGTGAACCAAAGGCAAAGGAAGACCTTTCTCTCTCTCTCTCTCTCTCTCACTGTCCACTCTGCCTGAAGAAAGAAAGAAAGAAAGGAAGGAAGGAAGGAAGGAAGGAAGGAAGGAAGGAAGGAAGGAAGGAAGGAAGGAAGGAAGGAAGGAAGAAAAAGAGAGAGAGAGAGAGGGAGGGAGGGAGGGAGGGAGGAAGGAACCAGGAACCGCACAGCCCCCAGCCCCGACGCCAGCCTCTCCCGGCACCCTCAGCGGCCGGGGCAGTTTCTCGTCTACTTTCTGTCTCTGGCTTTGCTGCCTCTGGACATTTCGTAGTAATGGAGTCCTACAATACGGGGTCTCCCGTGAGTGGCTTCTATCACTAGCCTGGTGCTGTCGGGACTGCTGCTGCGTGTCGTGCCGAGGGCCCGCTTCCCCGTCGCTGGACGGTGCTCCGTGCGTGGGTGGATGCGCCGCTGCTTGTGCCCACCCCTCCGCTCACAGACAAGTGGACCGCGCCCACTTGGGGCAGACGCTTTGGTCACTGTGCACGTGCAGGCCTTAGTGAATGGCTCTCTCCATTTCGGCTGGGTACGTGTCCAGGGGCCGGGCGGCTGGGTCACGTGATTCTGCATTTGCGAAACTGCCCAGCTGGTTTCCGGTGTAGCCACACCACTCAGGGCCCTGGCAGCGCGGGGAGGTCCCGGCCCTGAGGGGCAGCACTTCCTGTCGTGTCTTCCTGCTTACTCAGGGCTCGGCTTGGTTGTTTTTTTCTTTGGTCTGAGTTCTTTACACATCTTTGGAGGGGCGGGTGTTTAGAATGCCTGCATCCACACCTGAGTACCCGGGTGTGAGCGCCAGCTCTACTTCCCATAATCCAGCGTCCTGCTAACCCCCTGGTCCTTGTGGGCATTTGGGGAGTGAACCAGCAGATGAGAGCCAGGCCCCCCTCTCTCTCTCCCTCTCTCTCTGCCTCTCAGATAAATAATTTTTAAAAAATTAAAGAAAGGTAAGTTTATTTGGGAGCAACACATTTTTGAAAAAAATTTTTTACAAAGCTAAAAAATCATGCCTACAGTGGATCTTCACAAAGTTCATGAACTACATGTATTATTTAAAAAAAAAAAAAAAAAGATGGACTGCTGTTATGGCAAAGCGAGCTAAGCCACTGCCCGCTGTGCCGGCAGCCAACACTGGGGTGCTAATTTGAGTCCTGGCTGCTCCACTTCTGACGCAGCCCCTGCTCAGGCACCCGGGAAAGCAGCGGGAGATGAACCAAGTGCTTGGGCCGCTGCCAGCCTTGTGGGAAGCCAGGATTGAGTTCCAGGCTCCTGGCTTTGGCTTGGTCCAGCCCTGGCAATTGTGGCTGTTAGGGGAGTGAACCAGCAAGTGGAAGACCTCTCTCCCTGCCTTTCTCTCTCTCTCTCTTTTTCTCTGTCTCTCTCCCTGCCTTTCTCTCTTTCCCTCTCCCTCCCTCCCTCTCCCCATCTCTCTCTCCCTCTCCCTCTCTTCTCTCCATTTTTGTCACTCTGCCTTTCAAATAAATAAACAACTTTTTTTAAAGAAACGCCCTCATAAAGCTTTATGTATGGCCACTGAGATTCAAAGTTCATATCGTTTCATATGTCACAAAATCTTACTCTATTTTGATTTTTTTTAACTATGAAAAAACACAGCTTGCAGGCCTTACAAAAACAGTTGGCGCGTGTGGCCTACTGCCCGCAGAGGGCCGCCCTCGTGGAGAGCGTTCCATTGGTAAACCACAGCTCGCTCACCCGTTCTCGTTGTCATAGCTGTTTACAATCTCAGCCACTATGAGTAGCGCCCCCTCTGGAGACTCTTGTGCAGATCTGGTAGACATTGCCCGGAATTCCAAGGAGTAGGCTGGCTGGGTCTTAGTTAACGTGTTTAACTTTAATGGAAACTGCCAAGTGTTTTGTTTTGTTTTTAAATAATAATTTATTTGAGAGGCAGGCAGAGAGAGAAAGAGCGACCACCTGCTGGTTCACTCCAGAAGCGGCTGCAACAGCTGGGCCTGGGCTGCGGCCAAAGCCGGGAGCCGGGGACTCAATCCGGGTTCCTCGTAGGGGAGTCAGGGACCCAATTTCCTGAGCCGCCACTGCTGCCTCCCGGAAGCTGGAGTCAGGACCCGGAGCCCGGTATCGGATCCAGGCTCCCTGTGGGATGCAGGCGTCTCTGCTGGTGACTTAATGCCTCCCTCCCCTAACAATTTTGTTTTTTTTTTTTGTTTTGTTTTGTTTTGTTTTGTTTTGTTTTTTGACAGGCAGAGTGGACAGTGAGAGAGAGAGACAGAGAGAAAGGTCTTCCTTTTGCCGTTGGTTCACCCTCCAATGGCCGCCACGGCCGCGCTGATCCGATGGCAGGAGCCAGGAGTCAGGTGCTTTTCCTGGTCTCCCATGGGGTGCAGGGCCCAAGCACCTGGGCCATCCTCCACTGCACTCCCTGGCCACAGCAGAGGGCTGGCCTGGAAGAGGGGCAACCGGGACAGAATCCGGCGCCCCGACCGGGACTAGAACCCGGTGTGCCGGCGCCGCTAGGCGGAGGATTAGCCTAGTGAGCCGCGGCGCCGGCCACAATTTTGTTTTAAAATATTCATTTTATTTATGTGAAATGCAAAGTGGCACAGGAAAAGCAAAACAGAGAGAGAGGTCTTCCATCCACTGGTTCACTCCCCAAATGGTCACGTCAGCAGGGGCTCAGGCCGGCCAAAGCCAGGGCCTGGAACTCCATCTGGGTCTCCCAGGAGCACGGCAGGGGCCCGGCACTCGGGGCATCTGCTGCTGCATTAGCAAGGAGCTGGGTCGGAAGTGGAGCAGTCGGGAGTCAAACTGGCTCCCATATGGGATGCCGGCCCGCAGGCAGCGGCCTTAGTTGAGAAGCCACAGCGCTGATCTCCGTCCCCCACCCCCCGCCCTGACAATTTTTTTAAAGTGACAGCTTCTTTCATGATTTTGACCTATGTTCTACTCTCCTGTTTAAACACACAGAATACAAATAACATCAACAAAACCCAGTGTTATTCACAATATTGTGCAAGTTTTAAAATTATTTTCTGAGAGGCAGAGAGCGCTCGTCTGCTGGTTCACATCCCAAACACACACAGCAGCAGGGGCTGGGGCCAGGCTGAGGCGGGAGC